CACACCACCACACCCACACACCACCACACCCACACACCACCACACCCACACACCACCACACCCACACACCAACGGGTGGGCTTTTCTACCCACAGCCCCACGCACTCCGTTCCACCCGCGTACGGGTTTGCCCGCCCACAAACGTGCCGGGCGTGCTTGTTTCAAAGGCCTAACGACATGGCCGGCGACTTGTACATAGTTGGTGACATCCCTATATTTGATAACAAGACTCATTGATTGATTGTCATCCTGAGTGGTACTCCTCGACCACCGGCAGGACGATACACGACCACCGGCGGGACGATGATAACAAGATTCACTACAAGTACAACTTAGATTCCAATTCTTAAGATAAATTCGATGGCAAACAACTGCGTGGATTACTTCGCTTATCTTAATGTAAGAGTTTGGAATAACATATAGGCGCTTGCAGAAGTAATGTTAATTGCATAGATCTTACATTAATTCTGCCAGCGCCTATATGGAGTTCGTAATCTTGGATCTTTGTAAGAACAACATGCATGGTTAATATGAATAGGAACTACGTCAACATATTATTATTATTATATGTGGAGAGCCCTCATACTAGCCAACTCCGGACAGGTACTACTCGAGGACTATGTGGACATTGTCAAGTACAAGAACTACAAAGAACAGCAACTTTTCTCCTCAAGAAACCTTCTTTACTTCGTTTTCCCACACTCCCCTCCCGGTCGATTTGGGTACGCTTCCATGTGCTGCGAAGCAATCAACTTTCCGACACTGTAGCCAACCCACGATTTGAAAACCTCATGCCCAAAAGGCAAGATGTTCAGCAAGTGCATGGAAAGTGCGTGTCCCCAATAGGCGCAATGTATGCCATTGACGCGGCCAAGAAAGCGTACGATGTTCGCACAGAAATGCTCTACGTGGCACCCTTGCATCCAGCAGACCGGATCGCGCATCAGGTATTTCGTGTTCTCGGTAAAAACAGCACCAGGAGTGATGTTGGGGATTAGAGAGCGGCACCAGTGCTGTGTGTCTAGTAAAGCAAGTGCTGTGTGTCTGAACGACAACGAGACACCTCCAGATTTGAAATTATAGGTTACAGGTGTCATTAGGTGTCCAATTGCAATTCCATCACCTTCACCAGTCTTAACAGAAAGTCAAATTCGTTCCCGTATTCCGCCATGACGCTGTTGGCGTGGTAGAATCCGAATTGATTTGCTGCCTCGTAAACGGCGAGGTAGGGGACGGTTAGCCACGGTTCGATCTGGCCAACTGCTAGGAGTGAACCCGGATGATGCCCCATGGCAGTGATGAAGACAACAGCGGAGCTGATAGTACAGGTTTCTTGTCAGAGTAAATCATCTATTCGACTTAGCTGAACGGAATCAAGAGGCACAACAAAACAAAATCATCTATTCGGCCTGATTCATCTGGAAAAGTCAGGTGCGAAAACTAAGTTTAGCATCTATTTCAAAATTACGTCTTCTTCTCCTCCGCAACTGCATTGCTCGACGATCGACTCTTAAACTTTTTCAGAGCAATTTGCGTCATCCTCGCTTGCGTCAGTGCACCTACTGAGATAACCTGCTCAATCTGCTCCTTCGGGAACTCATGATACGGGTCCCATGCAAATCGCTGGCCCACATTGTTTATCAAAACGCCCACATCTAATTCTTCAAAGGCAGCTTCGATCGGTGCGAAGAAGTCACTTTCTTTTGCTGCTTCGCCAAAATCGCATAAGATGGTGCGCACGTTGGTTTCGGGCTTTGCGCTTGCTTCTGCTGCTGTGACTGTGACACCTGTAGTTGCAGAGGACGTTATTTATACTCTGTCAACAATAAGGAAAACGAAATTGCAATTATCAGTACGACATCTTACTCTATGCCGCGTCCGTAGACAGAGTCTTCGCAAATGATTCATTGAAGAAATACACTCGGACATGCGGTTCATCATAATGCCCCATTCAGTAATGGCAGGACAAAACAGTTCCAGCAGCAAAAATGTTGGTTCATCTCTGAAAATAGCACTTTTTTCCTCGTCCTCCCCAAAACTCCTCATCTCTGCTTCCTCCTCCTTGCTCGAGTCCACTTCCCCAGCCTTTAGTCTTCCAGCAGCGATATCTATGCACTCTTTTTTCGTCTTTTCGCATCCACTATGGCCGATCAGAAGCAGGTTAAATCCCAACTCCGCAAAATGATGCGCTAATATGCGGCCCATTCCACTGCTCGCACCAGTAATCGCTACATAGGTCCCAGGGCCGCCATAGCGCTCGAGCAAATTGCAACGCTTCCGCATCAGGAAAAATTTGTAAACGCCACGTAGCGTAGCGATTGTCAGCATGATCAGTTGATAGATGAACATGGCAGCGAAGGTGCATACACAGATGCCGGATTCGCTAGTCCACAGGGGTCTGAGGGTACTAGCATTGTCGTCATCCGGCAACCAGAAGGTGAATACATCCGACATCTTGTTGTTTCTTCCCTGCTAAGTCGATGAGATCGGATCGTGAACGAAGAGTGATTTGTAGAAGGACGAACGGTGATTCACATGTGGTTCAAAAATACTCTTACTCACATGATCGTGATTACAAACATGATTAACATATTATAATTATTGTAATCATTTTCCGGAATCAGAATGAACTTCGAAGAAAAACTTGTGCGAAGCTTAGAGGGGTAAGGAGGATAGGAAGGAGAGTTTGACAAGTGTCTCTGATGACGGTGCGGAAGTCTAGCAAATCATGGCAAGGAGGGTCTCGACGGTAGGTAGTACGGCACACTCAAGGAAGAACACTGAGTCGCTCAGTTGTAATCCAACAGACTGCTGGTGCTGATGAAGTCGAAAACTGTGAGGAATTATAACTACGGGAAAGCAGTGGAGTGCATCGAGAGAGGACCGACAAGAGTCTGAGGATGCCACCGATGACTGAAGGTGAAGGCTTGACGGATTCATCAATGACCGATGTGCATGCTTGATATTCTTTTACTCGATGTGCGGCACAACCGATGGAAGAGCAACTTGTTCTCACTGTCCACTTATATCCAGGTCGATGACATGTAGGACAACGACAGGCATCGAACGACTCATCTTTCTCTGTGACGAGTCCTTCCTTAATATGGTTGTAAGCCCTTTGGCAACAAGTCAATTGATGCACAGATGTGTCATATTGACGCTATCTTCATGTGGGCAACATGTTGCTCTTCAGAGGCAGCTTTCATTTGCTGTTCAGATATAGATATACCTACTCGAATTCGATCGTAATCATGACATCAGTTTTACACTTGCCTCTGGTAACGCTATGAATCGTCAAAATATGAGGAGCTCGCAATTAGCATAGCTATGATGACGTCAAAAATACAGAATCGAATTCCATCATTCTAGAATTCAGGTATGTGTTGTATAGTTGCATTTGAAGTCCAATCATAGTGCTACATGTACAGATTGTTCGTATACAAGTCAATACTCGGTGTTCAATTTCTTTTACCATTTCGGCTTCTAATATGACTAAACAACACTTTTGATTGATTTCTGACGGACATGCACTCAAATCTTAAACTCGATTTTGTTCTTCGTTCGAAACTTTCATCTTGCAGTTCTCGATGCAGTTGAAGTGTGCTATAACACCTCAATCTACCTAGTACAGTACACTGAAGATGTACTTTTAGTCTTACTCCGCTACGACCGCGCCATCTTTTGCTCGCCTAATCGTCTTCATCTCCTTGACGTCCGTTCGAAGGCCTCTCATGGCACGCAGAATTAGACCTAACCGTTTTTAGGAGGCAGTATTCGAATGATGTTAATTAGTTATAGATGGATTCTTGTGGGAAAGCTACGTCTTTAAATTCCTGTGCAAGCAGAAACTGTTGAGTTCTGTTGATAGTTACTTGAAGGTTTATCCTCTTGTATCTTCTTCTTCTTCTTCTTCTTCTAGTTTCCTCCTTGGAGAAATTTGCTGAAGAAGAATCAAAGACAAAGAAAAAGATTCTCTAGCAGGTGGTCGTTCATAAAAGCAGATCCACATCTGATGCTGACTAGCAATCCTAGGATGGGAAAATCAGCAACAGATGTGGATCTGCTTTTTTTACTTCGTTTTCCCACACTCCCCTCCCGGTCGATTTGGGTACGCTTCCATGTGCTGCGAAGCAATCAACTTTCCGACACTGTAGCCAACGGACGATTTGAAAACCTCATGCCCAAAAGGCAAGATGTTCAGCAAGTGCATGGAAAGTGCGTGTCCGTTCATAAAAGCAGATCCACATCTGATGCTGATTTTCCCATCCTAGGATTGCTAGCTCTGTTCTGCACTCGCTTCTGAAAGCGCCAATCATAGCCCTCATACTTAGCTGCACGCGGGTTTCGGATGCAACATGCAAATTGCGAGGAATTGTTATTCATCGGGTTCATTTGCCCGATTCTGATTCATTTGTTGGTGGTTGATGTGGTAACTAATGGGGGTAAAAATATGGGAATGAAAGTTGTGGGAAGGAGTTGTATCTATTAGGAAGGGAATATGGGAAGCCCCGTTACCACTATTTATCTATTAGGGATGCCCCCCCTTCTCTATATCTATGAGGGATAGCCCCCTTCTCTATCAGTTACGCCCCTTCTCTATATCTATGATAGATATCCCCCTTCTCTATCAGTGACCCCCCTTCTCTATATCTATTAGGAAGGGCGCTTACCCCCACCTTGCGGTAATACCCCCCTTCTCTATCAATGTGAACAACTTGTGATGGAAGAATTTGTATCTATTAGGGATTCAGACGGGTTTTGCTTTTAATGAGTTCAATGCTACGTACTTAGCTCGAAAAAAATACAGTATTGATTCAAAGAACCATATAAAAACAAGCAAATAGATACCTGAAATATCCACACGTTGGTGAATAGAACAAGGAGCCATCTGTCACTTCCCACATATCGTTGGCTCCTCTGCCTGGTTCTCCCATATCAAAACTAGCCTCACTGCCACCGCCATACTTGAAGGAGTTTGGTGTTTCATACCCATTCTGCAGAGTGCCCGCACAGTTGTGGACGTTGCCTGTGAAGGGTTTGGAGATGAATGGGTGGGAATGGGTATGGCAAATGGAAACTCGATGAATGATCAAAAAGTGTGTTGGGTGGTTGTTCATTGATTCTAGCACGATCAGAAAACAGAATTGGAGATGACGGACCCAGTAGGAACACAAAATTTCCATGTGAATTTCTTCGTCCTTCCTTGCGGTAATGAAAGAACAGTACTTCTCGGTTTCCTCGGGACCAAGTAATGCGCATTGTAGTCAGCGGAAGCTGTGTCTGACAGTGTTTGTTGGACCGGATCCCTGCATTTCGCGCCTCGCCCTTCTCTCGCTAGCTTAGCATTCCATCTGGCACGACACTCGGTGTCAGTAACGTCTTGCCAGAAACGCGCTGAATACCACATTTTTTTCCTCTAGAAAAACTAGATTGATAATACACTTCTTGGTGAAGATCGCAATACTGGTTACAGCTAAGCAGGTTGCGGTTAGTAGAAAACTTAAACTTTTTTTGGTGCAAGTAGAGTTGTACATGTTTGTGCTATGGGTAATACACTTTTTTTGGTGCAAGTAGAGTTGTACATGTTTGTGCTATGGGTAATACACTTGTGCACAAGGGTCAGGAGGTGTGGGGGGAGAGGGATCACAACCTGAATCAAGAGAGAAAAGCAAAGGCGCGACATAACCTTCCTATGACCGATGCCGTTTAGAGTGAATTCACAGACATTTGCACTAACCGATTTGAACGACTTTGATGAGACACCGATCCGTTCTTTATTCTGCTTTAGCATCTCTTCTCGTCCTCAACCCATAGTCTCATATAAATGATAATATCAAAACCATAGAGCCCATTCCGATATTTTCGAGCAGCAAAACCGAAATCATGAGGACGGCGATGAAGTAAAACACTTTTATTCTCGCGCGGCTTTTACAATTACAAGCGCATCAACTTCCATGCCTCCCTGTAAAGTTTGAAATTACCTCGCCCTTGCACTCACGTAAAGAAGCCCCAATAGCGCTCCCCTTAGTGCAAAATGATGTAACCATGTCATGTACAATGTCAGGTATGCGTCCCCGATAATTGTAACAGCAGGTTGTAACTCTTGACTCTATTACTAATTACTGTAATACCTCGCCCTTGCACTCACGTAGAGAAGCGCCAATAGCGCTCCCCTTAGTGCAAAGTCAAGTTTCCTCGAGTTGAAGGCAACGGAGAGGAAGCTTGCGGCTAAGAGTGCTGCCACGGGTTCCGTTGGTAGCAGGGATAAGAGGAGTACAACGAATGCATGAAAGACAACATAGAAGGAATAGGATGTGCGTCGAGGCATGATGTTGAAGATTTCGACTTTTGGCTTGCTGTTGTTGGTGGTCGTCGGTTTTTCAGCTGCTTGTGCATTTTTTGCTTGTGAAGCAATGACTTCTCTCGCTGTACTCCCCTGCCGCTGAGCGTCTAGAACTGGCAATCCCTGAAGTCGTACCTCCTTTTCCCTGAATGATTCGAGCAGAAGCCTCTTCAGGTTAGCTCCAGCCTGCTCCGGTGATTTTGCCTTGTCTCCATCCTGATTACGAATACACCTCTTCACGTCACTTGTACTCCACTTCCGCATATGAAACTTCACCAGTGCAGGGGCATCTCCGTTCTTGAACACACTCCCCTCGCTGGGTCGTCGATTACAACCTTCGTAGCTAACGGTCAAGTCTAGAACTTCTACCACTTTTTCTCTGTTGCGCTCTCCCATTGCTTCTAGTACCTCATGCAACCCAGCATGTCTAGGAAGAAGCACGTTTTCCAACAACTTCTTGGAAGGTGCAACTCCACAGGCCTCTAGAGTTTCGCGCGCGGCAGTGCTTTTCTTCATCTCAGTACTACTAGTACTATTCTCAGTACTTCTGGAAGAAGGTCCACCTTCAGATTGCTCAAGTAATTCCACTTGAAACTTCTGAGATCTCGCAACTGTGTTCTCGCTCAAATCTGTTCCTTCTGGAAAGATTAGGAGTGTGATTCCTGTGCCTGGTGCTTCATCCAGTATATTCTCCCGTATGCGTCTCAAATCACCCGCAGCGTCGTTCCTCTTCAAGTGTATGAATCGAAAATTTTCGCATGCCCACCCGAAAAACGGCAATCCGCGCATTCCTTTGGCTATCACTTTCAAACGAAATAATTCGTCGGAAGTACTCGTGAAAGTAGGAGTTGCACAACTACTAGATGTTGTTGTACTACTACTAGATGTTGTTGTACTCGTGGCAGAGGACGCTGCAACAGCTCTTCCAGCTAGTAAAATCCACAAAAAGAACCAATCTAGACGAGTCATGTGGTTCATCAGAAGCACACGGTCAATACTTGCGTTTTCCGCACCATCAGATCCTTCTACCAACAATTCTAGTCTGACACCTAGCAGATCCTGTGCCAGAGCTGCAGTGAGGTGCAAATAGCGCGTTTTTGAGCAATCCATCCACCACCTGGCTAACTCGATCACAGGACGCATGAGGAAGCGAAACAAAAGAGCTTCGTGTCCTCTGCGTTTGGGATTGGTATGAAAGATCCGCTCCATCGCGAAGCCGATCAATCGCAATGGCCCGATCCAAAATACGTTGACCAGAACTGCTAACTGCAATAGGACGAAAACGAGAAGAAACCGACGCAAAATCGACACTGGTAGTCGGATCGGAAGGGGTGGATGGGAAGCCATCTTCGTGATGGGTGTCGTCATCACATTCGCCGATGGAGGTCGGTTGGTCGAAGAGGTTGCCGCCATCTTGAGGTATTAACTTAGGAATTGACTCTCAGGAATTGACGATGTTCTTCTTTGATTCTCACTTTATTTTACTTCACTAACTGGCAGGTGATGTCTGAATGACTCAGTCACACAGACGAAACGATCAATCCAAAAAGAGAAGCCGAGGCAAAGCTATCTGCACTTCGCAGCTTCTAGAACTAGTTTTGGAGGAATTTGCATTTGGGGTAGCTGCTAAAATCTTCTCTAAGGGGGTTTAATCCTGTAACGGGGACCTGCCGCGTCAATTTCATCGGGTAGTCGTAGTTGTACAATCCGTGAACAACAATTTCAAATTCTATTTTTTCGGGTGCACGTCGCATTCGCATGACAAAGTCTTGCCCTCGTTGGATAAGAGACACGCTGCAAAAGGTGCCGAATAAAAAATGTGATCTATGGCGTCGAAATTTATCTGTGTACAAGCAGCAAAGTATGCGTCTATCTCGGAGCTTTCTCGTCAATGAAGAAGGAATCTTCTCGTCTCGATATGAAAACTTGAAGTCTACTTATATTCTTTAGCAGAAAAGGCAGATATATGCACCACATGATCGATGGGTGGTAAAAAAAAGAACTTTTTTCATTTTACAGCCTGGAGAATGAATTCAAATTATCTTTCAGCTTGTTTTTTACTAACTTTTTCACTAGCTTAATCATACAGCAGATCCTCGAGGATCAACTAGTAGCACTGTGTTTTGCAGGACATCAAACGCTCTCTATCTTGCCTGAGCTATAAAATCTAAGCCCTGCAAAGCCAAGAGCTCCAAAATTCCGCCCTTTGACTACAATTCGATACATGTTGTATGAAAGAAGATGGCCACTGCTCAGCATATAATGATCATGTAAATGTATTCTCAACACATTTCAACATTTTTGATACCAACCTCCTGCATCTACATAGAACAAAGTTTGTTCTCGATCTACAAGAATGTGAAATCTTCTTCATCTATAAAAATTCCTATAATTTATACACGAGTTTTTGTAGTTCGTCGTTGCTCATGAGACCTCCAAGCAATGCCCATCGCAGACCGCTCAAAACCGCCTGTCCGCACAACACAGGGGATAGACTGACCGCTTCCACGTAGATGTACTTCTGCAACCACTGTAGCACACGTCCAGCTCCCTGCATCGCGTATCGCTTCGTTGGTTGCATTTGCCTTCCGAGTTGGAAATCAGCGTCGGATTCGTCCACTTCATCTGAAGATGATGAGAGTTGTCTACTACCGGAAGCAACAGCGTTTGTCTCCCAACTGCGACCTCCTCCATGTTGTACTAGTACTGGTCCACTTCCTGCGTCTTGATCTTGCTCTGGTCCACCTCCAATTCCACCACCTTCTACTTCGTAAAGCTGCGAAGCAATTACCTTCTTCGCTGTACTTTCGTCACCTGCCTCAGTAAAAGTTGCTATGGTCGTATCCATAGTAGTACCCTGGTGCTTTTCGTCACCCTCACCACCTCCCCGTGTGGAGGAAGAAGAAGAAGAAGAAGACTCTGTCTTTGCATTTAGATTTACTTGTGCATCATATTCGTCTTGGATGATGCCTAGGAAATCCGGCACAAACAACTCTGCGAAACCAGTAACCGGCACATAGCGAAGAACCAGATTTAGAGCTTCTCCCAGTTCGTCCCTGCTGTAGGGATCCCGCAAAGATATATCCTACCAAACCCTCGCATTGGGGTGCATACTGTTGAGGGATGTCGATAGAGATGGATTAGGGGAAGCCATAAGAGATAGTTGAACGTTTGCGCGAGTGTCATTGCTTGTACAACTCGTTCAGGTAGTTCCGCAATGGTTTTCGGCTTCATGCCTCCCTTCACCATACTCCAGGTGGCTGCTGCGCTGTTCTCATGTGTTAGTGAAGATATGGCTTTCACATCTTTCAACTATATTTCAAACCATAATCCTTGCTTGACACTTCTTTGATTTGAACTGTAGAAAAAAAAGCAGGCAAAACACGGTTTGGAACTGCGAGAGGATGCATGATCTGCAGTTACAGTAGCCTTAAGTCTAGGAGTAACAGCGGCCAAACGTTGTGAAGTTCTTCTGCGGAGAGGTAAGCATTCGCCCAATGGCTTAATGCAATCTCAGCTGATTTGCTTTCTTCGATTTCTGAGTCTTAGAGGAGGTAGAGGCAGGCCTGGACGCTGGCTTAAGGTAAATAACAAAGTTTAAGATAGTAGTTAAGCGTTGTTCCCCTTGAGTTTAAGATATCATTCTCGAGTTGTACGAGACTAACAAGTTGTAGGGCACTTCTCGAAAGGTGCATGATTATTGTGATTCCCATAGTATCAGTTTATTCGAACGGTAGATAAAAAGATGCAGCTCTAAACACATAATATGTCATTTTAGGCTCGCAAGTAGTTTTCTACAACTTTGGAACATGAGCACCACCAGCGAATAGAAGAAATGATATCACAATATCTTGTTCATAATGTTGTCGTTGTACCCCACTCTTCTCTGGTTGATAGGCTACGCCCATGAGGTTAACTACGTCGGATCGCATCCGCCTCAAACTACTGATAAATCCACGATGGTAAGCGCGGAAAAAGGTGCTCTGCTGAAAACCCTGGAAACGACGGCGATATTGTGTGATGAAAGGAGAAGTAGGTACTATGGGTAATATTTTCTCTGGGGAATGACAAAAGGCACACTTGTATAAGTACTATATTAGTGATAACTAAGGGCAGTCTCTGGTGAATCACAGAAGTACGCCGTTCGGTGCAACAAAGACAAAGCATTTTCTGAAAAAGACCTATTTTCTCTTCGACTTTGCCAATTATGACTCACGAAATAGAACAGATTCGAAGTACAAATCCTTCCCATAATCGAAGAAACCGGTATATTTTTTGCTTCCACGGCGATTCTGATGTCGAGAGCTAGGTTGCGTAGCACTACGTTGCCAATGAACTTCGCACCAGGCGTACACACGTCATCAATCGCGTTGATGTACGTGAGTCCTAGACCACCAGTTTCTTGAGTGCCTGTGTCTCCTTCATTTGCAGAACCTGGAGAAGTTTCTTGAGTGCCTGTGCCTCCTTCATTTGCAGAACCTGGAGAAGCTTCACCTGATGAAGAAGAAGACTGTCGCTGCCCATTGTCAGCCGGGATGAAGCCTCCAGCAGCATTCGGTGCTTGACCTGGAGGTTGCTCATTTGCGCTCAGACTGGGACTTGCAAGTACAAGTTTTGGCTTGTCTGGGATACGGCGTGTCATATCAGAGGCAGCTGCGCTGATAGAATCCTCGACAACGGAACTGCTGGCGTCAAAAAGATCCCCTACGCCAGACTTCAAGCTGACTGAAGTGTACACAGGTGCTTCTGCCACAGCTGCAGCTTTATCTGCTGCTTTGTTGTGCTTGTTCTCCGCAGTAGTTGCTGCCGGAGAGTAGTCTCGAATGAAGAAGCGAGGGTTTTCAGGAGTATTTCCCAGTCCATCAGGACGTTCTTCTAGTACTTTATCAGCTTCATCCTCAAGGACTGAAGTTCTTCTACCAAATTGACCGTGCATCATGCTGCCCTCATCATCTCTATCGTACAAAGATATGAGATTCGATGGAGCGAAGCTTTGGCTCTGCTGTTCGATGCGCTTGTTCGGGTAGATCTTGTTCCCGTGAACGACACCGCCAACAACTGTTGTAGGATCTTGCGCTCCTCCACCTCCTGCTCCTGTTCCGTGCGGTTTCCTGTTCTTCCGCCGAAAATCATTTTTATCCAAGACTTCTGCGGGATTAACACGGAACTTCACACGTTCGCTTTTCATTAGACGAGGGGTGCAGCTATCTCCTAGAGCTAGACTCAACAGAAAAATTCGAATAATCACTTTGCTAAAAGCGATGCGAATCCAGTAAACTCGAAACGACAACTTTCATTTCCTTAACTTGACCGCCGTTTCAAACAACGCTGACGCGACCCAACGCTCTTGATCGTCATTCAGCAAATCGCGACTCTCCCTGTTGAAGCCAGGTGCGTGACGGAACAGGAGCGACCGTAATGCCGCAGGCCCCTTTTCTCGACGGTTCCTGAATTCCCCAGATTGTGCGCCGAGAAGAAGCTCAAACACCCCTTGCACTGCGGCGGAGACAAAACGTTCTGCGAAGACGAGGTCGGTAAAAAGCAGATGCGACTGTCGCTCTGAAAGCTCTGAGGATGCCGTTTTCGAGGTACCCTGTTCGGGATGCAGAGCTTTCTGCCCAGCTGCATAATCGGTGCCGTTTGGCAAGTCGAGGTTCAGCGCTTGGATTAGAGAAAAGACGATGATGGAATAGAGCCACCACCATGAGAAATGCGTCACATAACGCATGCTTTCAAGTCTAAGCAAAAAAATTGCGAAGGTGGAAACGATACCCACCAGCAAACCCCACAAATTTGGAACGAAACTGACTAAGCCCCTCACCCGGCTACATCCTGACAGCCCCACCCTGCGCCCCTCCAGAAGGAGACCCCACGCAGCCCCAGCTGTCCGAAAAAAAAACACCCAACAAGACACAAGCAAGGTGAGCGCCTTGGCCTATACCCTGATGCGTGCTGGGTTCACCAAGCCGAAGGGATAGGGGACTCCTGGCACACCGAAGCCGCGCCTTTAGTCTCCCTGTTCCAGGTCGCCCACCTCCTATTACTTATCCCAAGCACGCAGGCTACACCTCAGGGGTGATCTGCCTCCCGAGAATACCAGAGAGCACGAAGCGCGCACGCCCCTCGGATAATCGGCCGCCCCTTTTTCGATATTCACAACAGAGGCCGACAATCTCAAAAGTTCTGCCACTTGCCGGGCCCGGCGCCCCTCTACATCAGCGCCACGGCTGTGACCCGGGTGCGACTCGGTGAAAGTCATTGCTGAAACAAGTCACCAAGCCGGCGCGGCGCTGTGGTGGGAGGGCTTGCAGGGCTTTCATCCTCAGCCCAGTCACCCCGCGGGCTTCTGGATTGGCGCGACGAAGATCCATCTAATTGCCCAGCGGGTTGCCATATTCTTGCGCAGTGCAGGCACCCTCCTCCATGCGGATGCAGTCGCCGTCACACAGCATAGACGCGAAGCAAAGGGGGCCAGTCTCTCACAGTCCTAACCTGGTTTTTTCCTCTCTGTGAGCTCGAAAGGCTGCAGGCTGCAGCCGCTTCCCCCGAAGTACAAGCCTGCGGGCTGCTCGGCTGTTTCCAGGACGGGGCTCACGCGGTCCCCCTGTCCTGACAGAAGAGCCTTGCGGCTCGGCGCTTGCGCCTCGGCCGGCATCTTTTGACGCCTCGGAACGAGATGCGACAGGCCGGAAGCAGGCGCCTGGGAGTCCTGGTTTTGCTGCTCTCGACCCCGGCATGGTTTTGCTGAACTATGCAAAAAAATACACGGAAACTCAAGACTAATAGAAGTCATTCAGAAAAACCAACTTCCCAACCTCAGCCATAGATCCGTGAAATCCCCAGCAGTCCCTTTGTTCAAAGACCCGAAATTTTCGTCGACTAATTCGCGATGCAACGCGACAGACGGAAAAGTGTTCGCAGGCGTTAAGACGGAGCAACAGGACCCCAGAACCAAAGTGCCCTGTAAGGATGACTCCCCAGCGCGCAAATCCACCACATCTTCCAAAGGCGGTACAGATTTTCGCTCCAAATGTGTTGCCCAACGACGCTCCTGTTTTGTTTGGAAAGTTGTTCTTGGGAAGTTTGCATGTTGGGAAAGAAAAGAAGGTAACTCTGCACAGTGAGTTCGTTCTGTAGCTTTCCTCTCAGGTTGCGTGTCATCGTCTCTACCAAAAACGTCAAGAAGCGAGTGACGAGATTCCTTAAATACTAAGTAAATCTGTACTGGTGTAGTACTTCCTCTTCCGTCCACATGTCTCCATCGTCGTCGTGGTCGTTTGTGAGCCAATCGAAATATTTGTCAAACGTATCGGGCCGTTTCCCCAACCACGAACGCAATGCTGCCTTGTACAGAGCACGAAACCCATTTTGGCCGAAAACTTCACTAAATTCAGCCAAATCCATGATATCATCTTGCAGCTCGCGCATTTGGGCAGCATCAATGATCACACCCTTGTGCCTCTTCGATGCAAACGACCACGTTGGTGGGGCGTCTTCCTTTTCCTCGTTTCCTGTACGTTCACTCTTAATGGGTGCAAGTTGACCTCTCCAGCTCGCATATGTATCTCTTCGGCTTTTCTAAGTACTTGAAGAAGCCAAAGAGCTGCTCCGAAACAGGTTAACTTCCAACACTTAATACTAGGCGGCGATTGAACCCCTCTCGACGTAGCCCCATCGTGATCCCAAGGGTTCGGGTTTCTATAGATGACAGAAGCTGGAACTGCTGGCACGCCATGCATCCAATCGCGACCAGAGGAATGGAGAGGTAAAAGAGAAACGTCACGGATGCGATCGTTGTGAAAATTAGAGCAGCGAACATATTAAATGAGGTGGACCATGGAAGACCAAACGACTGAATATCTTCTCAAACTATAAATGAAAATGAATAGTACTGATGTCACTTATTAGTAGTGATGATGTCGTTTTATTTCGCATGACTTGGAAAATATACTGACTCTGATTCATCGCACAGAGCAATACAGAGTACAAGTCTAGTGCAACAGATCCACTGATTAGGCCATAAGATATTCTGCCTCATCCCTGCCGCCTCCGAACAAAGGGAGGCCGCCAATCAAACGCGTCGGCAAGGAGGCCACACCAGAACGAATATCTTGCTGGCCAGAGGCTAGTAGAACAGCACAAGTATTAGAGCTCACTCTAATCCATCTTGAACAGCATCCGGCCCCCCTTTTCCCCTTGCAAAACCCTAACCCTTTTCGGGTGCTTCTAAAGATGGACAAGGGGAAGCCTTAAAAGTCATCGCAGCCGCAGTGAGGCATGCAGAGATTCGATGCTTCTTCAGTCGCTTGCACGCACGCTCAGGACAGGATGCAGGATCTGGAGTAGAGTTCTCATCTGTAGCAATCGAATCACCACAAGCCGAACACGAAGCCCCAAGGCAGTTGGTGATCGTGCTCGTTGCGGCGTTCACCATATCGGTCAGATGTTCGAAAACTCTTGATGTGCTCCCGCAACTAGTTGTACCTGCACTAGTTGTATCTCCACAACTCCACAACTGGGAATACATCGCTGAGTCGCAGAAAGGCCCTTCAGTTCCATCAGAACCACTAGCAGTCGCGCCACTAGCGTGAGGCATGGGGTTAGAGAGTGGAGTTGCTAGAAGGCATGGAGACGCCACGTAGGATAGCGAATGTAAGATATTGTGGGGCTCGTACAGAAACACTGTTTATCAGACTGTATCAAAGACACCATCGATTCCTCATGATCTAAAAATGCCATCAAAATTATTCTCATAGTCATGCTCATCGAAGTCCTCTCCACAGGCAAGCGGTCAAATCCCGCAGCAGTTCCGGTACTGCCTGTAGAACGCGCCAAAGTTCCTGCAGAATGATGGAGTTCCTCTACTGGTGGCAATGGTGGCAAATTCTGCAAATGATCGTTAGACGCGAGTGAATCTGACGAGTCGGAGAGTAATAGCGTTCCACGATAACCAACTGGCGGTCCACGACTCATCACGCCTCTTCCTTGCTGCATTGGAGCAGCGAAAACAGAATTCGCATTCACCATGCCACTTCCACCTCCACCTGAAGAAGCAGCTGAGTCACGCGACGTAGACTCCTTCGATCCATAAAGGAGTCTTTTAGGATTAAACCGCGACAGAGAGAAGGGATTAACGACCCGTGGATTCACGATGGTTGCCCCACCGGTTGCTGTAGTTACCATTTCTCTACTTTCTTCTCGTCCAGGTAGTGTGTGATAGTTTTCATCGTTGCCTGCTGTCGAGTGATTCCTTCCAAATTCTTCTGCTACGTCTTCGAGAAAAGAACCAGTTGTAGGTCGGATTTCATGCAACTCTTGATCACCATGATCAGAAGAAACACGTGAGCCTCGTCTTGATCCACTTCCACCAGTCAGAAATGATGCCACATTATTGTGCGAAGACGTTCCTTGTTCTTCTCGTACATTACTACGTTGTGAATGGCTACTCGTTCCACGACTAGAGGCGCCAGAGGCCTCACTTCTAGCATGGGGAGAGCTACTGCTTTTGGAGAGAACAGATCCTTAGCGCTAGATTTTCACTATCCCTGGTTGAGTGCTATGCCCTGCATCCCGCTTAGCTTCTCCTTTAAATCAAGGGGGACCGCACTCAGCATACTCCAGCTCACATGGGATAGTGATAAACTAGCCGTAAGATTCTGTATCCTCTTTTGAGCCTGCTTCATCCTCCTCCAACAAAGGTGGAGCTGGATCATCGTGTTCACCATAGATGTTTGTTCCTGCTCCTCCGTCTACTTCAAATGCGCGCATGCCTTCTAAGCGAGGCTGACTGCGCACAGTAAATAGCAGGCTTGATCCAGACTCGTAGAAGCCAGAAAGATCCTGGGAATGGGATCTAGCAAAGGCGTGGTCCATAGTACTAGTATAAGGTGATTGATGTTCTTGTGCACCTCGATTATACGAAGTTCCTAGACTTCCGCCAGAGGTACCCAAAGAATCCAACGGCAAAGCCGTCGACGCACCGGAGAGGATGCTCTGTTGTAACATTTTCCCAGACTTGGTAGTGCTGTCTGCTAAGGAGACAGAGGATGGACTGCGTCCCAGACCGCCTGAGTCAGCACCAGTGGAAGGAGTGCGTGGTTTAGAAGAGGTAAGATAAATGTATTTGCTGTGATGGACCTAGTTCAAGAAACGATTTCCTGTTCAATCAAAATCGATGTCTGTTAGAATAACAATCAATGTTGAAAAGGTATTCTAACATCAGAGCAACTGCTCACGAGCCTTAACAGAAAACGTAGCTCCACCTCTACGTCCTCCAGGTCCACCAGCAAACGCATTGCGAGGAGGCCCACGAACCGGCGATGCCGGATCGGCACTGTCATTGGGCAATCGTAACGAGGAGGTCTGTACTACTGGTCTCTGGGAACGTATTATAGAACTCGGTGGCTGATTGGATATGTTGGGCGGACCTGGCTGCCGGTCGTGAGCACCACCGTGATTAGCGCGGCCATTCCCCGTACGAAGGTACTGCCCAAAAAACAAGAGCACGACGAGCAAGTTACAGCCGCCGCCCATGATGTTGATCTTTTTGTTTTCTTTCATTTAACAAACTAGAACTACAGCAAATAGCAAAATATCTATGACATCTACTCGTCCGTGCTAACTACTTTTTTTCCGTATAAGGTAGAGATTCAAGGTTCAAGGTTGAGAACTATCTTCTACGATAATTTGGATTCACACAATAACATCTCGTTGATCCGGTTACACTCCACGACTCGGCGACCGATTTCACTACTAGTAAGAACTAGTACTACTTCTGAATTTGACCGATACCTTTACAACCACATACCAGAACAGATCCGCAGACGTGCAAGTGCAAGACAACACCTTTCTTGAGGCGTTTTTTAGATCACTACGATTTGCTTGTGAAGAACTGTATGTTGAAAACCACTCAATGTCAATATGGAGTCAACCACTCTGTAGATCTGAAGTTCAGCTTTCACCCGGGCCTTTGTTAGTTGTCTTGGCACCACTCAACGTGACAGAGAATGTTGAAGTTGTACCAATCAAACAAATAGTAAAAATACAATGATGTCTAGAATATAACAGAACAGCCTTGTTAGAATACGACGTAGTACGTCACCTCAACATTTCCGGAGGATTTCCTCATTTCGATTGATTGAAATCGATTGGCACATGGGGAGGATATGAGGAGCGTAGGGATTACATAATGTTGTGTGGAAGATCACTGAGTGAGAGGCGTTGAAAAAAGTTGGCGCTTTCTTCTGGCATGAGCATGATGTTGGATGAGTAAGTGATTGCGCGACGCTCTCAAGTCATTTTTCTCCGATAACATGCTACACAATATGTTGTTTCCCCCGCGCCGCGAGTACCATTCATATGGCTAATATACAGTGAACCTTCCCGGCTCCGGCACGATCGGGTAAGCACATCCACATGTAGCTGTTCCTTGTTGCTGTAGACTAATTTGGCGCATGGGCAGCTTTAATCCCTCAAAAAACTAGCTCTGCCTTCACAATAATTTAGACTTCATGATCTATAATATCTCGTTCACTCGCATGCGCATCTTAATCTTCGCCATCAGATCACATCTATGAAGAAATGCCGCATTTTCCGTACTTCCGCAGTGAGCTCTTCAGAGAAAGCTGCAGCAGCATGTTCACCCCTACAAGCCAATGACAGCAGTTGCACAGCATGTCTTCTCCAACGAGCATGGTTAGTATCCCACACTTCAGAGGCGTGGCTTTCAACTTCTTGAATCCGGTTTACTCCTGTCGTACTAGTCTCTCCTAGCCTGTCAAGCTCCGCAAATACGCGCTGCATCGTATCAGCATCGGAAACTAAGCGTCGCCTCAAATACTGCCCATAAGCGCGTGCAGCTGATCGAGAAGGGGCGCCAAGGGCGTTCTGTCCTGATCTCGTGCTTGTTTCTTCAGATCCGACGTTGCTTTCTTCAAGATGATAACCTTCCTTTTCACTTAGTTGCTTCAATGCAGTACTATTTTCACCTGCAATGGCCTGTTGAAGATCACGTTCCTCGTCGCTAGTTTTCTCCTGCAACAGAAAGTAACCTCTCGGCTGTCGAGTGCTGCGATCGGGTGCCGCCATTGCAGCCCAAAGAGTTTGGACATCTACCCAGTAGGGAGGATACTTGAACCGCGCAACGTCTAGAACCAACACCATATCACTGCTTGGATGGTAAGCGCCCACTGGAGAATAGTGCCCGTCACCCGTCTGTCCTAATCGCTCGCGGGAAAAGGAGACGACTAAGCGAGATGGTGGACTTGAGGAAGAGGAAGATGATGCTGATTCTCGTGTTTCGGCAGTTGTAACAGAAGCATTACCAGTTGTTTGTTCCGAAGACGGAGTACTACCTGACTCGACGAACAACTCCCGCAACGCTTTCCTAAAATCCTCTAAACTTGTGGTTTTATCGTCTGCATACCTGACGGAAGTTGCGAGTCCATTACACTCACTGATGTATGCAAATTCTTCCATTGTCACGCCTTGTTCGGAAACGCGCTTGCGAAAGCTGTCGCAAGCGCGAGAGCAAGCACCGGAAGAATCACAGGTGTAAACTTTAGGAGTCTTCGCACAAGGGCTCGAAGAGGAGAGGGAAGGTGTGGAATCTCCTATAATCTCAAGGTTTGTCGTGCCAGTTTTGCTACTAGAGCAGGAGGAAAGAGTTGTGTGGTTCGCGCGTTTTTTACTAGAAGAGCTACAAGTTGTAGAGCTAGTGGCATCTTCCTCTCCCACCAGTCGCAAACAGCTCAAGAGCATTTCTTCTGTCACCCACCTCCAAGGGGACTGCCAGACGCGTCCCGGATCAACAGCCAGAGAGTTCAGCACCATCACAATAGTGCTCGGACCGCAAAGGGGTGGCTTACTCTGCGTCAAGAACTGTTCCGACAAGGCCGCGTACTGCAAAGCTGCACTTTGATCTTTGGCTATGCACTCAGCCAATTTCTGTTGTCCTGCAGTAGAGCGGAAGAGGACAAGTGACTCTGGAAGTGGCCTCTTGTAGAAAGAAATGTAAGCTCCCTCTACTTCGGTGGAAGATGTACGTACTGAGAATGGCGTTGCGGGACGAGTCGAGGGAGCAGCAGCGGAACTATCCACCTGAGTGATGGTAGATGCGTCTGGTGGTAGTACTGTTGCACTAGCGAATGATGGAGTGGGATTGTCCGACTTTGAAGGTCTAGCTGACGCAATCGCAGGACCACTTTTAGTTCTACGCATGTAAGGCAATGGCGACGAGTCTGACTCGGCCTCCGAAACGAAAGACAACTCCGAGACCTCAGAAGACGCAGCAGTCGTTTCCAAATCCTCAAGGGCGTTTGCATCTACTAGATTCTTGATTTTCACGACTCCTCTTCTTTTGGGTTCAAAAGATTGTTCTTCTTCAGCTACTCTAATTCTACTGCTAGAACTAGTACCCCATGCACCTCCACTCACCACAGATGAAGACGGCGGACTTTTGGTTTCTCCTCCTTCTCCTCTGGTATCTGAATCTGTTTTCCCTTTCTTCATCCTAGAAGCAGGAGGAGAAGAAGTCGGCCCACGGTCCCGCAATATCCGTTCCATCGTGAGTTTTGAGGAATGTTCGGGGATTAGTGGCATCCCGATACGGTCACAGGGCCGAAAAACGATTCGCCTCCACCACGGACGAGGATTGGTAGGAGCCCCGTCACGACCTCTATCTTCTGCAAGACGAGCTGCGCTAGAAGATCGAGTAAAGGTGCTACTTGATGAAGAGGAAGTACTTGATGAAGATGGAGAACAAGGTAACACTTTACTCACTTGAACGTGTAGTTGCTGTCCGGGTTGCCGACCATCGCCTCTGCTGAAGAGATGCTCGCTTTCGAGCGAACGAATACCACTGTCTGCATCGGCATATTGTTCCCTCCGTCTGAGTGTTGGTGCTGCTGCAATAAACGAGCGTTTGTCTATGAATGCGGTTGACGAAGAAGACGAATCATGGTAACCTGTTGGCGCAGGCGATACTGAAGCTGTTCTAGCTGCACTACCTGTAGCTGTTGTAGCAGCAGTTGACACATCATTTCTAACGACTGTAGTTGCGGAAGGAGACCGCTTGAACAGCATCGGACTAGACACAGACGGTGAACAAGAAGATGAAGCTGATGCAGTCATGTGAAGATTCGTGTGTTCGGCTACTGGAGTTCGATTCAACATCCTCCTGAGCTGTCCACTATCTCTTCGAACACCTGTCGCTGTACTAGTACCTCCAGAGGACGACACATAATTTTTATTGTCCTTTCCGTTTCCTGTTGTAGCAGCTCTAAGTATCGCACAACAGTTTTCGATTGCTATGGGCTCTCCACTTTGGGGTGGTGCGAGTCCTCTGGACGAGGACGAACCACCTCCTTCTTCCGACGGACCACAGGACGCAGCCATTCGTCCGGCATGCACACCTGCAAGAAGGAGCGGACAGTGCGCGCATTGCCTTCCGAGCTCTTGGAAGGCACAGCCGGTCCTCCTAGCCGAAGTGCAGTGCAACATCTTCTTGAACTGAAGCCTAGCAGACTAGAGAAATCAAGCTACTACTTCAACACTAATCTAATATGCTTGCATGAAAAAAAAAACGTAAAATTTCTATAGCAGGCCACCTCTGCCTGCGTATAAAATTTTTCGTAAGGCGATTTTGGCCCCGCCCCGTATAATAACTTATAGGGGTCGCGTCAGGTCCCGAATGGGATGGGTCCGCTCTACACATCTATCAAGACCCTCCTGTTGATCCGTCGACATGGATCTTTTTCGATTTCAATTCATTCATTCACTCATTTACCTGGTCTTGCGGTATCTTTTGACCTTGTGCTAGATCAAAATGTTTTTGCATTTTGTATCATTTAGAGTTTGCGATTTCCGATTATTCGGACATTCTATTGTCGTGGAAGGACGTTGGATCTGCTTCAACATCGTGGTCATCTCTCAAGAACGTGAGCTCTCAAGAACATTTCTCAGCAACTTCATTTATTTGTCTCATTCCTCGTAGACCATCAAAGGCAACGCGACATGATGACACTGACAGCAAGAACTGTTGTATTTTTACTTGCTGATGGATGGATGAAGATGACAAACCAGGCACCAGAGGCGCAGATAAAAGAACAAACGAACTCTCTCGCGTCTGGAGGTCAGTGAAATAAAAAAGAGCAGTACTGTAGTAGAGGATGCTGGAAATGGAATCATACTACTTTCAATGTGAGAGAAAGTTGAGAGAAAGTTCTTCTTGATGAATGACAATGGATGCTTGAGGTTATAAGGAGGTAATAAATCTGACTGTTAGCAGAAGAAAAATTCAGCCCTTAAAAAGGACACCCCTCTTCGAAAAGGAAACAAACAGAGGGATCTCTTTTCAATAGACCGAACAATCAACTCAACGCCATTATGGTCTTCATAGTGAGTGAAGGAGGACATCTTCGCCTTCTAGGGACTCTATCTATTGACAACATAAACTTTTGCATTCACAGTGGTCATAGAACAAAGTTCTGACTTCTGTTGTTCATCATTTATACGAGTTGTACTATCTCGATCTACTTGCTGTTCTCTAATTCTTATCAACTTTAGAACCAACGATGTGAAATTATAATCTTGTCAATCTTAGCAACTGGACATAGTTACAGGTGGCTGCATCATATCGTCCGTAAAACAAATAGCTGTAACATGATAGAGGTAATCACGCATCCCCTATCTTCAGTTCAAGACATTATTTGGTTTTGCCATAGCACTATTTGTTTTGACATATTTTATCAATCTATTACGCACTCCTTTTCCTATCAAACTAGACTATATTAAATAACCACAAAATCATAGTGGAAAACGACCTCTGTGTAATACTGTCACTGTGGCAAGCAAAAGCTATGGATCTTCGATAACAAGGACAACAACTCGATAACTGATGGCAGCAACCTTGCCATGTGAGATTAGATTTCTTCAAATCATGGTCATGCTCACACTCGAGATGAAGAGAGCAGCTAGATACGATCTATCAACATTCCGCTAGCAGGCATGGTCTTTTCTAGGTGCTTCAACTTATTGCTCTTCATGCTAGAAGCAAGTTGTAGCCGGTGACTCTCCCATTGACCCCCCCATGTCGTTTTCGAGTCCTTGTCCCAGCTATGATATCAGTCGTGTTTTTTATAGTACTGACAGTGAGTCACGTTCGTCTCACAAAAAATCATAGAGATAGTATGGCTGAAGCCCGTGATTGATTGATGACTGATGTACCCATTCACGGGGTATAGCCCATGATCATGATCATCGTCGCCCCCGTAGTTCTTCAGGACAGTTCTTCTTGGTCGTTCTAAAATATAGCAGAGAGATAAAGTTTTCAGTATCAGTAGCAGAAAAGGACCCCAAATCTGTCTTGGCAAAATTGACAATGTAGATTCACGACAGGCAAACAGGCTGTCGAAGGTGTTGTATTTAGATTGAGTATAAGGCATTAGGTGGTATGTGGAAGAAGTTGTGATATAATTATTGGGGTGTTTTGATATAATAATCATTAGTTTGGTAAGTGGCGGATTAAATAAAAGTCTTCTATCAGTCGGTGTTAATTTCGTTGTACTAGGTAACATTTCCACTCAGCATTTTCATAAGCGTAGAAGCTTCTTCGTCAAATAATACGGAAGAGCTTGGGAACAAATGCGGTTGGTGAGGTCATTGAGTGAAGGGGAAGTTGCAGTCGGTGATGAATGAGGAGGCGAAGTAGGCCCCTTAGGAGGTTGTACTAGGTATGCGCTTGGGATCGAGGAACAGGAAGGCCCTCAAGATCGAGGAAGAAATCCTAGTCATCTCGTTCGTTAGTCAATTTTCTATCATTTAGACAACTTTCTATCTTTACTGTGGCGGCTGGAGGTGCGGACTCTCACGTAACGAGCACTAGGCGGCCGTACTTGTCGTTATTCTTACTATTCGACGATGTATTCTCGTCACCCCTTCAATCGCAACCCTTAAGCGCAGGAGACGAGTGACCCTTCATCCTCGCAGGAGAGGAATGCGGAAAATACTGCGTAGACGATCAAAGTAGTAGCTAGTTCATCCCGAGGGAAGCGGCAAAAGAGGAAGTATACTTAGTCAAATTGAAGCAAAGCCCCCTTCGCAACAGAGGTCGGCGATCAACTTTCCTGCTACCATATACAAATCACTTCTTAGACTCAAACAGAAATAACAAGTTATTCAGTTTGTTACTCGATCAAATAAGCATCAAGTTTTATCCTCGATACCGTGGTTTATCTTTATTTTCAACCTACCAGCAGATTCTAGTAAAAACTAACCATTAGCATGTATCGAATTAATCCCAGTTTCAGTCCTCATCTAGCTCATATTTCCAAATGCATACCAAATAGCAATGAAATATGAAAATCTCTACTCATCTATAGCTTACAAGTACTGTTGTAGAGCAACATGATGCTGGAAATCACTACGCTGCTTTTCCTGAGGGTGAGCTACATCATGTGGAAGTCACACAAGCAACTGACCCGCGAGCAGCTTACCAGTGCCCTCAGATCTCATACTGCCTATCCTTATGTCCATATGCTCTCATGATATCTTGATTTTTCAAGAAATGATCTTCATGTTGAATCGTCTGGTTCCTTCATCTATGTACTGGTGGTTTTTATTCATCGTGGTCCTATGTCGAGAACGGGAGACATAAAAATCACCAATACTCATTCATTCTTGCTCGCAAAAAATCTGCGTAGACTCCAACAAGTGGGCTACGTTTTTGGAAAGTGTTGTCAGTGCCAAGGAGCTCAGAAGATGGTACGTGAAATGACTGACGCGACGCTAACAACTAGCTAGAAGTGAAAGGCAGAAATTTTAAGCAGACGAGGTGGGGCACGAGTATAACTCTATACACTTTAGCCTAGCAGGACACGAACTAGATCGAGCAGAGTGAGTCACTTTTATTCTCGCAGGCAAGATGAATGAGCCAATAGCAATACTCACCGACTAAGAAGAAAGCCATATTCTAACTGGGATTCATATGCGGATGGATGTTGGTACTGGAATTGAAAGTAACTGGAAAATGGTAGGTACTACCCTCCTTGAATCATGTGAATGGAAATTAATAAGATAACCAAGGACGTAGAAGATCTTTCTACTTAAATGCAGTTTATGTTTGTGCTAAAAACGAAGGAGAGCCTACCATCCTCGGAAAAGGTCGCTTTCCTTGGTATCTATTCACCCCACTGATATTTTGCTAGAGGCGATCTACCTTTAACTGCTTTCTAGGCGCAAAAAGCTGCCTGCAGCTGCATTTTTCCTTCATCTTTCTCAGTACGTAATAGCCTTATAAATATATTCTAGTGTTTTACTTTTAGCAGTTGCTCACTTCTCGCCAGAGTATGTCTATGACGTAGAAGGAGTTGTCTATGTGATAAAAAGCGAAAAGAAACAACGAACATACTTATGCAGAGTTATTTCTAACTATCAGTAAGAGCGTACGTAGAGAGAAGAAACCACAAGGCCAAAACATGCGACGATACAAGCTACCAGAAAATTTAGATGACACGACAGGCACCCAGATGACACAAGCACCTAGTACTGGTACTGCAACGTTATTGTAATAAGTATTTCTTAGATGATACAACGACAACGTTCGTTACAGGCCTGCTAGTCGTATTTTCATTTCGCTTTCATTAAAATTTTCAAGAATTTCCTCCACTCGCTTCTTCTGCCCCCTTGGGCGCTAACAACTACTAAAGTGCTAAAATGTAAATGTTCCAATAAATGCTAAATATGTTAAGACGAAAAGAGAAGAAATGATTTGATGTTTTGCTAGGTGATATTGCTAACTATGCTAACGTTTTGATTTATCACGGTAAACAACTATCTCAGATGTTTTACTCATTTATAACTAAAATTCGTGAGTAGGTTCTTACTGTTACTCTTTTATCCATCATGGTCTCTAATCGAGTACAACGTGGGTCCTACTTACAAGTGCAGATCTTCACGGCAGATACAAAGAAGAGAAAAACTAGAAGAAGGAACCTCACACAAGAACGGCCTTATCGTCCGAGAACCAACCTCACACACCACAGTTCTAGAAGTCCTGATCCCATGCGTCATGCACAGAGTCTTGGTAGCTGATCTGAGGTGGCAGGTCTGCCTCTTGCGCTCTGAAGTTACTCAGATCCGTGACGGATCGAACCTTCGGGAGATGTGGTGGCCGCATCGTGAACTGGTACAACGCTTCCCAGTCGAATCGCGCGTACCACTTGTGCAGTCGCAGACTACGCAAGCCCTTCATTGGTAATCGGTCGTTGGGATGCTCTGCTAGTAGAGATTTCACTAGATCGACAGCGTCTGGATCTCGGTCTTTGTAACTGGAAAAGTTCACGGCTTCAGCACCTCGACAGATGTTCTGGTACGTGTCGAGTTGATCGCTAGCCTCAAACGGCGCGTGTCCGGCTAAAAGTTCGTGGATCAAAATGCCTAATGTCCACCAATCTACGGCTTTGGTCATCCCTGCCTGTCGTACGACTTCGGGCGCAAAGTAGTCTGGCGTGCCGCAAGTGGTATACGTCTTGCCGCTCGTCAGGATCTTCGCTAAGCCCATGTCGGTCAACTTGCAGTAACCGCGAGCCTCGAGAAGCAAATTCTCTGGCTTCAAATCCCGGTAGAGCACATTGCGCTCATGCAGGTGCTCAAGTGCGAAAACCACAGACGCTGAGTAGAATTTCGCCTTCGTGACGCTACCATGAAAGCGGAACTTGTGGTAGACCGCAAAAAGCTCGCCACCAAGTGCAGGCTCGAGAAGGAAGTAGAGATACTCGGTTGTCTTGAAGGTCGCATGCAATCGGATGATAAACTGCGAACTGCAAATCTGTGGGGTGTGGCGGGAGAGGTTGGTGAAGATGCAGAGGTTGTTATTCTCTAAAATTGAAATTGTAGATTACTGAATCAACAAGTACAAAAGCGATATCGGATTTCTTGAGAGTGTAGTTTCGTTGTCAGTACTTCTGAATTTTACAGGTGGAGCTATAGTGGATCGCTAGTACTATTAGTACCGAAAGGATCTCCTTTTCTCGCAGAACGCCTTTCTGCATCTTCATTTTCACCACATATCCCTTACTCAAAGCCTTCAGGGCGTAGGTCTTGTGCGTCTTCTTATGCTGCTCCAAGGTGACCGCACCGAAACCGCCACAGCCTAATAGTCCTACGCGTTGAAGCTCTTCTAACTCCACATTTTCCTCCTTCTTCGACTGCCTATTGATCTTCTTGCGGCTCAAGAAACCGATGTCAGACACTAAATCCAATAGAGGACCTGTCCGCGGTAGAGGATTGATTCACATTTTTGAGGTGGTAATAAAATTTTTGAGTTATGCTAAAAATGGGACTTTGAAAGAAGCACGAAAGTATGGCGTAAAAAACACCGTCCATATGTCGAGCACATCATGCTCTTTTGGAAAGAAAAATCTGGCTCTGAAACTGCAAAGGTATCACGATCAAGTAGTGGAAAATGAATACCAAGAACATTCTCGAATGCTTCCTTTGAGAGTGCCAAAATCTTAGTGTTGTCTTCTGCGGCGAGCACGCTTGCTCTCCTAGGTTCATTTCGCATGATGGCACGTTCTCCGAACCAATAAGGCTTAGCAGCATCGAACTTCACGAAGCCGCTTCCTGTTTGTGGTTTTTTGGGAGGTTTTGTAGTAATGCGAGGGAAAAAGAGAAAGAAGATTAGAACCTGCAACTGGTAGTATTCTGAACAACGACGACGTGAACAAATGAATATCAAAAAAACACCCGTACGTCTAGGAAATAAATTAGTAGTAATGCATAAGATGAACTACCTACGAAAATTAGTAGGATGTACTTTCTCCATCATTTTCCTCTCCCTTGTTCGGCGCTTGCTCTGGTGTTGCACTAGCAGCAGGAGTTGCTGCAGCTTCACCCGCCGATGCTGGTGTGCTAGAGGCGGCAGTGGTTTGAGCCGCTTGTGCTGTACTTGCTCCATTCGTTGCACTAGCTCCATCCGTGTTACCTGCAACAGCACCATCACCGCCAGCAGCTGTACTACCACTAGATGCCGCGTTTGCTGCATTCTCAAGAACCGCACTTGGCAGTGGCAGTCCATCTTGCACTGACTCAGGTGGCAGTTCCGATTGAATAATTCGCAAACTCCCTTGCTTCAGTATGTAGAAGAATTCTCCTTTGTCGCCTTCTCGGGTGATCGCCTTGCCGTTCTCAAAAGTCAACTCCACCAAAGACTCCGCCATGCGCTGTTTCTCAGATGAAAGGAGACATTGGAAGGTCTCGATGCTGGAAATGAATTCCACATACTCGTTCACCTTCTCGTCATTGCCGCCGACTAGTTCGCGCTTGAAAGCAGACCTCGAGATAACCCACAGACGTCCGCCGCCTTGTTGCTCCCTGGCAGTGCTGTCAAGTGCCAGGACATCTTGGTTCTGGTTGCTAGTGGATGACGTATTACTGGCGGCTGCCGTTGGAACTGCAACTGCTGACGAAGAAGAATCAGTCTGTTCTGAACTCGAAGCAACAGCAACAGCAGTGTTTTCCCCGCCTCTCTCAGTTGGGGCTGTGGCTGCACTAGCCGCGGATGAACTGTCAGCGCTCTGCCCAGCAGTCTCTTCGCAAAACACTGACGCCGCTCTGGGAACGTGATACAACAGAGCTAGTTCGCCAAACGAGCATTCTGGTCCTGCAGAGGACCCGACTCTTTTTCCATTTTTCTCGAAGCAAAAAGAGCCACTCTGGATAACGTAGAAGCGGTCCGCGAACATTTCCCCCTCCTTGATAATTTGCTCTCCGGGATGGATTAGAGGGAGACACAGGTGGAGGGAACAAGGGAGACGTGCAAGGGAGACGAACAAGGGAGACAGGACGGCGTTCTTCAATTTGAAATCGTGTCTCGGGTACTTACTACTACAACCACTTACTTTAATAAGTGAGTACTTAATATAAACGCCCGGGGAGAAGTAGTAGGAGTAGGAGTGGTAGTCGGCGTAGCAGTCTACCCAGTCAGGGGGTACAGAACATTTTCATTAGCAGCTTTACTTGATGAACCTAAAAAAAAATATTCCCAACTATACATCGCACAAGTCATAACTTAACCCTCTTCAACAATGCGCTTCTTGCCAGGCTATCCAATTGGCCTTCGTTCATCTGGACAAATTGCGTCAGATTTAGATTGCCTCGAATCGCACGCTTGATCAAATCGATCTGCTCCTTGGTTTTTTCCACGCGCTCTTCGCCAACGTTGACTCTTTCGCCTGAGGAGTGACTAGCTGTCTCAGAGGGGAAACGAGCTTTATCAAACCATTTTCTCCAAAAGTTCTTGCCTAAAAAAAACAAAAAATTTGGGAAGGAAGTTATAAAAAAACAAAAAGGTTTGGAAGTCAACGAATTACACCATCTACTCGTTTTTAAGGTATACTACAACTGGTGGCACTTGTAGATACATCTACTTAGCGAAGCAGAAAAATGATGTATGAAGGGTGAAGAAGCACAAAATCATCCATACCACCGGTAGGCTAAGTAAAAGTAACAACTTCAGAAATAAACCTTCCATCACTCTATCAACCTCAGAAATAAACCTACCATCACTCTGTCCGCTCTTTCGATAGGCTGCTAGCATCGCCTTCCTCCGTACGAATTGTAATTTTTCTCCTATCCCAAACTGCTTAAACTTGTCTCGGTGAATCACCAACACGGACAAGCCGCCATCCGGACAAGATTCTGGCACCCTCAAAGTCGCTGTTCGGAGGCAGTTTTTCACAATCGCTTGTTCGCCAAAGTAGTCTTGTTTACGGAGAGTGGCGATGAATTCGTCCTGCGGAGGACCTTGGAGGAGCTCAACCTCCGAAGCGAGAATTCTGCCTCGTTGGCCAGTCTCGACTATACGGATCGTGTAAGGATACTCACGTTGCTGGTCGAACTTGTCCACGACAGCAAGAGAACCAACGGGAACTTTGCGACCGCCGAAATGTACTTCTGTTTTGTTCGGTGAAGTAAAAAAAAAAGGTAAAAATCTTCATTAAAGAAAAGAACCAACCTCAAGAAAAAAAACGAAAAGTATGAGTAAACTCAAAAATCAAAAATCACCTCCAATCCTATCCATGCTTCAAACCAAAAAGGCCACTCCTAATCGTACCTTTGATATTCCGGACTTTATCCCCCACCTTCAGAAAGTTCTCTTCATGCGCCCACACTTGCGCTACACCGGATTGGACAATGTAAAATTCGTTTCCTTTTTCCGATTGGCGGAAGACCTCGCTTCCAGGTGGAAAATGTTGTTTTCGAATGCAACTGAGAAACGATTGTCGTGCACCATTCTCCTCGGACATTGCTGTTTTGAGAATTATTTGTCAAATCTTTTGCAAGGCATTTTTTCTAATTGTGTTGTCAAGAACAAGAAGCAGCTCCACTTGTATTAGGTAACACGAAGACCTATTCATACATTGAAAAACGCTGATGCAGTTTAGTATGTTGTAATTAGCAGGAGGTACATTGTATCATCCTCGCAAAGAGTGGAATCCCTTCCAAAAACTGTCGGATCGCTTCTTGCTCCTCCAATGATGGCACGGACTCTCCTGGTTCCACCGAGCCTCTATTCCTGTTATGGGAACTCGATGATCCTTGAATCTCCCTACATTGACGGTAAATGTGCTCAAACCGGATCTTCCACTTTTGGTACCCAAACGTGATGAAATCCATCAGCGAAATCTTCTCGTCGCTCTGGGCATGCTCATTGAGCTCTTGCAACCACAAGGCGACAGCTTGGTCGACTTGCGCCAATGTTGGTTCTGACGAAGCTTGTTGTTGTTTTTCTCCAGTAAAACTTGAAGTGCCACCTGGACTAGAACTTGAAGTACCATTAACATTCGCTGTTGCGCTACCAGGGGATGCAGAAGATGCTGAGCCAGCTGCTTGCGTCTCAGTTGAACTTGAAGCTGCACCGCTACTAGTGCTACTCGCGCCACCATTTGTAGTACTACTGCTTTCTGCAATGGTCGCTAGAGGAGGAGATATACGTTCGGCATGGAGATGGGTTTTGATTGCTCGTATTTGGATCTTACAATGCGTTGTAAGTGATGTCTTCAACTGCACAGACAATCGTTGAATCGCATTTCCATGTAAGCGAAACTCCTCGATGAGCAGAAAGCCTTGCATGCTCTCGCGCAATTTCTCCCGTAATCGATGAAAATACTTGTCCGCCGCAGGGTCGTTCGACGACGTGGTCTGTAGTTGGATTGAATGAATGAATGAATGAATGAATGTGCCTAACAGGAGGTGTTTGGACGTCCTTTAATTAGATGCTTGCTTTCTTTCGTGACTTAAGAAACTTAGAAAAAAAGTAGCAGCTACTTTTAAGAGATTAATATTTTGCTTCAAATCTGAGGAAAAGCTCCACGCAACAACTTCTGTACAACAAGAACTGTACAACAAGAACCTATCTGTATCTTACCTACTTCTATTTTGCATGAGGGGGCGCGCGTAAGACGAGAAAACCCCCTAGGAGCGATGAATAGTACCGAATTGGATCCTTGTGAAGGCGCTGCCTGACTACCATCCATGTGCATCATTTGTGCGGCTGCTGGGGCATCCACATCACCCCCAAAGAGTTCACATGAAATAGCCTGCAACAATGTAGCGGGTCCCACAGTGTTGTCCTTCTTCAACCGGGACTGATTGGCTCGGGCACCTGTGGATCCTTTTTGACGATGATGTTCATGTTTGTTTGGGACGAGAGTCGTTGCAGTGCTATACAGATACAGTATTTCTGTGAACGAACTTGCTATTCATTGGTGTGTAACACTGTGGATAAGGATATCACTTTGTAGTGTGAACCAAGAGCAACTTCTCAGCGATGAAAACAATAAGAATGAATGATACAGATCGACGCATGTATCGTGAGCGGTATTTCCGATGACGTCCCCCCCGTACTCCGATTATTTGACTGGTTCATCGTTATCTGCAGTGCCCCTAGCAGCATCGACTGCGCGCTAATCGTGTTGCAGTATATCAGCTGATAATGCTCCCGCTCATCTTGGGCCGTTTGTGGTCTCAATATGCGTTCAGACAGTTCCCTCTGCACTGACAGCATCCTCGCGACTACCGTGTGGTAGTCCTTGATCGCTCTCTGCTGTGTGGGCGTACATCCCTGTTGCTGCAAGGGCGTCTGCCACGCGTGAATGCATCCCGAAAACTGCGTCGCCAATTCTCCTAGGTCTCTTAAGACTAGGTTGGCGTTGTTCGGGTGCAGCGTTCCGATATTAGCTCGAAAGCACTCCTCCACACTGTTGTTGTTCACTTGCTGCAACCTCAAAGACGAAAGCAGCGCTTGGGCACTGTCTAGAGGCTGAGCCAGAGAGGCGATGTACTTCTCCCCAACCTGTGTGGATCCCTCACTCAAACTAGGCAACCGCTGTAGCACTTTCTGCAGATACTCTGGGATCATAGCAGAAGCTGAAACGCTGGTTTGCAAACTAGAACCTCCTCTATTCAAAGGAGCTTTTGGATGCGGCATTGTATTTCCTCCTTCTCCTCCTGGAAGAGCCGACCCACCAGCTGCAGACGATGCAGCTACAGAAGACGTTACAGAGAGAGCAGAGCCTCTGGTCCCAGACGATTCAGCTACAGACGAAGTTACAGAGGAAGAAATCTGCGCGAGGACTCCAGCATTGTTTGAGCTGTGGAGACCACGTGGCTGAGCAGAGAAAGTAGCTCCTCCTCCAGGTGTAGTAGTGTGTGTCCCACTGGAAGTACTGCCTGGTAGAGAAGCGCTACTAGCCATGCTAATAGATGATGCTCCTCCGCCTGCTGCCTGCTGATGCTGTAACATGTTTTGTGCCTGTGCTCCTGGAGGACCACTTCCTCCACCCCTACTAGCATGCTGTTGAGCTTGTGCTTGCTGCATTGCTACTAAGTGATTACTACGTGTTGCTGGTGCTTGAAGATGTTGTGAACCGAAGAAAGCGCTACTAGAATTAGGATTTTCACCCGCAACAGCAGGAGGTGCCGGATAAATATGGCCATAGTGATGTGGCTGTGCGGGCCCTAGCATGCTAATAGTGGCTCCTGGCGCATGCATCATCTTTACGTGGTTTGGCGGCACAGTTCCCGGCGGTGGCGGAACGCCATTGTTATGGAGCGGCGCTGCTGGCGCACCTGGAGGCGGGCCTCCTCCCATCGTTACCCCTACTGCTCCCGGAGGAGGTACAACTCCTCCTGCTCCACTCTGCTGTTGTTGATTACTGGTCGTGACAACGTATCCTCCTGCGCCGACGTCTCCTGCTGATGCTGCTGCACCGCTTGTTCCTAACAACAGAGAAGCTCCTCCTCCTCCCGGAACTAAACCTCCATGTGGACCACTAGCAACACTAGTACCTGAAGAAGGTGAAGGTCCTAAACTATTGCTATTATTCATCATCTGACCACCACCAGCTCCCCCATTGTTGTACAAGTTGCCACCTGCTATGCTTCCCCCACTGTGGAGGTTCCCTGCGCCACCACTGGCACTGTGGTAAGGTGCGTTCACGAAGCCCGCGCCCCCACCGCCGACAGCGGAGCCGAAAGGCACTACTCCAGAAGCACTAGTGGAATTCTGTGAACAACCCTGATGAAAGTTGGGAGTACTACTGTGCTGTGTCGTGTTGTGTTGTTCACTAAAACAGCTAGTTGTTGTCGTCATGGTCGTTGTCATAGTTGTGTTTACTGTAGTACTATTCATCGAAATTCCACCTCCGTTATCTGCACCTCCGCAACCGTAAGAGGGAACAGGTCCTCCAGGTGCCGCCACTCCTGCATGTGGCGCAACAGCGCCTCCTGTTGCTGCCATACCTCCGACAGGTCCACTAGCAGGAGACACTCCAACTCCTCCAACTTGTTGCTGGTCTACTTCTAGTACTGGACTACTTGTACAAGAAGAAGCAGTGGTCTTAGTACTATGAGTTGTACTAGGAGTTGTGCTTGTATTTGTACTTGTTGTACCAGTAATCTTGGCGTGCATACAAGCCCCTTCGCGAGCATACGCGGTAGAACCTGAGTAATCGTCCGAGTCCATACACGACGTGGAAGGTACTCGAAGAAAATCTTGATACTTTTTTCTATTCAGATCTTCTTGGTAGACTTGTACTTCTGGCTTCTTTGCTGTTTTGGTTGAATCTTCCTGCGGTTTTAGTTTTGGTATGTTTTGCTGCAGTTCTGACCCGAGGATATTTTTCCCCTTCCCGCCTTCGATATTATTATAGTACTTTTGTTCCTTGGTCTTAGAAGATGTGCTACTTTGCTGCAGAAGACGTTCTTCAACCTCACTACTTTCTCCACCTTCATCAACTGGAACAGATGAAAGGAAATTATGACAGGCGCGCGCTGTCTCTTCGTCAAATTGAAGCATTCCACGACAACCACATCACCTTTAGTGCCCTCAAATCTAGGTTAGGTTAGATTAGGTGTGAGTCCACTAGGAAAACTAGCAGACATCAGTGGCTGCTGAGGAGCCAACAAACACGACTACGACCTAGACCTGGTGACACTACGGCTACGCCAAGTCGTAATCCAATCTAATTGTTCTTCTTTCATTTTTTTTTTCGTTAGGAATCAATCAGTCAATGACGCTGCTGCTGTACAACGAAGCAACACACGACTACAACTTTCAAGTTGCTTCTAGACAAACAAAAGTACAACCTTATGCCGGTTTGTTTTCTTTTTTTCTTTCACTGACTCCCAGCACAAAACAAAAGTATCTATGGAAGCAAAAGTTCTACTTAGTATGTGGTCGTAAAGAACTCTCCTTTTACCACCGATTTCCGAAAACATTAATGTAAGCTGCCACTGCTTTTGCTTATGTTCTTGCACCTTTGACGTCGCAGATAGTGATCACAATATTAAGTACTAAGTTGTATGATATCGCGCTACGCTACCTGTTTCTGTCTATGCTATATTTCGAATGAACAGAAGATCAAGATTTACTCTGCTAGTGCTAACTTAAGTGCTACAGGCGCAGTATTTTCAAAGCTCTTTTTCGCTTTTCTTGACGCCTCTCTTAACCTGTCCAGCTTAGGAAATCGACGTAGTTGCATCTCGAAGAGATACAATTCCTCTTTACCTGATGTAGTCTAAACACAGCCCTGTAGGTGAGCATGATATCTTTAAGTGAATCGATGTACTGCAGAACAGCAAAAAGAGAATTGTCGTTGGTGCTTGCTGTCTGATAGGATAACTTCAGAACTTAGTCGTATCTCTTCTACCAGATTATCCCCCACCTTTTCTTGCGTTACAAAGACTGACTAAAAAAATATTTAAGTTAGTAATTATAATCTTTTAGCTACACTAGAGAAAGAAACAAAGATCATAGACAGTGGACTTGATATTTTTTCACAAGAGTGAAAGAAAAGAACATATATATAACGAACTAATCAATGCACAGAAGATTTCAAATTCAAACTTCACGAAGAAAACAAAAACAAAAAGAAAAAGAACTACTCCAGGTCGAACGACGAGAGACAGACATCAAAGCCACAATGCCTAAAAAAACAAAGAAAACCTGTTCAAGTTGTAATAGCGGATGATCCACACATTGCCTATAAATGGAAGATGCGTTATCAAGTATGTACGTCGTGGCAAAAAAAATGATTAGAATATATAAGACCTACTTTCCAGATTTTCAATATAGAGGTTCAAGAATGAAAGCACCTTCCTACTGGAAAAATAGGAGGAAGAGCTACACCAAAAAGTCGGATGATGATGATCTACCCAGCCCGAAGGCGGATAATAAGAGAATAAAAAACGATGCTCTATCACTTATCCACTTCTTTTTGGCTTCTAATAAGTCTAACAACTTAAGTTTAACCGTTTTGCAACAACTCTGCTTGCTATTCCAACACCTAGCCTACACTTCGCCCTACCCCTATCGTCCAGGAGAAAAAAACAAACTAAGTAACTACAATCTAATCACCTTTTCTAACAGCCTCCGCACCTGCGTCGATTTGGTGTGAATGAAAGTTGAATATGTGTAGAGGAGAAGGAAGTGCGTCACTGTGAATTCTTCAGTTCCCAAATCTGATTCTTGTCGCAATCCTATGTGTCTTCTCCTTCTGTTGAAACGAAGTCTTGTTTCTGTTGAAACGCATTGTAAATTGCTTTTAGAACTATTTTTACCGTCTTCCTCCAGTCAAGCACAGGCTGAAGATTTTCGATCTCGATTACTGCATCACGACAAGGATGAGGAGGGAACATCTGATGTGATTCATCTTTCATCCAGGCTCACAGGAGCTTCTCACCATGCTCTTGTGTTGAGGACCTTGTTTGTTGCAGAAGATGAAAGTATGATGGGACGATCATCTCCATGATGGAACGATCATCTCCACTTTTTTTGTCACATCAAGGAAAGATGTGTATCTTTCAACATGTGTTACTTTCATCATCATGTGTTACAACACGGAGCTATGTTCAGAGAGCACGATCATATTGCATACAAGAAGAGCGCGTGGTTTAGAAGGAGATCGAGATCATTAGATTTGTATTCCGTAAACTACTCTGTTCATCTGCTCCCTGGAATTGATTTGGATTTTGTAAGTCTATAAGTAGTAGTTTTGACTTCTCTTGTGCGCGGATTTTTTTCAACATATAGTTACAACAACTACAAGAACACCTCCACACGGTCTTCTAATTCTTCTCATTAATTTACTTGCGTACATGCCTAATTAAGTATGTGGTATCTCTCGGTTTTCCTCAGTTTTACTACCACATTGTCGTAGTCACGTGAAAGATCGAAGGATCAGCAGTTGGTTCTTGAACATAAGTAAGTCGAGTATGCTGCCAAATGTCAGATATTCAGTGCTTCTGATCTGTACTCCCCTGGCAGAAACATGTCTTTCTGTTGTTCATCTTTGTTTCTTATCTCTACCGCCCTAGCGCTACCCTAGTAAAATTGAAAGATCGAAAGAAGCTTTAGAGTTTCACCATGACGAACTCTCTGATAGCAGCCTGAATATCCTCTGGTTGCTGCTGACCACGAATAATCTGATGGATACCCTGAAACTCCGACAAAACCGCCTTCTGCCGATCGTAGTGATAGTGGTACCTGTTTGCATAAAGATGATCCTTGTGCTGACACCTGGTACACTTTTGAGAAGAGAGAGAGACGAAAAATGAACATTGATTTACTTAATATGGGCACGCAGGTCTAGGTAGTTGCTACCTATTCTGTACATAAAAATAAGAAATCAGTATCTACTATCATCTGATGTTGAATTATAGATGCAGTTTCTGTTTTAACTTCCTTTCATTGGCGAAGCTCAGTCTTCAAAAAAAGTTACCTAGCCGACACTTGATCGGGCTTATCTGCTGCCGATTGCACCAACCTCTGCCGAATCGCCTGTTGAGGTGCTGTCCCATAGTAGTAATCCCCAGTTGCAGGGTCCACTTTACGGATACTCAGTCTCTGCAGACACACTGATTCCGGTACTGATAGAGCTACGACGCGACTAGGCCACAAGTGTGCTTTCTTCAAAAAGCTAGCTTGAGCGGGAGTTGCCGGAAAACCATCGAGGACCCAACCCTTGCGGAGACCTGTAGTGACAATAAGTGGTGATTGAAAAGATATGCATATGCTGTAACGAAAGATGAGTAGAACATTATAAATTCTTGATGTGAGTGACAGGCTAGAAACACTCTAAATTCCAGTACAATCCGCTTGTCTAAGTCTTTTTCCCACTTTGTCGCACATCTCTTCGTCACTAAGACTTTCTGCTGGCACTCCTGCTACCATAGCGTTCACGTCTACATGCACTACGCCGAAGTCTGCCGCGACCTTGGCAGCCTGTGTTGACCTGCCACTTCCCAAGGGACCGAGGACGCATATCTGGTGTGATTTACCGCAAGGTACTAGGGAAAGAGGAATCATGATACCAGAATAATTCTTCGGTTGTAACAAGAGTATCAAATTTTGTGAGTCAAAGGCGTGGATGTGATACTTCTCAAGTCCGCCTTTTTCTGCTCCTGCAGTACTACCAAAACAAATAGAAATTGAACACATCGAAGCATAGACTATGAAATGAAAATGGTTACTTTCATTGATATACAGAGCGTATATAGATACAAAAACTCAATGTAGAATGTGGTCCTCTAGTAAGTACTCTGAGTGGTCCTCTAGGATCGTTCACAGCTCGCGCTACTGCGTGCTGGACTTGGTCTACTACTGAATCTCCTCCTTTTGTTAAGCTCACCTCGGTTGCCTGAAAGGGGGTGCAGTGATCAAGGAAGTTAGCTGAGGTTGTAGACAATGACAACACCGATCATTTTTGTGACAACAAATCCAAATGTTGACTAATCTATAAAAATTCAATTCGTTGGAGGCCATCCTACCACTTCATCTGTGTGTACCTATTTTTAGTAGTACTTCTTGTGTCAAGAAAGTAAGCTCCTTAGTAGTAGTACTGAGTTCTTGAAGATTTCCGCGACGGAGTGTGTATGTCGTAGGTAGATTTGGAGTTTTGAATTGACGTTGTCCTGCTTCTCTTCGTCTGTTGCGCCTGGCGCCTTCGCCAATAGATGCGCTTTTATTATGTGTTCTTCTCCTGTTACTATGCACACGCTATCTGGAACTTTCCTCATATTCTGCAATGCTCGGGCTTGTACCTAGTTGTTTGGGAGAATAGTTAAAGATTGGGATTCCTTGTTTGGGAGTTTTAAAGGAACGTCCAGTAAATGGTAATCATACATTAGACAATGTTTGTACCGAGTTCATACAGAGAACTTACTCTACTAAGTAAGTGATGATGTTAGTCGGTTCGGATTGGACCTACGACTTCCCTGAATCTTCTTCAAAGTAAGTAAGTAAAAGGAGACACATCTACTATAGTAACCAAAAGGAGACACATTCACATCTATCATTCATATTCCAAAAAAAAATTTGCCTTTGTTTTTGGGTAGCCGTAAAGTAGGACGCCCTTATTCGACACTGCCTTTTCGAGCGCGGTTTTGACACATGATATTGCGTCTGCATCTGCAGTGGCTTTTGTTTCATCGACCTCTTTGTCGACGTCAACAAGCGTCAAGTCAAATGATGACGCGACGGCTGCTGCGTGCCTAGATGGTGAAGAAAGTAAATGGGGTTGAAAAAGCATATCCTCGGTAAAATTTAGATTATGTTGGAGGAACAGGTTGAATTGTAAAAGGAATATTTGGATTGCTTCATTGATTGCGATTGATTTCTGAGAACATTCTTCGATTAAAACGGGGGATATCCCGGAACTCACGGCCAAGCAAAACGAAGTTGTTACTTGTCCCCATCCAATCCTGGTGGCGCGAGCATGCAGAGTAGGATTGGAGCTGGGCTCTGCAATTTCTCGACCAAAAATTAGACGTCGTAGCTTGCTCGTAGATCATTACGTCCATGGTTGACCTTGAGTGGTTTCGTTCCTGCCTGGAGCTACCTAAAATCTACATCCCCACTTGATTTCACAAGAAAATAAGGCGAGAATCCACTCAGGAGCACCAACAGCAACAATCAGCATATCTCACTGCTTCCCGAAGCAAGTGGTGGACTGGTTGTCACTTCACCACTCACTTAGGGTCATCCAGAGATAATGATCAACGACTACCACTACCCTTAAAAAAAGCCTATCGGATCTTCTGGTTGGGTCTTGACCAACTCCTTCATCAAATCTCGCATGATGAAGTAGACCTCATGGCCTTCGAGGTAGCTCGCCGCCTCCTCGACGAACTCCCGCGTCATTTTTTTTCAACTTAGTATGATCTTTGTGGAGTTTGGACTTTACTGATGGTGTTTGTTTTCTTCTTCTTGGGGCAAGCAAATGCGGATTCACACCAGTGCATGCCAATGAAGTCTCTCTTAGAATGTTCGTTGGTCCTCTTCTTGCGTTTCGAATCAAAAAAATCTACTGCGTGATCTAGAGTTCAGAAGTAGAGAACTTAGTAGTAACTGAAAATTCAAGACCGAAATTCAAACCAGAGCAGGTTACGTGGAGGTACAGAGCGGGGAATGGGGAACTGGAGGAGGTGAGCTGGATTATAGCCGTCCCTCGTCTGTCCTCGAAAGCAAGCCACTCTACTTTCGCTTTTTAGCACTGTCACTCGACTTTCGATTTTCTATATGCTCTAAATCAAGTTTAGTTTCAGTTCGTGATGTAGCTTGATTGCTCACACGAATTATTCACCGACTGTGAGGAGACGAAAGCTGTTTCACCGACACTTAACTCTGACAATAAAAATCTCATGGGGCTCAAAAATGTCAATCTGACGCTCGCGAAAACGACATGCAAACCGCCGCGAACAATCTTTTTGTAATGCGCCATGCATTTATGTAAACTAGGCGCTGACGATTTGAATCTATTCGGCAAGGTGCCTAAGATGTACCTGATGGCCCCTAAAATCTCGCCACAGCACGGTTTCTGGGATGTAGCAGTTCGACTCCCCACAGAACCGCTTATGCCACAACCATTATAATTCGCGAGAATTTGAAAAAATTCACATCAAGCTATGACGCCTAGTTATAGATGATTCTACTTATTTCTAATTGCGGAAATGTAGTATTACGTCATCGATTTGATTTTGATTCAGAGTTCCTACATGGGTGGATTGCGTAAGTATGTGAAAACTGCGTGGTTTTCTTCAAATATGGTGATGTTCATGTTTCTAGTATTCTCGCTATATTTTAAGTACATCAGACCGGATCTGCGACCATCCTTTGGTTTTCAGAGAACGCCGATCGGCAAGCTTCCAAGCTGTTCCGCGCTTCCCATTCTTAAGCCGGCGTCAAGCTTCTAAGCTCCCGCCCCACTTGTCGTAGCTGCTGCTGCTGCTGTCGTACTAGTACTGTCAGCCGAGGATGTTGATGTAGTCGTGGTTGTAGTGCTCTCTGTGGCGGTTTGCGCAGCTGGCAACTCTGTTTCTCCAAAAGCGACACGCCAGACATCCTCGTATGTCTTCGCGTGGAGGTTAGAAAAAATACATTTCATCTCTGCGTAGTGTCGCTAGAGGAAAAACTTTTCTAGCCAGGAGATGGATGTGCTTTCTCTAGTGGCATGTATCATACGTCTCCTGCTACAACTACTCTGATGCTATATGTTACAGAAATACATTTCTAGCACTCTCCTGTCTCAACCAAGGAAAATAAAGAGCCCTCAGTCTCATAAAATGTATCGCGATTCCTTCCTTGAGGTAGCTCGGCAGAGCATCCACGTCTCGCTTATTTCCGTCTGGAAAAATCAGTGTGGTGCAACTGGACCTACGCGCAGCAATGGTTTTCTCTTTAATGCCACCTACTGCCAATACCATTCCCGTGAGACTCACTTCTCCGGTCATCGCCACATCTGGAAGCACTGGCTTGTCCAGGGCCAGCGAGATCAGAGCAGTCGTCATTGTTACTCCTGCGGAGGGGCCGTCCTTTGGCGTTGCTCCTTCTGGGACGTGCAGGAAGATGTCGTGTCTGCGTGCGAAGGATACGACTGCTGGATGGAATTTCTTCGCGACGACCATGCTAATCTTCGTGCTTTCCTGCATTACATCGCCCAAACGGCCAGTCACATTCAGTGTACCCCGACCACCCGAGTCGGTAGCTTGTCCAGGAATTAGAAGCTCTAGAATCAGCCTGCTAGCTGAAGCTTCAGTTGTAAATAAGGTACTAAACAATAGAATAATAACTGATAGGGGTGGCAGATCCAGGATGGGATGGATCGGATGGAACGGATGGACTTCCCACCATTTCAAGTGGGATCGGAAGATTTAGGTGGGTCCATCCGATCCATCCTACATCCGTTCTATAAACCCCATTTGATTATTAATGGGAAAGGTAGTAAGAAAGAATCCGTTTGATTATTAATGGGAAAGGCATCCGTTCTATAAATTATTCGAAAATAAGTAAGTACAATCTGAATCAGTTGCAGAAACCAGCTTAAGCGACCTGAGTACTTCCACCAGAACATCATAAAGGTAACCTGTTCTTTGTGACTTGAGTACTCCAACAGAATATCATAAAGGAACAGAATTTGATTATCAAGATGTAGTTCAGTAGCTTGTGGGATCATAGTACTTCACTGAGTCTAGTGCAGTTGAGTCAACAAGAGGGAGAAAGATGAAACAGCGTGATGAAAACATCATAAAGGTAAACTGGTCTCGATGGCCTTTGTCTCGATGTATAACGTAGATCCGCCCAGTGAAGTCCATGCTAAGCCCATAACCACACCGGCTGGTGGTTGATCCGCAAATAACTTGTCAGACGTATACAACTGCTTGCCGAGATAGTCAGCTAGATTATCTGCAGTTATCTGCGGCAAGGGATCTTCTGGCTTTTTTGAGTCCCCCTTGCTAGAAGAGGAGTCTCCCTTGGTAGAAGAAGAAGAGGCTTCGCTAGAAGGAGTATCCTGTGTCTCTCCTGTGGTCTCTGTTGAAGCAACTTGCTCGTCTTGTTTGTCCGTGTCCACTGCAGGACGAGCTCCCGTTGCACTACTAGGGGTACTAGATGACGATGGAGATTCTGATGTAGTTGATTCTGATGTAGTTGTTGTGGAAGAAGCGTCGTCGGTTGCCGTTGATGAGGAAGATGCGTCGTCTGCCTCTGTAGTGGCTTCCTTCCCCTCCTTCTCTTTCTCAGCTTTCTCCGTTTCTTAGAGGCATCAAGTTTTTGTGGTGCTGTTCACGATATTATAATCGCACAGTGTTAAATCAACCAGAAGTCTTCCATAAGTAATTGTACGTACCATCACTCATGTAAAATGCTCAGTACATACTAACTACGTCTACTCATCAAGTCCCTCTCCCACCCAAGAACCATAATTCTCTTCTTTCTCCTGCTCCGCTTGATCTTTTATTTCTGCTCTTTGGAAGGCTCGCTTGCGACACAGCTTTTCTATCTGTTTCTGCAAATTTCGGACTCCTGCTTCTCTGCAGTACCAACGTATCATACTATCGATCGCGTCGTCGCCTATAAAACTCTTCTCATCTACCCCAATTAACCCAGACTGCTCCATCACCTTAGGAATAAGGTAGTCTTGCGCAATTCGCGTCTTTTCAGGAAGGTCGTAGCCACTTAATGGGACTTAGATGTTGTGGTTGGATGGCGGAAATGGGGTTCTGGATTCATTGGGGAGGTCTTGGGGGGGGGGGTTGCTCTCCTCGCGTTTTGAATCGCTAGAAGATAAACCGAGGCTAGAGTACAACAGAAAGGTGGATGGACCTCTGTCGCAGCTTCATGATACTCGACGCATAGACTGAGCAAGAAGGTCGAATAAAAAACCGGGTGAAGGTATTTCACAGCCTTAACGAACAACTTCCATGCGATCCAGCAAGGGTTCAGGTATTGTATCCAGGACGTTCGCCGTGCAGAGGAAAAGAACTTGTGAAAAATGAAGATTAGAGAGTATGCAAGATGGAAGCAAAAGGAGTACAATATGATGCTTGCACTGTATCAACTTCAGGGGCTAGAACAAAGTCAGTGACTGAACCCGAACACATAGACCACGAGTGCTCGTAACTGAGAATGACGAGAACTCAGAAAATTATCAGAAAGCCTTAACAACTGGAACATCCAAAAAATGGTCCACGAAGCCCTTATTTTGGGAAGGGTCTAGGACTTCGAGTAACGCCGATGCCGGGTCGCCATGCATTCCTCCACGCCCAAGCTTATCGATTTCGTCGGAGATTAGATGAGTAAAGGCAATATGACTGAATGCTTGTGATGGATGGTGCGGAAGTAAGTAGGCAAAGACTCGTCGTGGAAACAGAAGGTTTAGAAACGACTCTTTGAGATGCGTAGATTCAGTAACAGTAAGTAGAAGCGAGTACTTGCTAGTACTTACCAAAATGAAGTAAGTGAACTTCTTCTTCTATCAACGACAACGACTGACACTGACACGGGAATGATTTCTCATAATATGAGAATTAAGGGGTTGTTCACTTTCGTCTGCTTGAGGCACTGGATAAGCTTTCCGGGCATTGCGCCGATGTAGGTTCGTCGATGACCCTTGATTTCGGCTACATCATGCAATCCGCCCACTGAGAACCGGAAAAATTCACGATTGAGGCTTTCCGCGATAGACTTTCCTATCGACGTCTTTCCCGTACCAGGAGGGCCGACAAGGCTGTGTAAGAATTTGTGATATGAAGCGGTTGATTGGAGGACGGATCATACGGGAATTGAAAGCAATCGACCCACCATACAAATATCACACAGCGGCACTCCTAAGGCACGATCAATTATTATGGTCTTTAGTATGGAGTTATTACAATATCGGAACATTCGTAGTTGGAAGTACGTAGTAACTACTAATGATTTGATTCTAAAAAAACTAAGAAGAAGGAGAAAAAGGAGGGAAGAAATGGAAGCCTATCCCACCCCAGGCAACAAACTGCAACTCCTAGGAAGTTAACAGAAACACGACCAAGCCAGCTGGCGGCCAGTAAGGTGGCCACCCTGCCTATCAAATGGCCCCAGTTATGCGTCGCTGGCCTTAAGCCTTTGGAGCCCTCGCCCCCCCCAAGAAGCCCTCCGACTAACCTGACTAGAAGCCAGGACCGACACCAGAAAGATAGAGGGGTCTACTTCTTTTGCGGGGGGACGCGGCCCGGCTGCTTGTTTACACTTTTGCGGGCTAGCCCCGTCCCCCAGCCTCCCCTTTTCGTTTTTCTTCTTCTTTTTCTCCTGCTGGGCGCTGGTGGTGCGCTGGGTCAGAGCGGCCGCGCGACGGGTGGTCGTGGTGCTCGTGCTTCCTACTCCTAAGTAAGCCCAAGCCCAGCGGCATAATGTCCGGCAGGTGGTTAGCTGAAGCCCTCTGCATAGAGGCCACAGAGGTAAACCCTTCACATGTCTCCAATCAGGCCCTTGCGTGTCGGCTGCTATCCTATTCGCCCAACACCCTCGCTCGGCTTCCTTTCCACGCTTCCCGCTGGCTTTTGCTCTTTGAGGGTCCGGAGAATGAAACCCGACCGCGCACACGCGCGCGGCAGAAAGTCCTTGCAGAAATGTCGCGACGAGCTGGCTCGCTGGGAGCCAGATACCCACCCCAGGCGCCAGCTAGCGCCAGAAGACGAAGAGGGCGCCCCTCTGCATAAGTGATAAGAAAAGCGCAAGACCCTCAGACCATGTCACATCCATCCCGCCAAAACTTCCGGGACACCCAGCAGCCTCGACGGGCTTCCTGGGGAGACGAGGGCTGCCGCTGCGGTTCGTTCCGCCCCTCTCCCGAAGTGCAGTCAACTATCTCGCCAGCCCGCCCGCTGCCTCCTCAAATACTCCAAGCCCCGTCGCCCCGGGCTTCCTTGAAGGCCTTCCCTCTGGAAGGCGGGGGCCCTCTGGCTGCGCCCCAGGCGTCCTCCCCCGTGTAACCCGAAGAGCCACCCGCCCCGGCTAGCGCGGAACTTGCTTCGGGGGCTGGTATCGGTGGTTCCCTTCTCTCTCCTCCCTCGCGCGCCGCTCGCTGCGGCGCGTGCGCGCTTTTCGGGTCTTCCTTTGCCCCCTTCGGCTCACCCTCGCACTCGGCCCTGTAGGGGCGCCAGTCTGACTCCCTTCGGGCGCGTCCTGCTCCTCGACGCACAAGGCAGGGATCGGGGACCCGGGTTCGCCGAGGCGTAGGCCAGCACGCTGCGGGGCGCACGTCCTAGGGGGCGCGGGGTTCTCAGCTCTCTCCCCCTTCTGATGCGATCGAAATAGCACGGAGCCGCCCTTCTTGGATTTACACAAAGCGCATCGACACGCAGCAAAAGAGACCACAAGCACACAAGGAAGTGCCAACTTGAGTCTATAGATACCAGATAATTTTCCCTTGAACGCTGCCTTTGAGCTTTCCCACACCGATGAACTCCAGAATGCGCTCTTTGACGTCGGTTAGCCCGTAATGATCCCGATCAAGGACGTGCCGCGCCTTCTTTAAATTGAAGTTTTCCTCAGACTGAGCCCCATAAGGGAGCGCCGTGAGCCAATCGAGATAGTTGCGCGCAACTTGGAATTCACTGCTCTTTCTTAGAGATATTATCATGGGTACGTAAGAAGAAGAAGAAGAAGATTTGCCTAACAGGATCCCCGCCCGTTCTGTGCTTCTATGCCTATCTTCTTCTTCCTATCTAGGGAGGAGGAGTAAAAAAGGGCACGCTATTAGTTCTTTAGGAAGATCAAGATCGAGGAGCAAGACCTTAAATATTAGCATGCTCAACTTGAGGTAACGATAGATCTACTCTCGGACCCTAAATATTACGATCTATTTGTGGCGCATAAATTCTTGTCGAGGTACTGTAGTTTCTCCATTTCCTGGTCTAGGACTTCCTTTACCTCTGTAGGAATTTCTCCCTTGATTTCTTTCTCTATCCGAGTCTTGAATTTGTGCACGAGGGCGTCTCGGTCATCCTTCTCCAGACCAAGCTCTTTTTTTATCACTTGCGACATGAAAGGGGAGAAGGAGAGGGGAGGACAGAAGAGCAGGATGAGAACCATATACGACCCAAGGTAGCAGCAAGATACTTATCATCACAGGTCTTGCTAATTGAAAGCTTGTTTGTAAATGTGACTGTCATGACTGAGAGAAGGAACAAGGCAATAGAAGACAATTTATCGAAGGGTGATTACTTAAATTTCAACAAAAACTACATCACGTCTTCCGGTCCTAGTGCATGCTGGTCTTCTTCATGTGCTCCTGAATGAACCATAATTGAGAACTTACTAGAAGTCATGACTAAAAGCAGTGACATCTTCTCAACAACAAGTGCATCTGCATAGGATAATAGGATAGGATAGGATAGGATAGGATAGTATAGTATAGGATAGGATAGGATAGTATAGGACAGGATAGGATAGGGCGCCGCTGCTGAATCTTCACGCTAGGTGAAATCTGCATCAACTGCCATAATCATTTGTTCCCGCAGGTAGAACTCCTTTTGTTGCTTCTGAACTGTCTCCTCGACACTTGAACGAATCCGAACTTGTGCTTCTAGAACCTGCCTCTCCTTCTGTAGGAGCGCATATGCTAGCTGCAATCGTTTGAAGCCGTTCACTTCCTGAAAAACTTCCATCGTTTCTTCCTTCGACGCAGACAGCATCGTGGCTGAAGTGGGGAGGAGGGTGATTTTGTGGCTAAGGCGAAGAGAACGGTCCTTGTGGTTGTACTTCATTGCGGCTGAGGTGGGGAGAAGCAACAAGAATGCTTGTCGTAATTATTAAAATAATACTTCCGAAATCCGCGAGTCTTCCTGGATTTTGATGGTCAATCTTGAACGTCGGAGAGCGCATAGCATATTCCAAAAATTCTCGGAATTGCGGATTTAATCGGAAAATGTCCTGAATCAGCTTTGATTAGAGTGGCAGGAGCTAAGAACCTTGTTGGCCATAGAATCTTAGAGACTTGTCTTCTCATGGCAGGAGCTAAGGAATATTTCTATTTTCTTCAAAGAGAGGGAGGACCTCAAGCCCACAAACAATGTTAAACCATTACATTTACAAAGAAATAAATACCAGCTAGTACTACCGGAGTCTATTTCTTTGTAACTTAAAGTTCAAAAATAGTCCTTAATTGACAGTTTCTTGGACCAAGGCACGCGCTTCGCTCTCGTCCTCTCCCCTAGCATGCTCAGCATTCTTCGACCAATGAGCGACATTGGTTACCATCGGCGGTCCAAAGCTTTCAACTTGCTTTAAGGTTACCCTTCGATGTCCGGTGACGTGGATCTGGCGCAATGAGAATGAAAGGGATGAGTGGACATGGAGTAATTGCGAATGGACTAGATTTTTTGCTGATTCAGGACAAGGCACACGCTTGCCAGTCGCATGATAGCCAGACCGCGCGATGAGTGGACATGAAGTGAATACATGTAAGTAAGTACATATTTGTGGGCAAGGATATGCACGTCTACGCCACAGGAGATTCAAAGAAAGATGAACTTGAGTATCACGTATTTCCAAATAAAGCTACCTGCAATCCCCCCGTCGCTTGCAACGGTACTACTTGTTGAATACTGGCCAGCGTCCCTATGTTGTATTTAGAAGACCTTCCTTATTATATTCATCCTGAGCGGCATCTTTGGCGCGTTTTCCCATTAGAAAAGGAGTCAAAGACGCCTCTTAGGATGAATTACTGTAAGCAATAATGTATAGTTGTGACGTCGCGGTCACGATCTCCTCATCCCCACTGGCGCTACTTGTACCTGCATCATCGTCCTTGCGCAGAAAGAGACCCAAATATGGCGTCTGCGATTGGATCAGGCGGTTCACTTCGTTCACCACTTTCTGATTCTTTATCCATATCGGCATCAACTGTCCAGGCAGTAGAGGCTTTCGACTTATGTTAGAACTAGTAACGCAAATCCATCTCCAAGAGCATCCTGGCGCCCGTTTCCCCTTGAGAAACGGAATCGCATTTCTTCTAGTAAGATGCATTTCTTATAGTCTTAATTATGGGAATCGAAAAAATGGATTGAAGCTTTGGCGGTTCGCCGACAGGGGAAAGGCTTTTCTCACTTGACTGACGTGACATCCCACCGCCAAATTTAGCATCGGCCACGTCGAACAAAATATGAAAGGGAAAGCTTCCACCAAAAAAAGACACCTACTTGGCCTAAGAATAGAGGGAAAACCAACCTAAGAACAGAGGGAAAACTGACCTAAGAATAGAGGGAAAACTAACCGGCTGCTTTTCTTTTTGTGCTATCTACTATACTTACCTTGCTTCAAAGTGATGTTTTGTCCCTTGAAACAAGCTGTCTTCTTGGTGGTGCAGTTTTTCATAACATCCTCCACGACTACTGTCTCGGCGTCGTGGTGCGTTGCTCCGTCGCCAGTAGGGCTCTTCGCTTGCATCTTCTTCTACTGCACTTCCTTCAGGTGGCTCTGGTGTTGATGCAGTAGGTGCTTGTTGCTCTGACGATGCGCTATTTTCTGCAGCAGAAGTTTGTTGAGTTTCTCCGGCTTTCGATGGCGTTATTTCCTCCGGACTAGGGCTAGTTGAAGCACCATCATCGCCAGGCTTATTCTTTCCATCTTCACCATCGCCCGAAGAGCTGAAAGCTCGACTTGACTGAAATTGAGTCAGTCCTCCTAGACGACCATTACCGTCCAAAGATGATATCCTAGACGGAGCTGAAATTCTCTGTGTCTTCTTGCCCCACTCCTCTATCTCTATGCGCAGACCACTCCCAAGAGAGGTAGAAGAACAACTACCAAGCGCGCAAGAACTTCGAGGCCTCAACGCACTCGTCAGCCATGATGATGTTCTCAGTGCTACCGAGGATGAAACGGACCGGGTCCCGGCATTCCTGCTGAGATTTTTCGTCGTGACAGCCAGCATTGTGATCGATGATTGACGATGAGGAAAAAAACCTTCCTGGGACTGGTCGGTACTGGATATGCGCTTGCGCTCCCACCGTCTTCTACCAAGCACGTTCACGGCGTCCAGTCTCCATCACTCACACCGCCTCATCCACGCCGCCGCACCAACAACTCTAGCAGAAGAATTTCAATCTATTCGTCCTCATCTTGTTCTCTACTGATAATTATGGACCGACATTATTCAACATCGGACACGGACGCAAGAGTGACAATGTTTTAAAAAAATTAATATTAACTATAAGAACTATATAAAAACTTTGCTGCGTGTCTGCTTTTCTTTCATGAATGACTCAGATTGATGACAGCAATGCAATCAAATTTACATTTTCGATCAAACAGGCATCAACTATGTATTAGATGAAAAAATTGCTCACACAATCACGTGTCCTCTCTGAGCATAGAGCGTTTATTGCTCCGGAAGATCTGATTATATAAAGTAAGTTCTAGCCTGTAATCTACGAGGATTCTACGCGTCAAAAAAGTGATCCAATGGACTGAGGCTTCTTACTCTCGCTTGACAATTTCTCACACCAGATCATTCGCGTCCAGAGCTGCATCTCAGACAAGTAAACCGCAGATCAGATGTTATGTTGATGCCATATTGATCAGAAGCTAAGCTGTAACGACTAGCAATATTGTGTTCTTTTTTTCCTAAACTTTCAACTTGAGGGAGATGTAGGCGAACACTCAATCTCCAATAGACATCCACGAGGGTTCTTGACGCAGTCGCTGCGACCAACAGGCGAGTATCAGGCTTCTCTTAAAACATGTCTATGGCGCTAAAATCTTATCGAAGTTTTTTGGAGCAACCTTGTAGTTCTTAATCAAGGACACTTAGGTCCTTGGTCAACAAACAATATCCGAGTAGCAACACCACATCATTTTTACTACAACAATTTCAGCCCTCCCGTGACCTGATCTACTTGACTTGCTGGTGCCGGACCCACCGCCAACACTGTAGCACTACCCGCAGCAATTTGCGTTCGCCCTGCGTCGTGTACTACGTAAGTACAGAGACCTTGTTTTTTCGCACTTCTTTCTAAGTTTTGCATTTCTTCTTCAGTGTTGCATTTAAGAGCAATCTTCGCCTGCCCAAACCGTTCCCACTGTCGAACGCGACCTCGACCAGCTTCTGAGGACATTGCTTTCTGGTAAGCGCCTAAGACTGCGTGGCCGCATTGTGCCGCTATCTTTCCTTTCTGCATGCCTAAGTCCTGTCGAACGACAAGCACCATCTTCAACTCTTCTGATATTCTGCTGGCGGCGGCGAGAACCTTTGATTTTTTACGAAATGATTGATTCGTCTTTAACTTTATCTGATTGAGGAAGAGGAACTTCTTCATGATCGCCTTGTTACATCCATAGTAAAATAAATCAATGCTTGCTATACATAACGAACATATCTACTAATATGGTCATAATCTTACTCGTAAACAGCATCATTAAGAACAAATTCTGCTTACCTCCGTTGTTCTTTTTGCCGCACCCGATGAAAACGAACGGAACAACATCGGCAGTAGTTGTACGGTAACCAGCGCAACTATTATTCCAGTCCAGAAACTCGCACTGCGTAGTGTCTCCAGCAACAAAGCAACTTGTACCATCTTTTTGTCTAGAAATTTGGTTGGCTACTGTGTCGTGAGGTATTTAATGACAGTGAAACCATCCACGAGAAAGTGTAGTTAAAACAATGTATGAGGATTTAAAACGATCGGGATTTTCAAATTTGTTCAAAGAAAAAAAGGAAATCGCAAAGAAAACGGTGTTCTTGGGAGCTAACAAATAGCTGCTCTTCGAGCCTGGTGCGAGAACATGCGTGATATCTCCGTCAGAGAATTCATTTGTACCACTATGAAATTGAGGAATGGGGAAGACCGTCGACTGCTTTTTCCAATCTTCCGTGGGTTGTATGTGTACAACATGATGAATTCAGGGATGAATGCGGACAACTTTTTAATCTTCTGGTTATTCTTTGATATGACACTCTTTTCTCATGTTGCGTGCTTGTTCTTTATAAGTAGGCCGATAAGAGAAGGATGTGCTCGAAGGAGATCTTGATCATATGATGTACAACAATGGTAGATGCCGGTGAAAGGCCGTGATATTTTCATTTTCAACCATGATGCATCGATAGAAGATCCACATCGGGTTTTGTTCCAGTGAGAAATCGATTCATTTGGTTTGTGCCTGAGTCGAACTTTTTGGGCTCGAAACGTCATGGGTCGCCAAATAAGGTGGCTCTCCTCCCACCTCCATCTTGTATGTTGAACCTGTGGAGGAGCCAGAAGTATGTGTATGGAAGGACAGGGAGTCAACATCAATAATGTCAAATAGGTATTAAAAAGAGCAATACGTGATATGCAAAGACGAATCTCAATCTTCATGAATGTCTAACATAGGCGAATCATTCAAGCAACAAAAAAATTGTCAACAATAGTCGTGGTGGAGCCGACCTAACTAGAAAAAAGAAAGACCAGAGGAAGATAGAAAAGAGAAAAGGGTAATTTAACAAGTACCATAAAGCGGCGTTTCTTGGGTGGACATCTGTCGAGTACCCATCCAGGACTTCATATTCAGACTGTTGGGCATCCCATTCCAGTATTTGTATTTGTCTTGGTGCGGTACTTGCGTCGCTGTGTGGGTTGCGGTTGATTGGAAAGAAGTCAGACCTGATGAATAGCAATCAATTACTCCGCCTTCCAGACCACAAAGAGTAAACTGAAGTCTGGACGACGAATCACAAGTACCTCTCGTCTCCGCCTGTCTCGTGACTACTTTGCCGATTCTGGTGAGCGTCACGTCCCAGGAGTTGTCATTCACGTCTTCTTGCTTAATTGGCAAATGCCTCACGGGTTCTAGGCGCTTGAAGGCACCTGCCTTTCGAACTCGCAGTTCCAGATTGTGGACATTAGAATGCATAGATAATCAAGAGAACTGTCCAGGGAGAGAACTGTCCATTGTCGCAGTAGGAACAAGAGGCACCACAACGCATTCTTGTATCACAAGAGCTCGAGAGTTAATTGCAAGTGGTTACCATCAAGTACAAGTATCCTAACATCTTTCCTTTGTTTGGCTGCCGCGTCACGGTGCAATTTGATAGTCTCCTCACGCAACAGAACGGACCCTTCCTTCCCCGTTCGATTCAATATGTCCCCCATCTTAATGCTAGTCTTTCGTCATGGGTAGTTCTCGATGTGAGTTGTACCTTGAAGTGCTGATAGAGGTCGCGTAAAATTATAACCGTAGCTAGTTAATTGTCTTTCCTCTATGTACTTATTCTGTAGTTCTCTTTTGATTCACCACGTGTGAAAAGATTTGATGAGAAATTCGACTTATAACAACACAAACCCCATTAAACTCTACAGAAGAAGCTCCCGGTTGTGTAAAGTGAATTCATAGTGCAAGGATGGTGACAGGGTGAAGGGCAGAGGGTAAAGGAAACTCTACTTACTTGCAGGCTTCTACTGCTAGAGAAGAGGTGCTAGGGGGTGGGCATGTTCTCGCTCTACAACCGATTATCGAGGATATTAGACAGAGTCAGTTGGAAGATCCACGGCCACATTCCGATTTCGGAAAACCGATAATCGCGGTACCACAGAATAGAGAATCACAACCGAGACAGGTCGCGGTATTTAATTGCTCGTCTCTCTATATCAATTGAGGTGCGTTGTGGTGTGGGTAAGAGGAGGTTCTTGTTGTTCAGCCGCGAAGGTGTGTCGTAGATCTTCGGCCTGGTGACGTGATGTTCTTGACACAGAAATGACTACCCGAGAAATATCGACGTTTCTGAAGAATTATTTCGTAGTGGGTAAAACGAACACAAACATTTTCCCCACGACACTGCTCCTCCTCAGTAGCATTGTACCCTTATTTTCTTTTCCATTTATTGGTGCGACTTTTCCTATCTGGACCACTGATAACGGAACTCATACAGTCAGGGAGTACAGTCTAACTACTTCGAAAGATCATGTCCTCATGGTGGATGCTTCTTTTTCTACAATGTATCTTAGCCATCCTATTCATGTTCAATCGTTCGATTCGGTGTTTCTAAGACTAACCACATTCCAACTTGAGACTGAGATAGAAGCTGTATTTCTGAGATAAGTAGCTAGTTTGTTTCTGAGCTATTAATAAGACATAGATATTGAGTCCTATACTTTGTTTTTTGATTGAGATTTGCACTATCCACCTAGTAATTGAGATTCTTTGCACTTTTCACAAGATTAATGGTTTTCTTGGTTATCGATAATATCCCATAGTCCTCTCGTTCTATGCACAAAATTGAAGAAATTGATAATTTTTGTTGAGATGATCTACGACAACAACAACATGATCCCCTAAGAAGTGTATATAATAAGCGGAAGTAGTCCTCCCTCTTCTACGTCCCTCTTACTTCCCACTAAAAACACACCACACCTGAGAACATCAAAAAATTACACCTCAAACTTGAAGTTCGTAATTTTCATCGCCGTTGCGCCCTCGCCACGCAAGCCCCCGACAAAACGCTTCCACTTTTGGCTTTGCGTGGCTTTCTCCACAGCGGTATTGATACCCTGATCGCGGGGTAGCCAAGTCTGCGTCTCGTTTTCTCTCCTGAACGTGCTTCCCTTCGTCTGTGTAGAGACCGTGGTCTTGCGGCGGATATCTGTTGTTTGGAGGAAGAAAAGTCATGCTGGGGCTTGATGTTCACAAGTGTAACGCAACGGATTTTGGAGATCCGGATCCTCACTTTCCGAGAGAAAACAAGTGCACTACCTGCCATTCGCAACGCGTCTTTCCTAAGCTTCCATTCATTCCATTCATAGTTGGGGTCTATGTGCGACTCCACAAAGTGCAAAGGCGTCTGAGTTGATCCATCATCTTTTCTCTGCTCCCCATAATGCTGCAGGACAGCTTGCGTTAGAGCCTAGAAATTCATTTGAATATTTTTCACTTGAATATTCTCACTGGTGGTGAGTGATGAAAAACTAATGACCAATGTCTTTCATTTCCTTGTTGCATGTACTTATGCTCGTTCCTCGTCTAGTCTCCTTCTATAGTGAGCTTCTCAACTACAAGTAATTTCTTTGTTCTCACAGAAATTTATTAATATCGGATACATAGTACAATACCAGGAATCTACAACCAACACGAATCATAAATGTAGACTTGACTGCGGAAAGTCCTCATGTAATCGCAGGAGCTGGACGAGCTGCGGCATCTGGTAGCACATCTCCCTGACGTTCAAAAACGCGTCTTGAGGTTTCTTCACGAATTCCTTCATCCCGGATCTTAGAAGAGAGACGGCAAATATTTCTCCATCATTTCATTGGCTGCCTTACTAAGTACATAGGACAGAGGAGGAATTCTAAAGGACATAAGTATTTCTTTGCTTGTTTCACGACTGAAAACAGCAATCAGAATCTTTCCCCCATGGGTCTTTCATAACTCTAAATCCTTGAAGACACAAAATCTGCCTTTGTACTGCAGTACACCGAGACTAGGGTCACCCGGTGTTAGGTAGGAGGGCAGAGTAGCCACACAAAAGCCCTGAAAGTCTAGCGGCAACTGCAAAAAGTTCGCTGTCGTTTCCGGATGCAGGAAATGAAAGGCTGCAGCTATTTGGTGTTGTAGTAGTAACATCTTAATATCCTACTCCTCGAGCAGACGTTGAGAGAAAGTAAAAAGCTTCCTCAGCTTGAAATTAATAGAGAGTTAAACATGAAGTAATCGTAGAAAGGAAAAAAACTAAGACTAACTAACTAACTAACCAACTCCAAAAGTTCATTGCCATAAAGATAGCTAGGATGATCGCTCAAGGCGGCAGCGTCTCCCGTGGCAGCAATAGGTCCATGTACCTCTACTATAAATTCCGATATCTCCTTCGCCACCCTCTCCAATGTGTCCTTCTTCTCCGTACCATTTTTCTTCGTCTTCAATGCGTCATATATGTCCTTCGGTAATGCTGGCACATACCTAAAAATTGAGGTAGAAGGTCATATGAATATCCTAGTTAGATGATATTTGGTTCTTGATAATCAGAGCATCTGCATCTTCATTAGATTGCAGTAGAAGTACATTACACTCCTCAGTACACTCCTCAGAATCAGAATGAACATCAGATTCGTGTACTCGTCATGGAAATTCTGTCGTGCAGCAAAAACATCAGCAAAAAAGTCATCAAACGATTGAGATGATACGGTCCTTTCAGCAAGTAATCCCGCAGCTCCAGTTTCGCTGACGCTAAGTGCTGATCCAACGTTGCCGTGGACACTAGTTTCCCCAGTGAGTCGAACAAAGGATAAACCTCCTCTTTTGGTAGTGTCCCTGAGAGTGATTGATTCATTTACCTAATCTTGAGGTATCTAGAGAGTGAATGCTAAGCAGTATATAGAGAGAGTACATAAGGCGTATAGAGAGATGTCCTGAGAGTACATAAGTGCTAAGCAGTATACAGAGAGATGTCCTGAGAGTGAGATTAAAAGGTGTGTAGAGATTAAATGGTGTTGCCGAGACGTTCTTGCGCCTGTCTAGTACAACACAATACGAGGAGAGATCTTTCTCATGAATGTTACAAACTTAAATAGGAGGAGGTACGAGCTTCCGTCGAACTACTCTATGTTAGTCTTGGAAGTGATGAAACATTATACTTAGTTTTCTTATATACCTTGTTGCGCCTGTATTTTGGAAGTGAGGTCTGCTACGAGTGCCTCTGCATTACTTCTGTGTTCTCCTAACCGCGATTTTAACCCATGGAATTCATCAGCGAGGCTCTGCCAGTACGCGAGTCGCTGGCGGTGATGCAACAGCTCTTCTGGGAATTAGAGGGAGATATGTAATAAAGAACTACATATTGGGTTATGTATGCACAAATATCTACAGATTTATCCAATGACAGAATCTCGTTCGAACGACAATGTGCCACCTACTGCAAGAGACACAAAAAATTGGTGTGTAACATAAATAGCAGTAGCGGGAAATATCCATGTTAGCAGGTAAGAGAGAGGAGAGATACACCACATCATAATTTATTTTGAATCCCCGTCCAGCGGCTAGTTCGAAGGTGCGACACCTCTCACTGCAGTCTGCCACTTCGGTTTGGATTTCCTCTAGGACCTTATCCAGTTCCCTTCCGCTCCAACAACTATCCAAGAGTAGAGGCACTGTATTTTTTTTGAGTTTGGTAGAGGTAGCGGTGGACATACGAGTACACTGAGGTTATGTTCTTTGGTAAAATTGGAAGATGAAGACAAGGGTGGATTCATTTAATATGTTACTGAGTGACGACATATTTTCTTACCACGTCACTACATGTCATAGTGAACGTAGTTGTTGTGCAACAAGTGCATGTTGTTATATCAACCATGTGGAAGTAAAGTCAGTACGAAGTAAGCAGATGCTACTCAACCTGATGGCTTTTTCAAAAAAATGAGTGTTCAAAAGGGAGTACCTCCTCCTGATAGTTTTATATTCAGCGTGCGAATGCCGTGGCAAATCCTAAGAAGTTCCTCGAGCTGCTGCAAATTTTAGATGAGAACAATAGCCGCAACATTAATTACATAAGTACTGTGTTTTGATGTTATATCAATTCCTATTTCATTGATTTATTCATACCACGACTGGAAAATCGAAAACTTCTGACAGTAGATTTAGATTTAGATAGGCTCCCGCCCCAGCCCTTAACTTTTCTCACTGCCAGGAAGCGCCAGGAATCGCTGAAGTCCTACACGTGGTAGCACAGATTCTAAAATCTGAGACATTTCTTTTTCCAGAAATTCCGGATTGTGTTCCTTGAATCCCCGTATCGAGGGAACCCTACACCTCCGCACGACAAGCTCCAAAATCTTGTTCCAAACTAGCGATGCCTGCTCGAAACAGCATGAAAGAGGTTGATGGTTGTTGTCGTAGATCCTTGTTGTTGACTTTGAAGAAAATTATTTTCAGCTAGAATGGAAGCAGGAGCTTCACCTGCTAAATAGTACTACCGCACTTCGGGGGTAAAGCAGCTTACTTCTTAGAGGGTAAAGTAGATGATACATTCTTTTAGTTGTACTCCCTCAGTTGTCACTGATAGTAAAGTTGCAAACATAAAACACTGATAGTAAAGTTGCAAACATAAAAGTTCTTACCCACGAAGTCTACTTTCAACAACTTACCCCCGAAGTCTACTTAACAAATCATAAATTGAGATGGACTGACATCGAGTAGCCTTGATTGATGATGAAGTTCATCCTCCTCGTCTCGAAATCGGACTCTTCTCTGGCTATATTTGTAACTCGAAGTTCCCCATCAACAAGCGCCGTTTCGTACCTAGGTAGTAGTAGTAGTAGTAGTAAACCCATTCAAGGGGTACATACATCTGACTTCTTCAAGGGTGGGGTTTGAGAAGAGTCTTTCTTACCTGGTGTCAAGCTAATGGATTTTTAGACAGTCTTTCATGCTGCTAGCTTGGTAGTTCATCACAGTATTAACGAACTTATTATATTTATTGTTTGAAGGACTAAGCCCATAGAGGTACAAACTGAGCGGTTGTTCTATTTTAGTGCTTTGAGCGCCGCTGGACCTAAATGATCACTCAAACGACAGTGTAAAAATAGTACCCCGCCTGCAAAGTAAGCGTCTCCATTCCTGGATTGGTTTTGTTGTTGTTGAAAAGCTTTTTGACGCTCTCTTCGACCACAGCCCTCGCGTCTGCTTCCTGCAGACCCCTCGCTTCCGCGTAAAATGAGGATGTTGCCTCATTGTAGATAGTACGAGCTACTAGTGCTGCAGGGATTAGAGGGTGCAGAAGACAACTAAAACAAGAGCACGAAATAGAACCGGAATAGCACACTTCATCAGATAAGGCATCACATCTGAGTGATCAAGAAACAACCGAGAGTGTTCAAACAACTATAATTGAGGCTCGTGTTCAAGACTTGAAGACGACAAGAGGATGCTTAGATGACGAAGTGTTTGTGTAGTTGGGAAGTGTAGTTGGGGATAATGATCTTGTGTTGACCACTTGAAGACGTGTCGTCCCCTCACAAAGAAAAAGAAAACGATCCACCATCCTTAAGAGAGATTCCGATACTGTCAACCCCAGTTGTCGGCATGCGAGCACAAGCTCTTTCGTTATCGCGTTTAAGGATATCATTGTATCCTAATTCGAGTCCTCCTGCTTCAACTACTTAGTACTGATTGTATAATATCGGTTGTGAAAACCCTATATTTCGGTAGACGTTGAGTCTTTCACCAATGTCGTGGTCTTTGTGCTACTCGATTTCTTGTTCTCTCGTCGTACTTTTGTCCTATTGTTAGTTGTACTCCTAACGTGGTCCTTGTTATGCTTCACTATATTCGCAGTTGGACTACTAGAATCGAGCTTTTTCGCAAAACTTGTGGTAGTTGCAGTCGTGCACTCGTCAACCAGCGAAAAAACTCTGGTGATCATACGAAAGCTCCTTCCTCTGCTAGTTGTAAGTGGTCATCCTTCAAGCGATATAATCCGCTAGGTTCAAGCATTCGTCTTGATAGATACCTCCTCGATCATACACTTCTACTTGTTTCTCGAGTCCTTTTCCGCCGAACTACTCGCTTGCTTCACTACCACTGCTCTTTTGAAGAAAGATCACAGCTGTAGTAACTCCTTTGATACCAAGCTACTAGGCGGTTGCTGGCCATGGACTTCTACCAGAGATTGGTACTTCTTCCAGCCCACCGCTCCACTTCTTCACGGGTACAGGACTGAAGGTCCTCTACGCAGCACGCCAGTCCGAAAAAAAAATATCATGAACTCGATTTTTATGTCAGTTGCTTCAGTGATGAAGCCATCCTTCCCCGACGTCGCCTGCACCGCGGCGTTACCATCTTTCTAGAATACTACAAATATATTTTAGTACTACTATAAACCAACGACCTGGTACTTGTTAACCTTAGAGAACCAGAGATTACTTCGATTTCTAGCAGACATGAGAGATGCAACTAAATCTTCGAACGAGGATCGTCTTTATTGATCTACATTGGAGACGAGGCGAGGGAGGGGGACGAAGGGACGAAGACGAGGATAGTCGGTGTTGGGTCGATCGAGGATGACAATCGCGAGAACCGAAGAACAGAAGACGATGTCACGCCGTTATCTTGAGCTTCGATGTAGACCATGAGATACTGTCACGCCTATATCTTTACCATATCCAACCTGCACCAGACACTCTTTTACCTCTTCATAGAAAACAACGTTGCAGACGACATTCATCAGTTTTCGACAATACAATCTCCTCTCTCATACTACTGATTCATCGAAATCATGTGAGAACCTTTGAAAACCGCACCTACAAGAATACTTCTCAGACAGACCTCGTTATCTTCACAAGGCGTTTCACGAGCAAGCAGTAGTCTTTCTTTTAAAATCCCTGCCCACGACCTGACTTCTTACGTCGCAGCAGAAGTTCACAAGAATGTATCTCAGGCAGGATACCAGCAAAACACTTCAGAGACAGTCTCTTTTAGCAGCCTCCGTTGGCTTTCAAAAGAGGACAGATCTTTTTCATGAGGATAAAAAAACCGAGGCAAACAATAGGCTGAGCATATCGTTATCCGAAGATCATTTCATAGGTAAATCCAATTCCAAAACGCCAAAACAAGTAAATGTCATGTGTGTGCTCATTGGTCACCGACTCTGACCGGGAGAGACCATCTTCAAATCTCTCCCCTTTTCCCTTCATTTTCCCCTGTTCTCTAGGGAGAGCCCCTCTGCGATCTCAGTGACTAACCCCAATGACCAATGAAAGTTGAGCCTTAATAAAATAAGTAAATCTGTCAGGAAGGTTTCTTCGTTCTACTCATTCGTTTTTCTTCTACTCACACCTCTGTCAAAACGCCAAAACAAGTAAACCTGTCGTGAAGGTTTGTTCTACACAGTATTTGCTTTTGAGTTAAAATGCAAGAGATTTCGTTTTCGGTGTAGTTTAGGTTTTCTTCAAGTTGTAACAAGAACAACTTAAGGATCTTCAAGAATCTTCTTCTTCAAGCTAATAATAATAGTTAAAAGTTGTTCCCCTTGATGTACGAGTATTGACTACTTTTGACTATTCAAGCCACTACTTCTGGATGTGGTTCGATGTCACGTCGGGATGCCGCAGCTCTAGAAATTTGTCTGAGCAGCTCTTCCTCAGCGTCATCCGCAAGCTTCTTCGACTCACTCACGCACTGAAAGTAGAGCTCCGCAAGAGCCTTTGCTTGCACTTTAAGGTCGCGGTCATTGTCCAGTACTTGTCGAAGAACTTCGACTTCGTCGTTCTCATCAAATACGCGATCGCTCTCCGTTTTTACCTCCTCCTTCATCTTTTCAAGTTGACTCTTCGCCTCGGACAACAGTTCTACTACTCCATTTTCGTCGAGGCCTTGCTGTTGTTTCACGCTTATCAGGATCTCATTCATTTTGTCCACCGTCTCCTTACTGGTAGTATGGGCCAAAGCGACGCCAGTTTGCCGTTGTCCGATGATCCCGTTGAAAAGTATGGTCTCTTCTTCCTCGACTTTTTTTATGTAGTCGCTTAACTTAGATACACGCGCCAGCGCCATTCCACCCTCATATACTTGTTCATTAGCTCGAATCGCCCCGAGTCTATCATTTGCTTTCTGCAGGGCAGCTTCCACACGAGCAGAATCAATGCCGTGGTCGCTAAGTGGGAGTGTGTTTCTCATAGCTCCAAGTTTTCTGACTTTCCAAGCTTTCAAATCTCTAACTTCTTGTTCGGTGAAGCGGTGTCCATCTGGCGAAAGTTGCAGTAGCCTTAGTCCCTGTTGCTGCTCAGATTCCTTTTTTAATTCCCCCACCTGCCTCTGCGTAGATTCCACAATCGCATCTAACTCCTCCACCTGATTTTTCCCACGGGCCCGAAGATGTTCTTGGCGTTGTTGTTGTTGTTGTTGTTGTTGTTGTTGTTGTTGTTGTTGTTGTTGTTGTTGTTGTTGTTGTTGTTGTTGTTGTTGTTGTTGTTGTTGTTGAGGAAGCGTAAGTCCAGCAGAGATGCCCTTAGTGCATGGACTTTGACACAGGAGTGGTCCTTTCGGGCAGGCAGCGGGAGGTGCGCCGCCACCAGAGGGTGCGTCGCCAGCGGGGCTTTTGCCGGTGTGTGTGACAACACGTTCTACAACTTGACGATCCGCTGCTACTTGTTTGTTCAACGATTCAGAGGGACTCCATTCAGGAGGAATCATACCTCCCTCGTCTAGCAACGTCATAGAAGCAATCATCTTGTTCAAGAACTTCCTTGAGGCTGCATCTTTGTTGATGTATCCGGAGAAATATGCATACGCCGCTTTGAAAAAAGCGTCTTCCGCTTCGCGTGTCTGTCTATTTCTCTCCTTCTTAGTGTCATCCGGTAAGTCAGCAAGCACTTTAGCCTTGACTTTGTTTGGCAGAGACTCGCAATAGCTTATCACTCTTTTCAACAACTCATTATCCAACGTTATTGTTCGGCTTTCTGCCGGAGCAGAGTCCGATTGTTGGAACCTATATTGGTCGCAAAAATTCTTAGCTGCCGATAACATCTCTTTCTTCACTTCAGCGATCGCGGACCCGTTCTTGAAGGCAGCCTGCGTGGTCCCTGCGAGTCCAGAGGCGGCACCTGCGAGTCCAGAGGACGACGCGGAAGAAGGCGGTCCTCCTCCTCCTCCGAGCTGTGCTCCGAGTACCCCAGAAAAAAATCCGGAGGTAAGCAGAAATACGCCAGCACCAAACATCTTCATTGTTGTATGTTGTTCTTTACCTACGGGTCAAAAGCAACGAGGAACCGAAAAAAAAAACGGACTTTGGTCGCCGAAAAAACAACCAACAATTGAGATCGGGATGATAAGTTTATCTTTAAGATAGAAAGCAATCGGATTTTCAATCCAAGAGAAAGCGATTCCAAATTGTTTCCTGGCTGGCGTTTGATATAAGAACGGTTGCTCCATGTTGTAGTAATGAAACACAATCAAAGTGTTGCTCGAAACGGGCCCTCGTCTTAGTAATCTGATTGTCAATTCCTACTAAATTCTCTATCTCGGCCCGCCATTCTACTTCTTGATCTCGTCATGTCAAGGATCTTCTTCATGTCAAGGATCTTCTTCATGTCAAGGATCTTCTTCATCATGTCAAGGATCTTCTTCATGTCAAGGAAATACTGAAATCAAGGATCTTCTTCATGTCAAGGATCTTCGTCAACCATCTTTCCGGATTGCTAGATCTTCCTCGAGCACCATCTTCCATTCTGAATGAATGAATGAATGTACCCACTCTGCACATCTATAGGATCAAGATAGATCTTCTCTGATCAAGCTCGCAACATCTACTAACTTTTTAGTGCTGATCTACTCAAAATAGGATAGGATAGGAGTGGGCTCACTTGTGACGGAGTTCATCTACTCAAAATGCTCATCGGCTTCTGCTGTCTCAGTGATCTCCCTTATAGAGGATCAAGAGGTCAAGATCCTAGCTTATAGAGGACCAATCCGTTCTTCGTAACGCCGAGGCTAGAGCAACGCCATGACTAGACTGACGCCGTGACTAAAGTGTCATATCATCTCGCCTCCTATCTCGACCGATACACTCAGGGGAAGGCCCTTCATCATCTCATCCGACGAAGAGCAGAACCTTCATACCACAGTAAAAATTTGGAGCTGTGCCCCTGATGTAAGGTGATCTGATAGTATTCTGATCATCAGGAGCTTCTTCCCGTGAGTTTCAGCAAAGAGACGCTTCTTTTTGGCACTGCTTCCTGTGTGTGCCCTTGTGACATTGCACTTCTTCACCATCGTAGAGATATTTTCTACTACTTCATCACGATATAACAAATCGTGTGAGGCTCTGCTTTTTTACCCAAACTACATCTTTCTCTGAGTCAGATATGCAGCACAAAGCGAGATTCAATCTTCCTCCTCACGCAATGTTGTAGCACAAAAGTAGCACAAAGGCTGGGTTATTACTCGACTATTCGAATAACTTCTCAGACAGACCTCGTTATCTTCACAAGGCGTTTCACGAGCAAGCAGTAGGCTTTCTTTTAAAATCCCTGCCCACGACCTGACTTCTTACGTCGCAGCAGAAGTTCACAAGAATGTATCTCAGGCAGGATACCAGCAAAACACGTCAGAGACAGTCTCTTTTAGCAGCCTCAGTTGGCCTTCAAAAGAGGACAGATCTTTTTCATGAGGATAAAAAAACCGCGGCAAACAATAGGCTGAGCATATCGTTATCCGAAGATCATTTCATAGGTAAATCCAATTCCAAAACGCCAAAACAAGTAAATGTCATGTGTGTGCTCATTGGTCACAGACTCTAAACGGGAGAGACCATCTTCAAATCTCTCCCATTTTCCCCTGCTCTCTAGGGAGTGCCCCTCTGCGATCTCAGTGACCAACCCCAATGACCAATGAAAGTTGAGCCTTAATAAAACAAGGAAATCTGTCAGGAAGGTTTCTTCGTTCTACTCATTCGTTTTTCTTCTACTCACACCTCTGTCAAAACGCCAAAACAAGTAAACCTGTCGTGAAGGTTTGTTCTACACAGTATTTGCTTTTGAGTTAAAATGCAAGAGATTTCGTTTTCGGTGTAGTTTAAGTTTTCTTCAAGTTGTAACAAGAACAACTTAAGGATCTTCAAGAATCTTCTTCTTCAACGTATAACATCAGCTGGAACAGCAGGTGGAGCAGCAGCAGCAGCAGCAGGATCTGAAGCAGCAGCAGGAGCAGGAGCTGGGGCAGCAGCAGGAGCTGGAACAGCAGCAGCAGGAGCTGGAACAGCAGCAGCAGGAGCAGCAGCAGCTGAAGCAGCAGCAGGAGCAGGAGGAGCAGGAGGAGCAGGAGGAGCAGGAGGAGCAGGAGGAGCAGGAGGAGCAGGAGCAGCAGGAGCTGAAGCAGCAGCAGGAGATGAAGCTGAAGCTGAAGCTGAAGCAGCAGCAGGAGCTGGAGCAGCAGCAGCAGCTGAAGCAGCGCCGGGAGCTGAAGCAGCAACAGGATCAGCACCAGGAGCTGAAGGAGCAACAGGATCAGCACCAGGAGCTGAAGGAGGAACAGCACCTGGCCTGACAACAGTCGGAGGTCTCTTCACCGTCCTCAAGAATTTGCGCAAGGCTCCTCTTGCAGGTTCTCGCGTATTTCCTCCAGTGTTCGAATTATGGCCTTGCAGTTGTATATTCCGGTCATGCGTCGAAAGTGTGCCACTTGTTCTAGGATTCAATCCAGAGAGTGTTCCTGCTGGATTCAATCCGTTGCTCCTGTTCGGATCATGGCCGTCACCAGTAGCATCTTGGAGTATACTTCCAGCAGATCCAGATCCACGAGAAGTCCCGGAAGCAGCACCAGATCCACGAGTGAAGTGCACGATCATCCAAATACCCAACCCAACAAAGGCTCCACACCCTAAGGAGATAGCCAAAATCCACCAGACACGAGAAGACACAGAGGAGGTGGAAGCGGAAGTTCCGCCCAAACCAGAGTCGTTCTTGGCATTGTTGTTGGTGCCCTTCACCTCACGCCCAGGCGTCATTGCATTCGAATCACCACGCGCGGACATTTTTTTTGTTCTTTACGAATACGATCACTGATGTCGTATACAACTTCAAGTGTACTATCCTGTTATTGTAGTGGTAGGCAGTGCTGTTACACCGTTGTTGCTCTATTATTTCCTTTTAGATAGTTCTTATGCTTTCTTGCAACTCTTACCGAGTAGAAGCTTTGGTTATGATCATAGATACATAAATTCTTTGCTTTCTTCCGATTTAGTTAGATTTCTCAGCTCTTTCTTAGTTTTAAGCAGTTTTAGATGTTATTTCTTTCGATGGGATATTACTTTATTAGATTCAGCAATGTCTTCTTTAGGGTTAAACAAAACAACGAATATGCTTCTTTTCAAAACAATCGATGTTTTTCCAAAATAATTCTCTATTGTGGGGGGCTGTAGTAGATTACAAGTTGAAGTGAGGTTGGTTTTCCATTATTTCTTCAAATAAACAAAAAGTTTTACGAAGTGAGGGCGGACTGTTGTTTTAGTATCACAACTAGTCCAGAAGTGAGTTTGTCAGTGACGTTTTCAACTTGCCAGATTTTGAGTCAGTCTAGGAGAATAAAAAGTAAGTACTCTTCGAAGTGAGGGCAGTGCTGTCTTCAACTTACCAGATTTTGAGTCTAGAAGTTCAAAGTGCTACTTTTTTCTTTCTTGGGTCAAAAGTAAAAGGCCAGCCAATAATTGACTTAGTCTTTTAGCAGATGTTTTTCTTTTTGTGCTCTTTTCTGCAAATGAAGGCTAAAGAAAGGAGCAGGAGTCAGTCGCGTCAGGCCAACATTTATAACTTACGTATTGAGAGTCCTTAGTGTTCTAGTGGTCTTCTTTCCTACTAGATCTTCTTTCCAGGAGACCTCCTCAGGGCATCTCTCTACTAGATCTTTCTTTTGTATTTTGGATCTTCATATAGGATCTTTTCTGCTATTTCGCTGATCGGCATCCACGATGAACCAGGGCTGTGATGTAAACGAACCACTTCAGGGACGATCTTCATCGGCGATCAAGATCTGTGTATGTAAATGATTTCAGTGACAATACTGCAACGCAAGAACATCTCCACAATTGCGACAATACTGCAGTACAAGAGAGAGCTCTCTCAACAAAAAGAGGCGCCCTGTTTTCGCACCGTCTTGAGACAGCTGCGGCAACAGTCGTTGCTCACCATCTTGTTACAGTCTAATCATCATTTTTTGGAACCAATTCTTATAAAAAAGCAAAGTAAGCCATACAGGATTTTTTCTATAAGATTCGTTCTTCAGAGAAGTCTTTTTCTAGGATTATTTCTTCAAACTACCTAGTCTTGACAATCATTCGTCCGCTTTTCAAATCAGTCTCACTGTGCACTCAATTCCGTCGGTCTGTCTTCTGGTAGTCTTCAGTCTAAAAACCGAACGAAAATTATTCAATATCACTAGGCAGATCTGGAAAATCACTATCGTCGCCGGCCGCAGAGCAAAGCGCAATACTGTTCGGCCCTTGTGCTCCAGCCGGTAGACAAAACTCCGAAAGGGGCCCTTCGTAACGCGCCCACCTTCTGCGTCGTTATTCACGCGCAGCCTCACCTTACCAAGCCTCGCCGGTGCATGGTGTCCGCGTCCGCCCCTCCCAATGGCGTCGTGGGTGGTTTTGTCCTTCCGAATGTAGACAAAAAAGCCCAGACATTCGTCGCCACCACCAAACGAAAGCCATTCGGGGCGAGTAAGCGCTGCCCAGGCATCGGATTGCCTAGAACCTTCTTCCCCGTTCCACCTCTCTGCTGCCATCTCGAGGCGCCAGCCCTTTACCTTCTTAGGCCGCGCGATAATGTGCGACATGTTCAGACATTTCGCCGTCTGAAAAGCCTGACCCCTTCGCGGGCTTCTGCTTATCGATTGCGAAGCCCTTCCCAAGCGTATCGACTGCGTAGTCATTCAGAAGAGCACGCAGCCCCCTAAGATGGCTCTCGGAAAATGCGGCAGCCACGATCACTTGAAGGGGCCGCGTCTTATCAGCACTACTCTCGCCCCCCATCAGAGCGAAGTCGTCGAGCATGGGCGTCGGCTCCTGATCAGCTCCCTCTTCGTGCTCTTCTTCTTGCTCCCTCTCGTCCTCTTTTGATTCGGAGTAAAACTGCAAAATGCTTGGTGAGATAGGCGCGCCGCCCAGTCCTGGGTCTGATGTTTGCCTCTGAGTAAGAAGATTTGCGCAACCAGTCCGCAGGCCATCCAACCGAATAGGAAAGGCCACACCTTTGGGGAGAGGTCCTTTCGGCTTCTCTTTCTGTGTGCTTTTTCGTCCTCCTTTATTCACCTCAGACGATGCGAATTTTCCAAAGAGGTGCTCCTGCTCCAGCTGCTGCAGTTCAGCGAGAGTAGCGGAAACGGCGTCACCACTCAGGAGATGGAAACGGAAGCGGACCTCGTTCGCGTCCTTTTGTTTGGTCCCAAAAGAAGACCAGACCAGAAGCATCTTCTCCGGGCTTCGTGCCAGCGCTAGGAGCCTTCAGTCTCCTCAGACAAGGCGCCAAATCCTCTTTAAAAGTTGCTGCGTGATCAGTGAACAGGCCAGCGCCTACACCACTGAGGCAACTGCGGAATTGGTTCAGTGCGGGCCCCACAGCTTCCATCTTGTATGTTTCACAAAGTTTTTGCCACTTGTTTGTTCCTTGTTTTCTCACTGATCGATTAATGAATAACAATAATGAGGCATACCAAGGACTTTTCAAGACTTCTCTGCGGTCTCGTACTAGGCGTTGTAGTTACTTTATTCTACTTGGGCGAGCCGAAAGTAAAAAGTTGCTGAATCTTTGCTGATTCTTTGTACAAGTAGTAGAAGACATTTTCTTATTATTGCGCTCTAATTTTCCGACTTTAATAGCTTATTTTGTTAAAATTCAATCGAAGGGAATCAGGATCAACTACATCTTCAGAGGTTCATTAGTCGTGATTATCACGGTCATTAGTCGTGATTGCCACGTGTTCATAATCATTCGTGATCGTTTCTCTAGATCTTCCTCTGGGACCTGCTTGTGTCATTTTGAACTCATCTCGGATCTTTAAGATCTAATCTTCTTCTGCGACTCTTTCCGTGGTCTTTGTCGGTAATAAAGATCTCAGACAGCTCAGTGTCGCGAAGCTGCTTAGCCTTACAACTACGAAGATCATGTCGAACAAACTGTGTCTTTTCTTCTGTAATAGTGTAGTAGTAGTAGTGTACCCAATCGTGGGGTATACTATCAAGAACGACTATCAGAAGCAATGAAGAGCTGCTATCTGTATCTTCTGTATTTTCGACAATCCCCAACAAAAGCCGTTATGAAAGTCGCGCTATATGACATTTTCGGTCACTGCTTCGGCTTCTTGACCCACCGCAGAGGACGATATTAGAGAAGGGCGGGTCCACATATATTTTGTAGCACAACTTTTTGAAATTTCTATCATTTCTTGACAAAACAGGAGCTCCGTTTATGACAACGAATCACAGATCCGTGAAATAACTAAGGGTTCTAACATAATTATCCTTTAATACATTCCATTCACTTGAGAACGGTACTGATTATTGACGGTACTAATTAAATTGACAACGACTCTCCTCTGACAAGGCCATAATTTTGCTGGTAAATCCCAGGGATACCAATGGTCAGGGAAATTTTCCGTGCGAATGCGGAACGCAGTAGTTGGAGATCATAGTCTTTTGATGCTTATCTTCTTGATATAATCGATCAATCAAGACCGATAACTCATGATGCTCACAACGAAGGTGAAGAGGAAAGAAGAGAAAACTGAGAAATTTCATCAGATTTTGAGATGAAGAAGTTTCTAGACATTCATTCATTCATGGACAGACATTCTAGACATTCTAGACATTCATTCAAGTTTCTAGACATCTGAGATTAAGTAGAAACACAAGTAGTTATATATCCTGATATCTAACCAAGAAGTGGCTGTAGCCTTAATATCACCCCAAGCACCATCGCCATGACGAAAGCGACAATGACTTGTGCCAACGTATGATCTTTGTTATGCACCCGTGCCCATGGTACTGGACCACCTAGTTGTAGGGTTGTAGTAGTAACTAAGATTTTCCACAATTGTGATTATCGAATATTCAAAAGATATATTCAGCCTGTTGTAGAAGTCAAAATCAACAACGCGAACGATACTCAAAGCATTCGAACAAGTTTTAGATAGTACGTCGATCAACAACGATGCTAAAAGCGTAACAAGTCTACTAGGTACTACACGGCTCATTCAGTACATGTCAATAATGCAGCCAACAGCCATGGGTAATTCATTCCTGAGCCGTCAGTCGACCGAAAAAAAACCTCCAGCGAAACCCAGCTCATCACTGTACCGGTAACCAGCACATGCCCAGATGGCATGCCATAACAGATTAGACGATGATTAGATTAGGTGAACAAGCGCTAGAAGATTATCAAGATTGAGCCAAAATGGCTACTAGTACTAGTCCTGTACTTGTACTCGGGAAGACGTATCTCGGAAAAAACGTCGCTGTTTCGAAATAGCGGGAACAAAAAATGAGACCATTATTATTAAAGTAAAGGCTATCCTGTAAATGTTAGAGATTCTTCAATCATTCCGCTTCACACGTTGATAAGACCGCTGAACTGATACTGTGACATTGCTTGCCACTGAATCTGGCCCAGATTGCACCTGACACCGACCTGTTGAGGACCAATAGATCTGAAGCTAATCCATGCTCAGGTCGGGGGCAATGGGTGGGCGCAGCTCCAGAGGCCTCAGTCTCATCTGCGCAAGAGGCGGGTATTTTATTTGTTATTATCGTCGCTGTTTCGAAATAGCGGGAACAAAAAATGAGACCATTATTATTAAAGTAAAGGTTATCCTGTTGATTACATTAATATTAGAAGATGATTATAGATTAGGTGGGTCAAGGATTCGGTCAAGGAAGAGCAAGCTCGTCTTTTCTTTTCTTTTTCGTTCCTTCACGCCTCTCTTCTTTCTCTCGGCCTAATACCCGACTTACTATAACCCAAACCCCATAGTGGGGAAAGGGGGGCCACAAGGTGCGGGTAAGCCTTGAGCCAAAAGCGATTATTTGATGTGAAAATTACGTTGTCTATCACCAATTATTTGATGTGAAAATTACGTTGTTCTAGAGATAGTCCTTCCTTAATTTCACCCTTCCATCGGCTTGCCGGTTTGCTGTTTCGGGTGGTCGTGGGTCGCGCAAGAGTGGCTTCAGCGCTAGCTCGTTTACGGCTAGAAGCGAAAGCCCAACGATGTTCACATACAGGAAAACAAATCGCTGCATTACTTAGAAGATGATGAAATAGGAATACTGTGTATTACAGTTCCTTTACTTCCGGCCGTGAGTGATGATACTGATTCGAGGTTAGTCATCTTCTGGGTTGACTACTTCCTGTCACTTGTCAGTGTACAGTCGGAAGATTTGAGCTTCATAAGGCGGTTACGTATTTTTTTTGATTTAGTGGAGTGACTCATCTCACGAGTGACTCATCCCCCGTCTTCGGGTCCTCGATTTCAAACAAGTAAATGCGTGGATTCTCAGCAGCGCTCAGGGTAATACTCCAGGAACTGCACAAAGGAAAGACAAAGACATTGATAGAAAAACAATACTCCGTCCGCCTTAAGTCACAACGTATCCGACTAAAAACGAGAGGCCCAGAAGGAACGGCAGAAAGCCGTATATCATCGCAATCCGATCCTTAGACTATGATTCCATGATAGAAGAAGTGGATGATTTGTAGGAAGCCACTGAGCACCATCATGATGAGGCAGGAGTCGGAAGATCTTCACAGCAATTACATAACCAACGATTTCACTACCCGAAGGAGATGTTGAACGAAATGAAAACTAATGCCCAATTAAAGGTGTGGTAGAAATACTTAACCTATCCATGGCGCACAGTCTCGAGCGACTTATCACCACATCCTTAAAATTTATGACGCGCTTTTCTGGCAGTCGAATTGTTACCTGTAAGAATGCGAATTTCCGCAAGTAGGGTCCGCCATTGCTCTTCAACTCCAAGTCATCCTGAAGCTCTGGACTGTACAGCTCCTGTGGTACTCGTATCAGGCCCATTCTGCGGAAGTGCGGAAGTGTGCAAGTGTGCAAATGTCGTGCAAGTGTACAAGTGTACAAAACGATGGAGTTGGTTCAAGTCGATGGAGTTGGTTCAAGTCGATGGAGTTGGTTGAAGTTGACGTCGAAGTTGAGGCTGAAGGTTCAAGTCGAAGCTGAGGTTGAAGCTGAGGTTGAAGGTTCAAGTCGAAGCTGAGGTTGAAGCTGAGGTTGATAACTCCGTCCTTGAACTTGATAAAAAGTTCTAAATCTTGATACTGTTCTTGCGCGCACGTTGAAGTTGATCAGAAAATTGAAGTTGTCCTTGAAGATACTTCCTCCATAGGTCTCAAGTTGGAATTCTTTGTTGTTGGTTGCGAAACAATAATTTCGCAATAGCTGCTTAGGGCCTTATTCTGGTGATCAAGTCCGAAGAAACCTGGCGCCGACGGCAGTAGGAGAAAGCGCAGCTTTCCGTATACGCGGCGGCTCCAGCTCCTCTACAGAATCAGAAGTTCACTTCACAAGAAAACTGAAGCAGAATTACTTCATTTACCAGAACAGCAACAACTTACAAATCACAAATCCATTTTCATCCATATCAATCTCTATTAAAGCAATGTTGCAAATTGTACAAACCTTTTTCTCCTCCTAGAAACGAGGTGTGCTGGAAACAAGGTGTGCATGATATGTCAGCGTCAGCGATCGCTCGAAAAAATTAAAGATTGATTGTGGTAAAAAGGAAAAATTTCAACACAAAAGTGTACCAATTATGGAGGGAATCGAATCATGGCTTGTCGCACTCGGGTCTTACTAAAGCGGGGAGAGGAATCACATCGGTATCGCTCCACGTCGACAGATCATTACTATACTAGCAGTATGCTGTATCTTGATCTACTGAAAGGACCGATTTCTTTGAACACTCTGATTCATTCTACTCTCAAAGCCCACTTCTCCTCTGTGCTCCACGCTTCTTCACACCAGCAGTCTTGCTTCAATAGTCAGTAAAAAAGCTCCTACTTACATGTAAGTCAAGAGCAGGTTCATGGCAGGCACCGGTTTCTGATGAAAACATTCTTGTGACGGTTCATGGCTGACACCGGTTTGATGTGATGAAAACAATCAATGAATCTTGTTTATTCCTCACATCGGTTTTTGCCATGTCTATCACACAGCATTATGTCAAATCCGTATTCGCCTTCATCACATCGATTATCATCACGTCAAAGTTTCTGCGACCCCTTCCATAGACTTCTTCTTCTTCAAAACTGACCACTCCGCAACCCTTTAGTTGGTATTTTTCACCCCAGTAAAACGGCCGTAGTTGTCAGAAAAACTAGCCACATCATCATTATCCACTTACTTCAATCGTATCTCTTCTTGCTTACATCGTAATATATCGCAAAGTTTCTGCGACCTCCTCCATAATCTGTAAAAAAAACGAAAGTGTTTTTCCCCAAGCAACAAACTCCTCCATCATCTATAACTCGTCTACTAAGCACATCCAATTACTACTCACCAGCAGTGAAGATAAGTCAGGTGATGCTGGCGATGACATTGCTACAAGAAAGAAGACTGAAGTGGGCAAGCTATGAAATCCAGGAGTTTTCTGAATAGATGACATCGCTGGTACGTTGTTCAATGTGCTGTCTTAATCTTTCCAGAGGGACATTTTGAATTTCATACCCAACTTGAAACAACTCAAGGGGGGTGTTGTAGGAATAGAGATACTCCGTATTTTCAGTTTGCTACTCGCGTATTTTCAGTTTTCGAGTATATCAATTCAAGATATTGATTGGTGCTGTTTTTCATTAGCGAAAGAGCCAATGCATTCCAACTTTCTTCGGGTAGTAAATTCAGCTATCATTATTTATTGTTCTTCTCCTACTCCATGAATTCATTCATTCATTTACCTAACAAGAGGTAATCTATATTGTTCTTCTCCTACGTACTCCATGAATAATAACTATCTCTATCTTCTTCATAATCATTTCAACTAGCAAGTTGAAAATAGAACATCTTCTAGTTGTAGTTCAGCCGTCCTTGTGCGCTCAGTAGAAAAATCTTATCCAATTTATTTCTTGTCCACGAACGGACCTAAAAATCTTCCACTATACTTCATTTCATCCAACAGGGTAAAAAACTCCACAATTATATAGTTCAACATTCTCATTCAGAAATGATACATCTCTGAACCCCAACATCCACAGACGTAGAAAGAGAATTAAGTACCGCGTCTCAAGTACCAGCACATCCACATCTATCATAAGTAAGTCCTAAAAAGAAGCATGTCACGTGAGTATCCCTGATAGTACTGTTCCTAGTGCCCGTAGTGTTTTTTTTTGCGTTAGGACTATATGCCACCGCCCTTTCAAACAATTAATTAACCTATATAAGATCATCCAAATTACATACTGGGGGCGCATAAGACCGTACAATAGTGCTGATAGGATCATCCTTCACCAGAAAAATAACTATCCTCCTAGCTCACACAGAACTAGTAGAAGTCCGCCTCTTTTTGAGAGTAACAGTCAAGTTTTTGTTATGTCTCGTCAGTGTCAAGTGGCTTAAACGTTGCTTGGCCTGTTCACTTATCAAACAACAATGTCTAGACTTCTGCTCATTCTCCTCGTCAACAAGAACGTGAAGGTTCTGCTCTTTCTCCTCGTCAAGAAGATGCTCCTTTCGACGTTGCTGCAATCGATAAAACGAGTAGCAGATTTTCTAGTGATCTGGTTCACCTCCGGTTGCTCCATCTCCGGCTGCTCCATCTCCGGCTGCTCCATCTCCGGCTGCTCCATCTCCGGCTGCTCCATCTCCGGCTGCTCCATCTCCGGCTGCTCCATCTCCGGTTGCTCCATCTCCGGCTGCTCCATCTCCGGCTGCTCCACTCTCCGGCTGAGCCGTAGCCCCTGCTTCATCTCCTCCACCTGTAGCCTGAGCAGAGTCGACATCTTTTCTAGCACCTCCTGCTCCTGGTTGTTCTTGCAGACGTTTAGTAACAGCCTTTTCGATCGCTGCTGATTGAGCCGATTGAGCAACCTGCTTTGGAAGATCCGATGGAGTAATACCAGATTTCGCAGGAATCGCGGTTCCACCTAACGCGCCGGAATTCGAACTCGTCGCTCCCCAATCTTTCATCGTGTGAACGCCTGTTCTACCTGATGATCCTGAAGATTGTTGCAATTCTTAGAGGATAAGTGAGTGATCATGAGTTGTGCTGGGTGACAAATGAATGAATGTACCCGCTTTAATATGGCCTCACTCTTACATGCAATTAAATTTAACTATAAGTAGAAAATTTGGATGAAAAAACATTGATTCCTTTCTCTTTTCTACGTCCATGCATCTTCAAGAGTGACACTATCGCACGGAAATGAATCATCTAGGTAAAAAAATGAGATGAAAATCAAAAGGCGTTTTTACAAACGTGAATTATTGATGATCGCCTTAAGCCCTGGGTGCGGGTGCAGCTTTTCCAGCGCCAGCCGCAGCCTTCTGTTGCACTGGTCCAGAGCCAGGTGGAGCGCCAGCCGCAGCCTTCTGTTGCACTGGTCCAGAGCCAGGTGGAGCGCCAGCCGCAGCCTTCTGTTGCACTGGTCCAGAGCCAGGTGGAGCGCCAGCCGCAGCCTTCTGTTGCACTGGTCCAGAGCCAGGTGGAGCGCCAGCCGCAGCCTTCTGTTGCACTGGTCCAGAGCCAGGTGGAGCGCCAGCCGCAGCTTTCTGTTGCACTGGTCCAGAGCCAGGTGGAGCGCCAGCCGCAGCCTTCTGTTGCACTGGTCCAGAGCCAGGTGGAGCGCCAGCCGCAGCACTCGGTGGACCACCGTCTCCTGCTGGGCCGCCACCAGGTGCCGCACCGCCAGCTCCTGCTGGGCCGCCATTGGCACTACCACCATGTGCCGCACCGCCAGCTCCTGCTGGGCCGCCATTGGCACTAGTAGGTGCCGCACCGCCAGCTCCTGCTGGGCCGCCAGAGCGTCGTGGCACAGATCCACCAAGTCGCAGAGAAAAACGTTGTGCTACACCAGGACGAGGACGCTGTGCTTCTTCTACAGGTGGTCCAGCCACGTCAAAAAGTTCTTCATTGATTATCAAAACAACTTCATCAAAGAAGTGTGTACGAGTCAGCTGCGGCTCTTCAGCACCTCCAGGCGCATGCACTTCCCCTGCCAGTACGCTTCTCACGATATCCTCATAGAACTCGGTCAAATTGCATTAGACGTCGCTAGATGGATGCGACAAGGAGAAGCCTAGCACGATGAGGAGGAGCACAGCTCACAAGCAACGCTGCTTTCGTGTTTTTCTTTTGTACTACGATATTCAACATTGTACGTCAATATGGAAATAAAGAATACCTGAGGCCTTGACTCTATCTTCTGCTTAATAAATATAGAAAATGACGTGGCAAATAAAAAAGCAGCTCTAGTAAAAATTCTTCTGTTGAGGTTGTAATCAGGTATATGTGGGAATATGTCTAATATGATCCTTTCTCTGCCTGAATACGCGTATTCTTATGATCAAGAACATAACTCTGAATATGTGGAAAGTGGCTGCGATGAGTAGCGGACATGGCAGAGAGCACGGAAATGGCTGGAAGCACGAGCACTCGGATCGGATTGTTGGACTCCAGTTGCTCCCGAATCGCAGCATCGATTACGCCAATGTAAGCAGCTTTCACTCCAGCTTGAAAGAAAGCGAAACTCTTGGCGGCTGGTTCTTGATTAGCTGAAGTTGCGGGCTGAAATTGTCAACTTCAAGTTGGATTGACTATTCGAAAAACTGAAATAAGCAAGTACCTGATCAGAATAAGCGAGATACTGATGAGAAGGGAGAGTAGCCTTGACGCTATAAGCTAGTGCCTCCCTTATTTCAGTCAGTAACTCGGTTATTTTGAGTTTTCGAATACACGTATCTATTATGCGAATGGCACCTTTTACGCCATCGTTTAGCCAGTTTCTTCTTGGAATGGTACTACTAGCATATCGTACTACTAGCCTAATGACATTGCAAATACATGAGAGAACAACCTCCCCTAGCCTAACGTACATGTCATGTCGTGGAACCTCTTTCACAGCTGTGAGGCCATGACCTTAAGGTACTACTAGTAACCTATAATCCTAATGACACTGCGCAAAAAAAAATTTCAGAAAACATAACATTGTAGGTCATCTGAAGGCGCTCTTCATGCTGTCTCGCGTTCGGACCGGACACAAACATCAGTGCTCCGATCTCGCGCTTCGTGATTTCTCCATTCCCGACAAAGAAATCATCTTCGTCTTCATCAGCCGCCGTGAGATTATCATATCGCGTTGCAAATATGAGATGTCCGCGACCATGATCAAGAGACTCAGTAGTATTAGAGGCCGATAGAAACAAGTAAGTAAAACGCTTTGCGGGTCGAAAACAGTCATAATCATAGTCATTATCATTCTTGGAAAAAAAAAGAAGCGGCTAGAACTTACTCTTTGGCGGAACGGTGATCACCGACAGAGGACCGTTATTTGAGTTCATTTACTTTCATCCCAATCTTTCTACGCAGTACAATTGAGTCTCTTGATGGTCCCGGACATCTCAGACCATCAAGAGACTCAGTAGTACACGAGACACGCCCCACAGCGAGTTCATACTTTAATAGGTGCCACCTGGCCATTTCTACCAATATAAGAGTGTCTGTATGGTAGAAATGGCCAGGTGGGTCAGGTGTCTCATGTCTAACCCTAACCCTAAATAACCCTCCCTAACGCATGTCTGTATGGTAGATTTGTTTTTGCTATACAGTCTGCCACGAAGTATTTTCACTTTCGACTATTTCAACGAGGACAAGTTGAAAGTGACATGATTCTGGTGTGCTAAGCATAGTACTATTTTTTTGTTATCCTATACGTTATCCTATGCATAGGAGACATTAAATATGTTGCTCTGTACTACTCCTAGCTATATACATAAGAGGAAGTACTATTCATTATATGTGTACGAGGAAACTACATATATTCATTCGTTTTGATGATGTTAGTCGGTTCGGGATTGTCCTACGACTTCCCTGAATCTCTTCTGAGTTTTACGGATTTCCCTGATGTTAAAACTGTTGTGTTGAAGATGTTGAAGATGTTAACATTGTTGCTGATAAGGTCCTGCTTTGGTCTCTCTACATAAAAGTTCTCTCTAATATGGGAGACGAGTGATGGAATTTAGGACATGATTGGTGAAAATCGACTTTCAAGTCGTGTAGTACTCCTTAAAGTCGTGTCTTTCGCCTCCAATAAACGGGTTGCGGACTACGAAAGCACGGCTGAAGGCTACTGGGTTGTGCTGAAATCTGAAGTCGTCGAATCCTTCTCCTTGCCACGTCTGGCTTTGACGACCCCAACGGCCTTGCAGGAGGTGCTTGTAGATCTCCTGCATTTTGCGCACCATTACCTGCGTCCACTTAGTTTCGTCCCCTGAGCTGGTTTCAATCAGCTTAGGTACCGTGAAGTCTTCCGCCGACGTGGTACCAGCAGGAGGACTAGTGAGGAGGTGCGCAGCATGAAAAGCAAGGAAATTGCTCACAGTCACAGCCTCGTTGTTGTCGTCGCGGCCCCAGTTGTTGGGCTGCACACGGTCCGTTTTGAGAACTTGCGCCGGTGGGGTAGGTCCATCTGGCGGAACCAAGTCCGCCAAAAGACCTCCTGGCAGAGCAGCATCCGCGTCTACAACAATGGCAACGTTTTTCGGATCCGTCCACCCGCAGCTCCTCCCCGAACTATTGTAAGGATGCCCTGGAAGCTGACGAAGTACGTATTGCGTAGGACGGCAGTCCTCGCCTCTAGCACGATGGACGCGCAAAACTTCTTGTCCTAATCCTGGAGCAGCACCCGCACGCACTTCACTCCAACGTGCCTGGCCGGTTTCAGGGAGCCTATTGGCTAAACGTAGGTGCTTCGGTAACCCTTCAAAAGCAAGAGCAGCATTGTCAACACGTGCAGCTTGATCAGCTGCAGGAGTTAGAACCGGGCTAGCAGCAGTTCGTGATCTCTCCGCCTCTCGTTGCGCATGTGCGTCCACGAACGCGTTCCACCAGGCCGTGTCAGGCAAGTACGCCTGAAACCCCAACTTAAGAGCTGCAGGAACAGTACCCACACGAGAAGGTAAAAGTTGACGCTCCTGCCCCCGGCGCGATCGTGTGTCTTGCTGGTACAAGCCAAAACGTAGTGTTTGTTCGACATTCTCTTGTCCTCGACGCTCACGTGTGGTCCGCTCACGTGTGGTCCGATCTAGGAATCCGAAGTTCTCTTGAAGGACACTTTGATCACCGACGAGTAGATACCCCCGAGGATCATTCGGATCACGGATGACGGAAGTCAAATAAGGTCCTGCGCTTCTGTTCGCTCCTTCAGTGAGCGTATGAATGCGGACTTCGTTCGGCTGAGCGGCGTCGCCATCCTCCCGCAGAAGAACAAAAGGCCCGGGGCCTTCGGGCAAGGAAAAACGAGCATCGCCTTGCTTCACCGCTTGCACTGCGAGGTTGACGCCTCCGTATCCGCCCTCTACATTGATCTCTCCTGGCTTTTCTTGTTGACCTTGACCCTGTTGTTGTCCTTGTTGTCCTGGTTGAGAAGAACCTTGAGGTTCAGTTCCTTCCGGTGGGACAGCCGCAGTTGGTTCTGAGCGTCGAGCGAAGTGAACGATGAGCCAGATCCCTCCGCCTGTAATCAGTGCAGCACCGACACCGATCACCAGAAAGATCGAAGCTTTGCGCGACAAACAACAACCACCTTCCCTGGAGGCACGACCACCACCACCCAAAATAGGTGTCTGCTCCCCACCACGTGTTTCGTTTTTGTTCGCCATCTTTTTTTTTGCGCGATTGCTTCTTTATATTAGTGGAACTAGAGTTTTTTTTTTTGGGGGGAGATTGCCTCTTTATAGTAGAATAGTTTTACTCCTCAGTGCTAGTAAGGTGTTCAACGAAAATAAAGTAAGAAAGTTTTCGAAATATTTTATTCAATGAACTGCTAGAGTAAGTACAAATATCTTGTTGAGAGATGAAGCTGCCAGATGTATCTCGCACTCGTTATTACTAGGTATGTGAAATTGTTCAGTAAGATACAATGAATTGTTCAGAAATCTAGTGCGCCCCTTCAAAAGGAAGCGAAGTTCCTCCTCTTGCCGTCAAGTGCTTATCTTCTGTTTGTAGAAGTAAGTACCTCCCTAGTTCTTATTCTGCGTTCTACGTTATAAGTAAGTACTTACATCAATCTCCTTGTGTTCTACTTCGAGTATATCGAGTTTCTTCTTCGCAATTCTAACAGCCAGTTTCTTCGTGAGAAGGTTCCACTTATCAGAGAAAAATTTTCCTAAAAAGCAGAACAGTCCTGGATAAGTTTTGAATTGGTGAGGTCGAAATCGCATTAGGTCGAAAATGAAAATGTAGTTTACAATGAAAATGTAGCCGAAAAGTCGCACATCATGGTCATCATTTTTATTCAGTCACTTCACCTGTAAGAAGTTTCTTTGCCACACACACCATACACAGCGTAAAAACACACAAAGCACAGAAAACGCCTGGTAAGATCGTAAGCGTTGCCCGGAGCGCATCAATACAAGCAAACACTGTTTTTTTGTCTCACGATATCCAAGGAATTCTTTTGCGGCTCCTTTTTCACCATAGAAGGAGCTGCTCGTGAAGTTTTTTTATAGTGCGCCCCCGATATTCGAGCTCCTTTCATGTGGCCGATTATTCATTGATTGACTGATTGATTAATTGCTTACTTAGTTATGGATTACAATTCCAAGGTTTTCGACATAAAAGTCAGCGCACCAGCATGGGTGATTTTTCTCTCATCATTTCCGCTTTTTGTTCCAGGATAGCGTCTACACTTCGACTCGGACTCTGGTATCTCGATCTTTCGAGTAATTTTTGATTCGTCTCTGGTGGTCATTCATCTCTAACACTGGGAGCCTCACTCTCTTTAATCACTAGCTCTCCAATCTAGCCTTTCCGCAGAGCCACTGAATATTGGTTTTCCAACTAGTACTATTCAATGCGTATAATTATATTCTCCTGTTTCTATAATTCTGCGTATTCTTCTCCCGTTTCTTCGCAAGTTTTTCTTCACTCGTAGTCACTTATAGAGAGGAAAAGTCAACCCGAGCACCAACTTCATCACGGTGGTGCGAGCACTTACATGCCGGTTTCTGTCATGCTCTGTCATCCGTCTCTACAGTAATGTGGTGGTTCCTCTATATATTGCCTAGTTCATAAGTAAGTTTGATACATATTTCATCTGGTGAAGGGTTCGCGTCTTTCCTCCCCCCACTTACGAAGCGCTAACGCCTTTCTCCCCCCCACTTATGAAGGGCTAATGTCTTTCTTTTGTCCACATCTTCCTACATAATCTAGTAGACTAGTAGACCAGTTCGCCTGTACTATCCGCCTATTAAGTACTACAGCCTGGCTCAGTAGACGAAATTTTGAGACGAAATTTTGAGGCTGCAGAGGTTGTTGAGTCCACTTGAAGTCGAAGGAGGAAGACAGCGAGGACCGAGTGACTGAAGGTGAACAGCCTACCGGGTTCGTGAAGATAACAACATGAATAGACCGAGGCTGCTCTTCTAGTGAAATTAATTGTAATTGAATCATAGAGTTGTTGAGTGATCATCAGTACTGTAGTTGTCTGTCATGATCATCACTACTTCTTGCTCTACAACACCTTGTTCATACTACACGACCTCCACCTTGTTCTTCATACAAAAAGTATCGCGCTGCTGTTACGCTGTTCAATCAAAATCATTAAAAGAGATCAAATTCTCATAAATTCATACCACATGGGTTCCATTGGGATTAAAATGATTGTACTATACTAGAGAAATACATATCCTTAGAGGACATTCTTCAACACTGCTGCAGCACTCATAATAGTTGTAAAACGAATAATCATGATAATCTTCTAGGTAGTTGTAGACGATTAAAATATTTGTTAACCAATTATGTTTTCTTCTAATTCCAGAGTTGTTTTTGTTGCACAATCTTAGTGCCTGACAACGAGTACTTCTTAGACTACTGACAGGTAATGCTAGTAGAAGTTCTTCATGCGTCCTCGTTCGAGATATATATAGTAGAAGTTCTTCTAGTAGTACTGTTTCTTTGTAGCACTAGTTCATATTTCTTACTTCAAAAACGAAATCGGAAAAAACCGAGTAATAAACCCAGCACCGGGCTTACCTTCTGCAGACATAGCACTGGGTTCACCTTCTGCTGACGCAGCACTGGGCTTACCTTCTGCAGCCACAGCACTGGGCTCACCTTCTGCTGAAGCAGCACTGGGCTCAGCTACTGCAGACACAGAACTAGGCTCACCTACTGCAGACACAGCACTTGCACTGGGTTCAGCTACTGCTAGCGCAGCACTGGGCTCACCTCCTGCAGACGCAGCACTGGGTTGAGCGCCGACAGCCGCAGCACTGGGCTCACCTTCTGCTGACGCAGCACTGGGCTTACCTTCTGCAGACACAGCACTGGGTTCAGCTACTGCAGACGCAGCACTGGGCTTACCTTCTGCTGACACAGAACTCGGCTCAACTTCTGCAGACATAGCACTGGGTTCACCTTCTGCAGACACAGCACTGGGCTTACCTTCTGCAGACATAGCACTGGGCTCACCTTCTGCAGACACAGCACTGAGCTCACCTCCTGCAGACGCAGCACTGGATTCACCACCTGCAGACGCAGCACTGGGTTCAGCTACTGCAGACGCAGCACTGGGCTTGCCGTCTGCAGACACAGCACTGGGCTCACCTTCTGCCGAAGCAGCACTGGGTGCAGCTACTGCAGACGCAGCACTGGGCTTACCTTCTGCAGACATAGCACTGGGTTCACCTTCTGCTGACGCAGCACTGGGTTCAGCTACTGCAGACGCAGCACTGGTTTCAGCTACTGCTGACGCAGCACTGGGCTCAGCTACTGCAGGCACAGAACTAGGCTCACCTACTGCAGACACAGCACTTGCACTGGGTTCAGCTACTGCTAGCGCAGCACTGGGCTCACCTCCTGCAGACGCAGCACTGGGTTGAGCGCCGACAGCCGCAGCACTGGGCTCACCTTCTGCTGACGCAGCACTGGGCTTACCTTCTGCAGACACAGCACTGGGTTCAGCTACTGCAGACGCAGCACTGGGCTTACCTTCTGCTGACACAGAACTCGGCTCAACTTCTGCAGACATAGCACTGGGTTCACCTTCTGCAGACACAGCACTGGGCTTACCTTCTGCAGACATAGCACTGGGCTCACCTTCTGCAGACACAGCACTGAGCTCACCTCCTGCAGACGCAGCACTGGATTCACCACCTGCAGACGCAGCACTGGGTTCAGCTACTGCAGACGCAGCACTGGGCTTGCCGTCTGCAGACACAGCACTGGGCTCACCTTCTGCCGAAGCAGCACTGGGTGCAGCTACTGCAGACGCAGCACTGGGCTTACCTTCTGCAGACATAGCACTGGGTTCACCTTCTGCTGACGCAGCACTGGGTTCAGCTACTGCAGACGCAGCACTGGTTTCAGCTACTGCTGACGCAGCACTGGGCTCAGCTACTGCAGGCACAGAACTAGGCTCACCTACTGCAGACACAGCACTTGCACTGGGTTCAGCTACTGCTAGCGCAGCACTGGGCTCACCTCCTGCAGACGCAGCACTGGGTTGAGCGCCGACAGCCGCAGCACTGGGCTCACCTTCTGCTGACGCAGCACTGGGCTTACCTTCTGCAGACACAGCACTGGGTTCAGCTACTGCAGACGCAGCACTGGGCTTACCTTCTGCTGACACAGAACTCGGCTCAACTTCTGCAGACATAGCACTGGGTTCACCTTCTGCAGACACAGCACTGGGCTTACCTTCTGCAGACATAGCACTGGGCTCACCTTCTGCAGACACAGCACTGAGCTCACCTCCTGCAGACGCAGCACTGGATTCACCACCTGCAGACGCAGCACTGGGTTCAGCTACTGCAGACGCAGCACTGGGCTTGCCGTCTGCAGACACAGCACTGGGCTCACCTTCTGCCGAAGCAGCACTGGGTGCAGCTACTGCAGACGCAGCACTGGGCTTACCTTCTGCAGACATAGCACTGGGTTCACCTTCTGCTGACGCAGCACTGGGTTCAGCTACTGCAGACGCAGCACTGGTTTCAGCTACTGCTGACGCAGCACTGGGCTCAGCTACTGCAGGCACAGAACTAGGCTCACCTACTGCAGACACAGCACTTGCACTGGGTTCAGCTACTGCTAGCGCAGCACTGGGCTCACCTCCTGCAGACGCAGCACTGGGTTGAGCGCCGACAGCCGCAGCACTGGGCTCACCTTCTGCTGACGCAGCACTGGGCTTACCTTCTGCAGACACAGCACTGGGTTCAGCTACTGCAGACGCAGCACTGGGCTTACCTTCTGCTGACACAGAACTCGGCTCAACTTCTGCAGACATAGCACTGGGTTCACCTTCTGCAGACACAGCACTGGGCTTACCTTCTGCAGACATAGCACTGGGCTCACCTTCTGCAGACACAGCACTGAGCTCACCTCCTGCAGACGCNAGCGTCAAGACGTGGTCCACTGTTGCCAGTGGGAGTAGTTACTGTATCGCCAAGAAGCTCTGCATTGAGTATTACAGCGACTTCGTCAAATTAGAACTCACACCTTAGAACTCATCTGGTGCTCAATTAGCTCCTAGTTGTCGCGGACTTCTATTAAGAATGTAGACTGCAAAGAGTATTATAGAGGAAGCCGGCACTAATCTCAACATACATAGAACGCATTATATGCACGAGCGTCGAAATTCAATCGGCCTTGAGCGCTAGCCTGAACCTGCACACATGCGCAGACCTATCGATATGCAGCCGAACCTGCTCAAATGTGATCAGGAAAATGAACTCTGCAAATGAATTACTTATCATTAGCCTTAATCGAAGAAGTCCTCCCGGGTCACTGTGATCTGCGCGCTCTCTTCCTGAGTCGTGGCTCCTCCACTAGATGACAGAATATATGCTTCCACCTTTCCTCCCAGTACGTCTTGCAAAATATCCTCGTAGAAACGCACAGAAGATTAGAAGAGACACACTGTTCATTCATAGAAGAAGTGACATGTCCTGCAAGCTAGTAATGTATAACCTCATGACAAAATTAGAATCTTGAGTTTCTAACTCATTACAACTACAACGTTAGAACATTATTACTCAGTACAACACGACCAAGACCAACAAGAACATCGACATTCCTATATAATTGCAGCTTTCCTCAACAGCTACAACTGCTAGAGGACCACGATGCAATCTTTTCTGAACGACGTAGTTTATACTTCTAGGAGTAGGAGGCCTTGTGAGAGACATCAACAGGTGGTTATCTTCCTTCTTAAGTGGGACCCTCCGGGGCGCTCCCACGGGGCCAATTCGAATAGGCTGAAATAGCAGGAAAGTTAGAGTCTGATTTTATGCATCTCGGTTCCCCATCTCAGCACCGTATCCCTTGCATTTCATGGCAAATGTGGGTACCGAGATGCTGAAAACATGGACAAAAGCTGACCATAAGAAGAACAAGCACTCGGATCGGATTATTGAAGTTCACTTGCTCCCGAATCGCGGCGTCGATCACACCAATGTAAGCAGCTTTCACTCCAGCTTTGAAAAAGGCGAAACTTTCTCCAGCCGCATCTACATTAGACTCCCGAGGATCTCTCCTAGTACAGCAAAATAAATATATAACTAACACTACCCCGCCTGATGTGAAATGATAGCACTTAGATGTCTGTGTGCAAGACCAAGATCTGCAGGTTTGTAGGCATAACATTGTAGGTCATCTGATCAAGAGCTTGACCATGCTTTCCGCCGTTTGGTCCGGACACAAACATAAGTGCTCCAATCTGGCGCGCGGTGGCTTCCCCTTCAGTCCCTGGAAGCGACATATCTTCTGCGTTCTCTTCTTCAGCGTTCTCGACATTTTCGATTCCCGGCTTGTCATACCTCATTTTCGGAAACGTCGCCAAGCTAGAATCTTTTTTATTAGAGCAGCTTAGAACTCTATGATGATGTGTCTGATGTTGTATTAAAATTGTCAAGCTCCTATACCCTCTGTTGTTGCGACTGTGCATAGTCGCCAAGAAGCGGTGTTGAATAAACGAGGAGCTGAAACCAGCTCATAAGTAATTTATGAAGGCTAGATTTGTATATTACAAGTGACAACTCATTCGGATTCAGATTATCAAAAATTAACTTTGGACCAACTTACTACATTCGCTGTTCGTTGTTGTTGTACTCCAAAGAAACATACAATTTTCTACGAAATAAATACTTATAACAATATCTATTACTGCTTTTTGCTGCCTGTGGCTCCAAAAAAGAACGTAAACTATTTCTCATAAATAAAAAAATTGCAAATCTTCTTCCAGTAGAAGTTGCAACTACTGAAGTCTAGACTTACAACTAGCATAGAGAGTACAGGAGCAGGGTGCGCGCCGCTAAATTGTTCGGGACAGGAGCAAAAAGAAATCAAAGACACCCACGCCCAAAGTTTTCAGAGGTGGCTGGCCAGTGGGCTAGCAAGCTAATCCATGCGCGAAAACCAAAAAGCGCCAAGCCTAAGTCCATGCCAGAGGCTCACCCCACGCCGAGGCGCCCAGGGTGGGCAATCAAACGTGACCACACCGACCCACGCAAGGCCCGCTCCCCAACCCCTGACAACTTGGGGGCGCGGGTGCTGCGATGCCTCTAGAGGCCCAAACAGTATTGGTGGGTGGAAGGCCCACTGGCCCAAAATATAGGCTGGACGTTGGGTGCTGATTGAGTACTGTGCATTGTGTGTGGCGTTTTGTGTATTGTGGGTGCCGTATTGTGTGCTGTGTATTGTGTGTGGCGCACTGTGTGTGGTGTATTATGTGCTCCGTGTGCTGTGTCATGTGTATTGTGTGCATTTTATTGCGTACTGTGTGTTGTCTGCTGTGTATCGTGATCGTGTATTGTGTGCCGTGTATTTTTACTGTGTGCTGTGTATTGTGTGCTGTGTGTTGTGCGCGGTGTGTTGTGTGCTGTGTATTGTGTGCTGCGTATTCTATTGTGTACTGTGTGTTGTGTACTGTGTATTGTGTATTGTGTGCTGTGTAGCGGGTGGTGGGTGCCGGGTGCGGGGCGCTGGATGCTGAGCTGCGAACTGGCCATGGTGCTGGCGCTGGCCTGAAAATTTGTCTGGGACCCGATTGGCAAAAATTTTCGGCCCGATTTAAGAAGTTTCTGGACCCGGTTTAGGCACTTTTTGGGACCCGATTCCAGTCCCCACCCCCGGACGCTACTTAAGAAAAATGCGCGAAGTTGTAAAACACATCCGAAAAACGGACCCGATTTAAGAGAATTTTGGCAAGAGGACTAAATCAACGACCTCGCGAACCCCGATCAACGACTTCGAGAACCCGGCTCAACGACTTCAAAAACCTAACCCAACGGCCCAACGACTTCGAGAACCCGGCGCAACGACTTCAGGCACCCGACTCAACGACTTCAAAAGCCCGACGGACTCAGCGACTCAATGACTTGAAACAAAAACCCGACGCAAGGACTCAGCGACTGTATTTTCTGGCACCCGTTTTTGACTATAGTTATACCATACAGCTGCAGAGATCCTTCGGACTTCAACATCTACTATGTCATGTGTGTGTTCCTGCTACAGATAATTAACTGAGCTTAGTTATCTTACACTAAACTACGTGAAGATCTACTAAATATTATTCATTCCTGAAATATAAGAGAACTAGAAGCAGGCCCTTAACAGTAGCTCCAGAGCGCTTGTGCCCAATTCCATTTTGGGCAATCACCTCACCTCCAATAAACGGGTAACGGATTACAAAAGAATCACTGAAAGCTACCGGGTTCTGCAGAATCTTGAAGTTCTCGATACCCTGCCAAGTTCCCATGTCCATAAAACGTTGGGTTTTACGTCCCCAGCGACCTTGCAAGACGTGGTTGTAGATCTCCTTCATCTTCTTCTGCATAACTTCGGTCCACTCGAGCGCAATGCTCATCCGAGCACCTGCAGCTAGTTGCAATGCATCCTCGTCAGGCAGCTCTTCAGCTACAACATGATCGGCAGTTTCCCCGCAGTTCGGTGCCGCATTATAGATAACGCGTTTCGTCAAACCCGGTGGCTTAAAGTCTTGCGGTGCATCATCAACGACAGGTGGTGGAGTCGGGCGAGTGATTAGCAGGTGTGCAGCCTGAAACGCGAGGAAATTACTCACAGTCGCTGCCTCGTCATCGTCAATCCATGTGGGTTGCACGCGGCGGGTGTCAAGCACTTGCGCCTCTCGCGTAGGTCCTTCCTTAGCGTTTGCCTTACTTCATCCTCTTCTTCCCGTCACAGGATAGGATACGATAGGATGCTTCATTTCGGCCATATGTACAAATATGTTGAAAGTACTCCCTCAGCTGTCTTTGATGGTGAACTGTGGAGCATTAGAGACGACAATTATTAATTTGGACCGCGGAAGAGAGACGATCACGATTGTAATGTAAACAAACATACAATAATAGAAGTTTCTGGCCATAAGTTCTGTTGTTTCCAAATTTGCTAGTTTACCACCTGGCAAAGCTGCATTGGCGTCAATAGCAATGGCGATGTGTTTCGGGTCCGTGAGGTCAGGCGGATGAACGGTCATCGCTCGTTGACTAACTCTGTCCAGCCGCCACCAGTCGCCGGCGTCTCTGCGATTGTATTAGAGGCTCGCTCCGCCCTTTGCATTCTTCAGAACATCGGGTCCCTGACTTCTTTCCTACTCGAAAAGAGGCCAAGAAGAACAGACAGGTTAGACTTATTAATAGTGGTTAAACTTGAAGTAGGACAAGGACAAGGTTAAACTTAGAAGGACAAGGTTAAACTTATAGAAGGCCAAGTAGGACAAGGCCAAGAAGCCAAGAAGGAAAGTAGTCAGTGTGCAGGACTTATATAAAAAGTGGAGATGCTGGCCCTTAATGGTAGGGATGTCCCGTGAGGCGAATGAGTACGACTTGCGATGGGGATCTGGGCGGCCTCTTTTCACCGGGTGGGGGAGCAGAACCAGCTCCGAGTCCTTCCGGAGTATAGAAGATGAACCAAGAACTGCTTCACTGCTTGAGAATGTCACAGGGGGTGGAGTGTCGTTCTTGTTATTTAGGATTAGGCCCTTCGTTCTCAATAGGGGGAGGCCCTTCTTTCTCAGTTAGGTGGAACGACATTCCCATTCCCTTTTCTTCGTTCTCAATCAGAGGCGCCATACAAAAGAGCAGAATGTCTTTTCTATCTCCTTCACGATGTTTAACCTCTCTACAAACTTCCTTCCAGCGTGTGACAGAACCAGCTTCTATTAGAGGGTCACAGTAATGCCCTTCATTTTTTTCACGTCAGGACCTGTGTCGCGTGTAGACTTTGATGCATATTTCACATCTTCACATTCTACTTGAAAAAATCTAGTAGAAAAAGCGTTTAACGTGCTTGCCCTGCGTTTTCCTTTGGAAAGAAAACCAAAGCGTAAAAACATGGAGTGAGTGTTCAAACCTTTCCTTCTATGATAATTATGAAAAAGAAAACACTTTTCAGAAAGTAGTGCCCTTAATTCAGAGAGGGAGCCCAGACGAAGGATCGGAGAGGAGACTCCATCAAACGCAAAAGCCTCCGCGGCCTTCTCTGAGATATTAAACGCCCGCAACGACGTCCCTAGCGGAGTCCTTCGTCCCGGAGTCCCTCGTCCCGGGGGTGCAGCTTCCGGTAGTTGCCTTTCTTTTTGTTCCAAAGCAATCGCAATCAAAGATTTCAGAGCCTTCACGAATCTGTTTGACCAACCCACGTCGCGCTGATACCTTTTTCATTATTCAGGTACGTAGTCATATATATATAATATATTTTGCTCCCAAGCTGCCCAGAAATAGTCATATTTATTAGCTTCACAAGGAATCTTAGGCGTGCATCAACTCTACAAGAAAGCGAGCCATTCTGTGAAGCGCCCCTCTACATTTCGTCCGAAGTATCATTCCGTCTTCTCCCAACAGAAAAAGCCACGATTGTCTGATGATGTTGCTATATGAAATGATTGATTGAGTGATTGATGTGCCTAACTTACTATAAGCTTTCTTATGACTACTACAGCAGCTACAAAACCTAAAACATTACCTCAAGAACTAAGCCAAAGCTAAAATCCTCTCGAACGTGTAAAAAAACTGAGAGGGGCATAAATACACGTGAAACTCCAACTGCAGAGCTTCTGGGACACTGCGAGTATTAGAGGTAGTAGATCAGTATCCCTACCAACAAGTGAAGTGCCCCTTAGTTTTCTCCTTGACTTTTAAGGGCAACCCACTCAGGATAGGCCACGAAACGAGATGATGGAGAGAAGCTGGACCCGTAAGAAAAACTCCTGGATCCTCCTGTGGCCATGCTCGTTCTTGCAAGCACACGCCCCGAGTGGCAAGCTGGAATTTCAAGAGCGCCCTCATAGCTGTATTCTCTTGTTCCGTGGGTCTAGGACGGGTGACGCGCCTGAAAAATCCTTGTCCTTGTCCTTCTGGTCGTTCTTCTCTGTCGCGCATGGCATTTCCGACCTCCACGATGGGCACATCTTCCCCTACGACGATCTGGCGTGGCTGCTCCCCATCTTCAGGAGCGCCTACAACCAGGAGAGGTGGTAGATGTCCTCCCTGCTGATGCTGCTCCCCATCTTCAGGAGCGCCTACAACCAGGAGAGGTGGTAGATGTCCTCCCTGCTGATGATTACTTTTTGCTTCTCCGAGCGGTCGTGCTACCACCTCGACGTCGCCTACAGCTGCTTGATCATCTTCTTGTAGTGCGAGCAGTCCGTTTTCTCTCCGATAACCGATACCTCGTGGTGCCCGGTCCGCCGCCACTCTCTTAGCGCTAGTAGTTTTTCAATGACTTATTTTGAAAAAGTTTCAGTTATAAATGGGATACTCAAATGGGACGATTCTAATCGATCCCATATACATAACATACATCGTCTTTTTTTCGGAACAATGGGCTTAGCGGACCGAAAACTTCAATGTCCAAGCAATCATGGCCATGCATATCATGTCTATCCCTCTCATAACGAACCACGTTTGAGAAAAATTCGAATCGACGAATCAAATCAAATCATGCCGCAATGAAGATGAACCAATCACCATCAATGTTGAGCTTCTAGTGGTCACCATAATGAAAGAGAGAACTGTGAGGTAAACGGTCAGCCAGATAAGTCCACCCAAAACAAGCAGAGATCCGAGAACTATAGCCAGGATGCCCCAGCTGCGACGCGACATCGGACTCCCACCGGACGTCGTCTCTACGGACGTCGGAGGCACGTCCGAAGTTTCGTGCTGCTTCTCCATCTTTTAATCTTTAAGCACTTTTTTAGGTTTTTCAGTCCGTTGCTTTAGTTCTAACTACTTATCAATAAAAGTACTAATCTCCTGGTGGCGGGCCGACGAGACTCGGAAACTTCACACTTCAACTAAAAACAAGAGAAAAGCCTCGGTCAACACGAACTACTTGTTCTTATCAATGATTAGTGCCACAAAAGAATCGTCCCAATTAATAGTTACCAATTTTTGTTTTCTGCTTTTTAGTCTTAGCTTGATACACTCGAGTGTTGTTCTTTGTCAATAGCTTTCTAGAAGACAAGCTCCGTAGTTCTTCTAGTTGTAAGCCTCTAGACTACTATGTGTTGCTTAAAGTTGATCTTCAAATGTTGATAGAGAATGGACAGTGGACTTGTGGACACACCTCCGCTTGTGAGGTTTCAAGATGAAAATCTCTTTTCTTCAAAAATACAGATGACAACTATTAGTAGCAGCAGCTATGACAACTATTAGTAGCAGCTTCAATCTTCTAGAGGAAAATGACCTTGCTAGGTATCGTCCTTATAAAAGCAAAAACAAATACTACTTCTATGGACCTATATGAGTAAATAATTTGACTTTCACTACTCTTGAGGCTAGTTACTTTACTATACAGGTCTTTTTTTGACACTCCTTGTCCCTATACAAGTAGCAGAATGATGCAGTTATAAAGACGGCTGTTGTTTTCGTCTTTAGAAAATATAGCTTACATCTACCTTCTTTTTTAGATCATATGCTTTCGTTTGTTCACAACTCCCACTTATCAGAAAATGATCTGAATCGATGGAGCTCTGAAAGAATAGGATAGGATAGGATAGGTCGCTATTGCCCACTGAGGGGGGTAATTTTGGGGTAAACTACATACAAAAAGAACTACTCAGAAAGACCAAAAGCAGAATAAAATGGGAAGGCCTTGTCAGGGCCTTGTCACAAGATCGCTTCACCGGTCATGACGCTGCACCGATCACGACGCTGGGATTAGGGGATACCGGATCTGATCCGCCGTCCACAGTTTTACTTGCATACTCAAGCGGATTAACTCGACGCTGCTTTTTTATGAGTTCCACTTCAGATTCAGATTCAGGAACCTCCGCTCAGAGTCCATTTAGATTCTGAATTTTTGTAGTCGACAGATTTTCTTTTTTGTCGCACGTGACCCGCACACCGCATCGTCGCCAGGAAATTCTAGCACAATACGGATTACTCAAAATCTTGTTTGGTCGACATGATATACATTCTAGAAAATACAAGTTCTCGAGTACTATTTAAACGTAAAGAAAGTTCACTGATGTTAAAGTTAGGCTTGGTTGCTATCCATCTTCGTATCTTGTATCGATAGACTACCGATTTTGATCAAGACAACTTCATCTGCGGCTCATATATATAAGGATTCATATATTGCTGATTACACTGCGATAATGCGATAATGCTTGACAATCAATAACAACTTACACTAGTGGATCGAAGATGACCTTTTTTATTCCTGTCCATCAAAAAACACTCACACGAAATAGTGAAAATCGAAGTTCTTGTTCTGTCTCCTTGAAATCTAATACTACTAATTTTACACTCTGTCTCGATGAAAAAAATGGTACGAAAAATAGTTCGAAACGTTCCTCTATACAGTTCTTTACCGGTCACAATCTTTGACTAGGTAGTGCCAACAAAATATACCATACAAAAACAGCATCTAGTTCTGCTCCCAATAAGTTCTTTATCACAATCCTCTTCGCATCTATCACCTCCCCACAAATACCTTTGCAACTCGAATCGTGCGACTCGGTTGTAAACTACTGAAAAGTCTCTCCAGCAAATCGTATTCCATCCAATCATCCTCGCATACCATAGGGTTCTTCCAATCAACGTCGCGTCCCGTAAGGATCATCTCCGCGTACCGTAAGGGTCTTCCGCTTCGATCAGTGTTTCTCGGCTAGTGCGCAGGGAACTTGTAGGCCTCTGCTTTTCGAAGAGTGTCCTCGGCTTTTCGAACATCGGTATGAAGAAAGTAGATGTGGTCAAATCGTAAGAAGAAGTAGAAATCATGAAGAGTAAGTTCTATATTATTGCGTATGGAAATTAATATGGGACAAATAAGTATTTCAAACTAAATCCGACATATGTTTCCTTCCGCTCGATCGTGGTGGTACAGGTATTACTGGTGATCGAAAAATCTTCTCCATGTCTGCTAGCTGTCTCTCCCGTTTCGCAATCCGCTCTAGAGACGACATCGATACTCCTCTTCTGCTGGTGCTGTTATTGTTATTATTTCTCCATCCGACGTAACTTAGAGGTAGGTTTTTGGTGCTCGCTTACCCCGCTTGTTATGCCTTTCTCATCCTAAGGGAGAGAGGCATAAAAAGCGGTAAGAAAAGCACCTTTAACCTACCCTTAAGTAACAATCTTCCCTGTAGTCAACATATTCATCGCTACGTGTTGCACCAGCAGAGGATCTAGAAGACGTCCTCGTGGATCTGGACTGTCTTGTAGACCTCTTCGACCCCTCTGCTAGGAAAAGGCCTCTTGTCCTTTGATGAAAACTGCCTATTCCACGCAAAGGACGATGAAACGTCAAACAGCTACTTCTACCTTCAGTTGTTGTGCTGGAGGGAGTCGTTCTTGGGAGATCTTCTTCTTCTTCTATGCTGTTATTTTCATTGTATTCGACGTTGTTCTTGGTGGAAATAGGAGTTGCTGGGACTGCTGGGAGCCCTTCTACGTCTCCTTTGGAGATCGAGATATTCTTAATATCCGAGGACCGAAAGAGACGAGCTACTTGTGGTCGTGGCGAGCAGAACGATGCTGGATGCTGTGAAAGCTCTAGCCTCATTCGCTGATTACCATCGAATGGCACTGTCGCTCCTCTACCGCTAGTAGGACTACTAGGAGCTTGTACTTCCATCTCTGCCTTCGTCAATCGCAAATCGTCCTCACAATCCCTTGGCGGGCTGGCCATAATCAGGGGATTGTCCGCAGCTGCTGTTCTAGCGGAGGAACGAGCATTAGACCTGGCATAACATCAATGTCCATTAGACCTGGCATAACATCAATGTGGTCCGTTCACGAACTATGACTAGAACTTGTGAAAGTTTGAGATCGATCTTTCCTGAGATGACATGAAGCCTACCTTTCAACAGCATCTACTTCATAACATTGTTATTCAACTCCATGATGACCACTTGCTCATCAGGACTGCTTTCCAAAATTCCATCCAATGGGCTGTTGTGCAACAGTGGCGTCTTCAACAGACTGGCAGTGCTCGCGACTGTGCTAGGCGTGTGGCTTTGGTGAACCCGTTCTTCTTTGCCCAATCCTAAAAGCTCGAAGGAGCCAGGAAAGGACGCGTCTTCCTCTTCCTCCAAACGACCTAGCAATGGAGGGCTCGTGCGGATCAAACGCGCGTAGCCACGTCTCGGCACCACAAGCAACGGATCCACCTGCTTCGCTAGAAGGCCTCTTCTTCGGGTAAATGGCCTGCTTTTTGGCGAGGAAAACGCTGTTGGCGAGGAAAACGCGTTCGTGACTACTGCTTTGATATTGCTGTTGGTGCTATTGCTGGCGTTTAAAACAGCGTTGTTGTTGTTGCTGTAGTTTTCGTTTCTGCCCGCTTGATGATCGCGAGGAACGCTTTGCTTCCTGATAGAAGTAGTGGAACTAGATGTAGTTGTCCGCTTTGTTGGCGATGGACTTGCGAAGAGCAACTTTGACAGTATACGCTCATCCACCTCCCTCGCTTCCTCAATCTCATCTTCATCCAATTCACAACATGTGGATGTTCCAGAAAGAACTTGACACCTTTCATCATCTGAAGATTTGTTCGAAGAATCTGCTACAACGTGGCTTCCTCGAAGACTTTGCTGGTTCACCTCTTCAGGTTTGGGATGCATCATATTGACGTTGTTGCTTCCTTGTTGTTGCTGTTCTTTCCCTGTATTCATCATGAAATTGTACCGTCGACCTTTATTCACCGGACGTAGCGGACCCCTAGTATCCTTTTTGGTAGGCGGAGAAGGTACTACGGGAAAACATGTTGACTGCGGCTCGAATGGTTAGAAAGAGAGAAACTATAACTAATCGAGACTGAAAATTATCACTACCTCCACAACTAAATGAAGCAAGCAGACGCTTCAGAAGTTACTTAGTGCTCTTTTTAACGTTCCAAAACTTCATGTTGAAGCCGTAATTCGTCTTAGTGGCATTCCAGAGGTCGCTACTCCCTACGGCAGCCTTCTGCTCCGTGTCGCCAAAACTACTCTTCTCTCCATCATGCTCTCTTAACAGCAACTGTAGATACTCTTTCTCCAGAGGTGGGGTTGCCTGCAACTCTTGAATAAACGGTGATAATGAGAAAGCACTAGATCCTGTAGTAGATGTAGTCGGAGAGGAGTGATGGGGACACAGATGAACTTCTTCCCCGAGGCCATTTTCGCCAGCTTTTTCAGCGTCTTCGCATGCACTGGAGGCATCACGAGCTTCAAGAACAGCTCCATCTTCTACACCTCCTCTATCATCGCTAGCAGGTGCTGCACCTGCTTTCTGCTCCATTACTGCGCAGGAGTTCTTATTGGAGTCAGTAGACTTGACATCAAAAGGTCGACGCGAGCCAGAAGGTACGTTCCGCCGATGCCTCTGCCAGAATCGGACAGCACGCTCTCCAGGACCCTCAGCTGGAGGCATTACCTCCGCTGGAGGCATCACCTCCGTTGGAGGTGGAGGCATAATTTTCTGCTGCTCCATCTTATCGGAGAGGTTCATGTTGTTTGCTCCTGTAGGGCCTTCCTCCGACATGACGTATCAATCTATCTTTCTTCACGAAAACAAAACTACTTACGCCGATTTGATTCTCATTTCTTTCGCTCATGGAGGAGCTCTTGTTCTTCATTGACTGCGATTTTGAGGCTTCATTTTGTCCATTTTTCAATCAGGTTTCTTTGAGCGTTTTGCGAATTTTCCGTATTTCCAATTTCTGTTTGCCGATTTTACGAGGTCTCTCACTCCGAGTCTCTCAGCGAAGCTATCTTGAAAGCACATAGTGAGCACCGAACAGCGACAGTCAAGCAGATTCATCTACCCACGCGCACTACACAATAATAGTTGTTCCTTCACACTCATCTTGTTACATCATATGTTAGTCCTATTTCCAGCAACGAAAGGAGCATAACCCAGCGGAAAAAGTCATCATATGTGCATATATCTTAAGGCTGCACAGGATAGAGTGTTACGGTTCATTCTAAAAATTTGTTCAAAAGTTTCTCTAGTAAAACCATCGCATTTACGTCGATCTTATTCGGCGTAAGCACGCCAGTTCTGTGCGCAGAAACAGTCAATCCTATACTAGGCGCCAATCATTATATATAACGCAAAGGATGGATAGAATGTGAATGCGGGACTATTTTTCGAAACTACCAGTGTTGTGTGCGTGCTCCTGCTGTGATCGTTCCAGGATCACTGTAGCGAGGAAGGAAAATGTGACAAAGTATTGTCGTGCCTGTGGAGTGAAGATTGGCTCGCTTACGCGCCCACCGCCTCTGTGTCCGATGTTGGAGTTCTGGGCTGTACTGAACCGGCGGAATCTAAAATCATTTATTTGTAGTAAAGGCACGAAAGCAGAGTCGTGACTCTTAAAACAACGCGAACAGTCTGGACTAGCATAAGAGTATTCTTTTCTTTTGACAAAGAAAACTCTGCATCATACTGTTCCTAGTATCTGCCACAAAGCACAACTTGAACCATACTGACTTTGTTGTTAAACGAAGCAGTTCCTCGGTCATATCTTGGGGAGAACCAAGGGTGATACTGTAAGGACATGCTTCAGCGGTAGCCTTAATTTTCTCTGTCCGTCATGGCGCGCGCCAAACTACCTGCTGCTCCCCCTTTCTCCGCTAGAGAGAAGAAGGGTGGAAAATCTAAAGAGTCTGGTGATGTTTGTTGAGTACTAATACTCCCAGAGGCTCCCCCATCAGATCCTGAACTCCCTGGACAAATGCAACAAGCAACTCATTAGAAACAAACGCGACTGAGCCTCCAGAAAAACAGCAGAGAACAGCGCGAAAGAGCCACTAGGCTTCCGCGCCACCAGTCCTCGCGCTCGTTTAGCTCGGCCTTAAGAAGGTCTCGGCCTGACCCCCTTCGACTCATGCAAGGCATGCCAGGGGACAAGCATGCCATCCATCATCCATCTTAGCAAATGCTCTATAAAAAAATACTCCTGGAGGCTCCCCCATCAGATCCTGACTCAAATTTAATCTATCCTTCGTCATCGTCTTCAAAGATCCTATTCAAGATATGGATGTTGTTGGATCCCTTCACCGAGACTCTAAGTAATGATTACCTAGTCTGAATCCTCGCAAGTAATTACCTAGCCTTAATCCTCACAACAAACAACGGATCTGCATGAGGGGGCGTGAGGAAGTTTACAGCCATTTCGCGTATTGCCGGAGCTAGCTGATCCTTCACCTCCTCATGAAAGGCGAGCACCATCTGCAAGTGGAACTGATGGAATAGCTGCACACTCAGAAAGTAGTGCAGCACCTTCTAGCACGTGAACAAATTCAGCCACCACCTCCACCAACCCTTCCTCCTTAGACGTTCGGTCTATAATAAAAACTGATATCATCTACTACAAGACGTTTGAAGCTTGTCTTGGGCTCGGAATTGCCACCGTCTACATGGGACCCGTTGACATAATGAGTGCCCGATTCAGTCTACTCTTATTTCACTGGTGGCGCTTTCTCCTCTCCTATTGTTGGAGGTAGCTGGTCCTTCACCTCCTCGTGAAGGGCGACCACCATTTTCCCTTCAACATCTTGAGCTTGACGAACTTTTTGGTCACGACAGTCCCAGGCGTAAGCACATCCCCTTCGGACTCACTGCGACCAAGGTAGTTGCTGGCGATTGCAGCATCCTGTAGCTGCACTACTGACCCCGCGAGAACCCCCTTGGTGAAGGCGTCCGGAGGATCTTCTCAGGTTTTTTGTTTACAGGAACTCGTCGTCCATGTTGGAAGTGGAAACACGGAAATTGAAAAAATCAAGCTAAAACAGTTTTCGTAATTATGGCTCATCGTATCGAAAAATCCTTCAACAAGCACGTGATCACAGACGCAAGGGAGTAGCCCCTTTAGATTAGATTGTATCCCCTTTAGATTAGATTGCTCCGTTTTTCCTATGAAGCATTTTCTTTTATATTTTGTGGACCAGCGCCGTGCCAGCACACGGCTCGGGATCATCATCATCATCATCATCATCATCATCCTTTCACTCCTTTTATCGTTGCAACAGCCTCTTTCTATCGTGTTGATCCGCCTTCTGCTTAGCAGATCGGTGTAGACATTGATTTCGCTCAAAAGAAACACATTGAATCAAATCTAAGGCAAGGGGGCCCTATGTTGATAAAGGAGGCATCTCGCACTCGCTTGCTGTTCCCCAAAACCTCATTTTCACACAGTAATTTCCGTTGTGAATTTACTTTGAAACATCACAAGAGCTCCATCCTTTGTTGCAGCGATACCTTTCTAATGTACCAACTATCTTTTATTTCATGAATTTGTTCTCCTCATACTTTTTATGATAAAGATAAATGTACTGCTTAATTACTCACTACGTCAACAGGCGTGCAGCTTTAGAAGATACGGCGAAGTATTCGTTCGAACCATTACTTGAGTAGACACACTCACACACAAAGCACTAGCCTGCCACTATGTTGTACAAGAAACGAAAAGTCAAAACCCTTCAGAGTGAGAGCATTGACACCAACAGAGTCTGATGAATTTGCGATATTCCTTTTAACCTACTACGAATTCTGATATCGACTACTTAGCTCGTGATTATGCGAGTCGCGACGTACCGCGCTGCATTCCAGTGTCTCCAGTTAAACCAGATCCCCTGCAGTGTTCATCTTCTTCATCGGCGGTCGTTTGTCCTCCGAAGATGATGGAGAACTACTACAAGATAAAGCACCATCGGGCTTTGCTGCATCTGGAGCCTTGACAGAAGCCTTTTTAGAAGCTTGCCCTCTGTTCAGTTTTTTCATGTAGTTCCAGGTCCAAACAGTACCGACTGGAGCCGCTGCTACTAAATCCATACACACCTGTTCGAACGTCAAATCGTTCTTCATCGCGTATTCTTCGTAGTATTTGGTGTTAGACCCGCCCCGGGGTTGGAGGACTCCATGTCGAGAAGAACATATACGAGCGTTCTTGACGAGAAGAAAGAGGTTCGTTTACGAGCGTTCTTTTGTTAAGTTCACGAGGAAGTAAGTTACGAGCGTATTACGAGCGTTCTTTCGCTATAAGTTCACGAGGAAGTAAGTTACGAGCGTATGTTAAGTTAAAAGAGAAAGCGCTTGTGACAGTATTACTACACTTAACTTCTGTGTAAAGAACTTGGTAACATACGCTTGTCGTGTTACTACACTTAACTTGGTAACAGAGAGCTTATACAGCTTTACGAAGAGGTAAGCGTAAGTTACGAGAAGAACATAACTTTCAACGCACGAATTTCACGCGGACATCGTTCTTCAAGCAGCGCCATCATATCACGAACCATCTCGCTATCACTTCCCGCAGACGGTAGTTCACCTGCCGCTTCCATTTCTTTTCTGATGCCGTCTAAGATACTTACAAAGATAGCAGCCGCTTCAGCTTTGCATTTGACGCATTTACAATGGAATCCGTAGCCAGTCCACAGCTCTTCTTGTCGGTACGCAAGCGTCGTGTCCTCATCGATGTAGGACATGTAAGGATTAGAGAAAACGATAAAAACCTACGTGATTCGCAAATAATGCTCATCAATCAATGCTCTTCCTGCATCTTAATAAAGCATTATTACTTCGAAGTCCAATCGTCTCGTCTTCACCATAAATATGTTCTCCCCCTTCCGAATCCGTCTAACGGCTTTGCCTTGGATTCTGCTGGTTTCCCCGATCCTCGACACCTCCATGTTCGGGTAACAGCTATGATTCGTGAATGCCACCACTCTGCAGACACCTAGACCCTCAAAACTCGGGAATATCCTGCCACTCTGCTTCCAGCTCTTCGCGATGAGGTCGACACTCTCTGACGAGTTGAGATTAGAAAGGGGACAGCAACATGTAGAGGACCAAGGACCAAGGACAAGATGTTGACAGCAGTTTGATGTAGTAGTATTAGTACAACAGTCCCATGTTCTTGCAAAGGAAAACTGCTGCAGTACTGCGTCTTTCATGGCAATCAAAAACAGCAAGCCCTTGATACTGAAATTCTTAACTTCACTAGGTTCGTCAGGACAAGTCGCGAGTTCTGCATCTGTGATCTCACGTTCGGTCTGTCGCCAAGACAAAGCAACCTTGCCCCACAGAAGTTTGCACGTTTCATTGATGAATTTCCTGGACTTCGGATCCACTCTGGCATGGCGGATTAGAATGACAACTTTTGGAGACCTTTTGGAGAAACTAATCCTCGAGTCCAAAAGAAATAAGCATGTAGACCTTAGAATATCAAGAAGCTTAGCGTAATCTCAAAGATGAAGAGTCTTATTCTGACAAAGACTGCGCCAAGTCTTATTCCTTCTTATTCTGACAAAGACTGCGCCGACTGCGCCAAGTCTTATTCCCTCCTATTCTGACAAAGACTGCGCCGACTGCGCCAAGTCTTATTCCTTCTTATTCTGACAACGACTGCGCCAAGTCTTATTCTGACGAAGACTTGAGTCCAAAAGAAATTAATTTTTTAAGAATTTGAGAAACCCCCTTCCTCAAAGTGGGACTTTATTTCTAGACCTCAAGCGCGTCGCACGGCTGAGGTGCGAAGAACTTCGCTATAATAAAAAATCCTAAATTTGCGAGTCTTCCCACCTCAGTATGTCACTACGATTTTTTCAACACCTCAGTATGCCCCTACTATTTTTGCGAGTCTTCCCACCTCAGTATGTCACTACTATTTTTCAACACCTCAGTATGTCACTACTATTTTTAAAGTCTATTCTGACGAAGACTTGAGTCCAAAAGAAATTAATTTTGTAAGAATTTGCGAGACCCCCATTCTCAAAGTGGGACTTCATTTTTAGACCTCAAGCGCGTCGCACGGCTGAGGTGCGAAGCGCGTCGCACGGCTGAGGTGCGAAGAACTTCGTTATAATAAAAAGTTCTAAATGCGCGAGTCTCCCCACCTCAAAATATGGCACTACTATTTTTTGAAAGCAGGCGTTTATACGGCAGTGGCGATGAGTTTGCTTTTAGTCTAAAAAGCTAGCGGCCTTAAAATTATCTGCTTATTAACAGGGTTACTGCCCGTCAAATCTTTCGACGTCAGATCCGCCAACCCCAATAGTCTGTCCCACTCTTCCATGGTGCAGAGCTGTGGCAGTACACGATCAGGGTACAGGTAGGAGCTATTGCGCTCATTTCCTTCACCTATTACTGTTGAAGAGGATGTGGCTACTGGGGTATTTGAACGATCCTTCCCTGAGGTCGTCGGAGAAGCAGTACTACTAGACCGTGCTTTCAGGGTTTCGTCATCAAGAATGAGGTTGCCTGTCGTCGTCGAAGGGGGACCTTGGTTCGGGTTAGCTGCAAAAGGGTCTCTATTCGGCGATGAAGAAGAAGATGAAGAGGACGTGGCCTGTTCACCGGTAGAGGAAGTGGAAGTCGGTGGTAAGAAGTGCACTCCTAGAATGGTTTCCTTGAAAGCAGGTTTACTTTCAGGTGCGGATGTTGCGCTAGATTTCATCTGTTTCTCAATATCTGCGGCCCTTGCCGAGCTCGTTGCCGCTTTCGGCACTGCAGAGAGACTAGCAAAAGCATCCGATGGCAGGGCTGGTCGATTATTCAAATCTTCCTCTTCCTCCTCTTCTCTGTTGTCTTCATTATCACTACCTGTGACACTAGCCCTGCGCAATCGTTCTAACTTTACATCTTCATCACAGAAGTCGACGTTTTTATAGAGGTCAGCACCACCAATTTGGTCAACTTCATTTACTGCTTTATTGGCTGCGCTGGAAGATGTTGATGGACTGTGGTCCTGTGTCTTGTTCATACTAGTAGGCAGTAAATGATCGGCTGGCAAGTTATTCCTCGTAAAGCACTCGACATGGTCGCCACAAACGAAGGTTAGTTCCTGGAAGAAGAACGATGAAGAAAAGAATTGGAGATGATTCGAAAACATGAAAATCTACATTCTACTCGTACTTCCAAAGTAAAAATCAAAGATCGACGTGTGACAACCCTCTACAAGCAAATGCAAAATTATTACCGCATCCTCCACAATTTTTGCTTTGCTTTTGCAATCCGTTGCCAATCTATCTTCAAACAAAGGTGGTCGCGGCCCTTCTGCCATTCGCACTTCACCCTTCTCCTTCACCGAAGCCCATATGTCGGTTAGGTATTGGTAGCTTTTCTGAACTACTTCGCGTCTGACTTCACGCCAATGCTCTTCTAGTGGTTCGAGTTCACTCCACATCGGCGAAAAAAGGTGATGCAACTCCTCCACTTTGTCGGAGAGCAGGCATTTCAAAGCGAGTAGGCAGTGCTCGTGGGCGCCGGTTAGAGTAGATGGAGTGAAAGTTCATTAATGTTGCATCTGATGAGTACAACTTTAAGCATAGTAGTCGTAGTAGTAGTAGCAGTTGTAGTAGTAGTAGTAGTAAACCCAATCCAGGGGTACGTCAGAAGTTTGCACAAGGGGGGAAGAGGAAAAGAAAGTGCTGTTTAGTTGTGGGGTATTTAATTTTGTTCAGTTGTTTTTATTCATTGGACAGGTTTGCCTTGGATAGCTTTGAGCTTATTTAATGTTGCATCTGACGAATACAACCACTTTCAATACATTAAATCAAACATCACAAAAACTTGGCTATTGTGCGCCTTCCATAACTTAACCACATACTTCTCAAACCGTTCCCATGGTTCCCCCGTTCGTCGCAAAAAACAGAGTCTCTTGTGGATGTCGTCGTTTGCGTAGCAAGTCTGACTGCAAAAGATTTCCCCATCTTCAGGAGCTCGGAATAATTCTTCGTAGCGTAGTTGACGCCTTGAGAAATAGTCGAGGTCCATCATAGGGTGGAAGGCGGCGAGGATTAGAGAAGACCACTCGAAAATTTTTCAACGTCAAGTATTTTCGAAAAACTGAAATATGCAAGTAACTGATCAGAATAAAAGCGAGTAACTACTGAAAATAAGGAAGAGTAGCCCTGTCAAAGCTACCTCCCCTATTTCAGTCAGTAACTCGGTTATTTTCAGTTTTCGAGTACGTTCCTTTTCGTACGTTCCTACTTTTCCAATTATTACTACAACGAATTGAATCCACATCGACCATAACTCCGGATATTCACTTTCAAACACCAGTGGTCCCGCCCGATCCGCCAGCAAGACTTGGCCAATCCGCGTTCGCAAACTCCCCACTGTCTTCTGGCATTTATGGCAGGCTGCAACGCAAAGTTTGTTGTATTCATGCTGCAGAGCGGCGACGGGGTTTTCACGAGAGATTAGAAGATGAGTTTGTTTGGGACGAGAGCAGGACTTGTATAAATATTTATGCAAGAAATCCGCGGTCTTCTAAGTACTTGAAAAGAATTATTCCACCAGCAGCGATGATCTTTCAACATCCTGGTCAAGAATTTTTTTCTCGTCGAAAAATATTACAACAACCACGCTTAAAAAGATTATCTCCCCGACTTCGATATCTCGTTTCGCAACTATACCACGGTCATAGCTTCCTCCTATGATTTCCACGCGAAACAAGGTCTCTACCTCACGGTCATATTCACGTTGAGCACGGTCGAGACTTTCGACCTAGAAGAGGTACGGCACAAGTGGATCGATGTGAGGTAGAAACAAGGAGTAATCCTTTACCTGTACAAAGACTACGAGTGGTGTTTAGGAATAATCCTTTACCTTTACAAAGACTACTAGTGGTATCTAGGAATAATCCTTTACCTTTACAAAGACTACTAGTGGTGTCTAGGATTAGCTTAGTAGCGTGACATCTGGTCTTTCCTCTGTCGAGGCATGCGTATTCGGGTATTTTTTACCTGTTTCCTAGAAGACTATTTTATTAGTCGGATACTTCTACTTCTCATTGTTGTTGTAAGAAATACCCTTTCTTGAACCATGCCACGCAAAAAGGAATGTACAGCCAGCTCATCCTCATCACCCGAGTCATCAAGCGACTTCCTGGTATTAAGTAAACACATAGATTTCGAGTCTAGCTACTAACGAGACACCAACTCTCAAATGCACTTTATCGTGTGAAATTACAATGAGACAATTCCAGTTAGTGTTATCTTATCATAAGAACGCTCGTCCCGACCCAAATCGAAAGTCAAAAAGATATGTGATTCAAGTTGTAAACCCGAGTGGTAAGTGATCTAGTGCTCTACTTGTCCATCACGTTGACCTTCAGAGGAAAAATAGAAGAACCGTGACATCTCGGGCTTTGTTGAAGACTGTGCTTTTTTCCGCTAGTGGCTCGAAGGCCTCTAGTTCCCGTTGTAGCTCCGGGAGAGGCATTAGAGATGGGCTATCTCGAACCAATTGCTGTTAAGGGAAAGCGCAATGGATATTTGACGACGGATACTACATGTAACTCTTCTTTCCTTTCCATGATCTTCTATCCTGTGACGAGGAGTCCTCCTTTGTCCATAAAGTCAAGCTTGCCAGCAATGGAAATTTTTTCTTGTTCGTATCGTTTTCCAGAAACCGTCTTGCTAGAGCGAATCTGTCTTCTTCACCTTTTGTTTCTCCTTTTTGCTCTTCAAAATTATTCCCATTCTCGTCATCCGGAGAGGTACTACTCTGGTGACCGGCAGTAGTGGCACTTTCGTCGCCTGTGGGAGAGAGTGGTACTATTGTGCTTCTGAATGAAAAAAATAGATGTACCCGTGGTTCAACACCCTACTTATGAACAAGAAAACTTTGCTACATATGCCATATTGCAAGTAGAACGTAGATAGTAAGTCTTATCCCGACAAAAATATGTCATCAAAATTCTTTTACCAGAGGACCCAACAAGCAGGTTATCTCTTTCCGGCAAACCCGCGAGCAAGTTTTCGGTGTTCAACAACCGGTTCTCGGTAAGCGCTTTTGCCGCCTCCTTATCAATAACGTCACGAGCTAGGGTTAGAGACAGAGGGTGGAAGAGAGAGCAACATAGAACGAAGTAAAATATGGGTGGAGCCAACCTAACTAGGAAAAGAAAAAAGAAATGAATGTAGATAAAAGCTAAAGTAGCGTTGATATTATTGTAAGCTTAGACGAAGGCAAATCTCAATCTTCATGCCGCTTTACGTATAAAAGAACGTCTCGGCTAAGTCAAAATCAAAGCCTTAACTTTGCTGCGATGTCACGAATTTGTGCTGCGACTCCAGCTTGCTGCTCTTTTATAGCTGCTAAATTCTTCAGCAATCGCTGTACTTCTGCGTCTTCACCCATCGTCCTATACGTGCCACACCTACCTCATCAACAACTAATTATTTCTATGTTTATGCATCTTGTTGTACATCCACGAGGTTGATGAATTTCTTTTCAATCAACTTCTAAGCAAGTAGTACTTTCAAAGCGTATAATGCGAGTTTACGTTTTCAGTTATCGGTTTTAGATCGATTTTTTCTTCCGCGTCAGCATCTTTAACATAGTAAACATTCGAGAAAAAAAGTTTAAGTCATCCACTACGCATACCATCACATTTTCTCTTGCTACACGGCCTCCTGAGTACTACAACTTACCACTCAGCTACCTTCTACCTTTGAATACTGGGTGAAGATGTCTGACTTTGCCTCTGGTATAGGATCTCGGCTAGCAGAGGACTGAACACACACACACAGAAGGTGAAATGATCAGGAATAAGTGAATATTTTCGACGAGCTTGTATTATATTTTTTTTTTTTTTGTGGTGGAGCCGACCTAACTAGAAAAAAGACAGACCAGACAGAGACGAGCTTGTATTATATTCATAATCGCGGCCCTATTTGTCGGTATGTCAGTCATTGCTATAATCTATAAGTGCATAGTACTAGCCTTGTTAATCGACAATCTACAACAAATCCGCCACATCACAGTTCCCACTCTTTTGTCCACCAGCCACCAACTTAGCCATCTCTGCGACCAGGCCCTCACAAAGGATCTGGTTCTTACGATTCCTCTGCAGAAATTGCGCTGCTCTGGCTGGGAAGTTGTCGGTGTCTGCAAATTTCAAAGTGTCCCAAACGCTTTCGTCAAGCTGGACTGTTAAGCTGGAAATTAGAGTAGGATAGCGTCATCAGACTCAAATGACAGTGCTAGTAGTTGGAGGGTCTAAGATTAAATCAAAAGTTGCATCATATCTACAATTGTGAAGGAGGTCTGGAGTGGAACCCCAAACTACTCGTAGCTACTCCGTGCTTCAACATCGAAATCACATAACAACTGTCTGCCACCCCCTCCACGACCCGTGTCCGTCTTATTCATCTGCGCTTGGCAAGACTGCGAAGAGGCCCCTCCTGTATGGTAGTATTCTGGCCCCTGTGACCCAAAAAAGCCTAGTGGCAAAGTCGGACTCCCCGGATCCTCAGGTGGCTGACTTTTTGTGTTCATATTCAGACTTGTTCTTGGTACAACAACACCTTGCTGATTGTAACCCCCAGTGGATGAAGAAGATGTTTGCGCTGTTCCTGGCCCACCTCCACTGGGACCTTGGCCTTGCTGACTACTTCTATAAACGTCTGCAAAAGGATCATAAAACGTCGATTTAATACTATTGTGCTGGTTATTGTCTCGCACCGGTTGTTGGTTCGAAGCGCTCTCTGCAGTCGGTGAATCGAAGCTAAAATACGTCTTCGCTTTCTTAGGATCTAGATGTTCCGCAAGTCCTCTGGAAGCAGAAGAAGATACGGAGTCTTCAACCGGATCGTATGGAGATCCACCTCCAGCAGTAGAAGAGTGCAAGACCGCCGCTTGGGGTACTCTTCCACCACCAGAGGATGATGGGTGTGGTGCAAAAGCAGCTCCGGAGCTCGACGCATTCACGTTGCCAGGTAAATGCGTCATGGTTGGCGGAACGCGCGCAGGGGTGTTTATTGGCGGTGGACGATGCGTTGAGATGAACTTCGCTAAATCCGGCACGTGGCCTTGCATCAGGGCTGCTGGCTTCACTAGTGACCCTGGAACCGTGACTGTCGCGCCTAGCATGTCCACACCAGCACCTGTTCCGGATAGGCGATTTTCGCCACGTCCCATCATTGATGAGGAGTTTCTCCCTATCAACTGCTGCTCTGGATTGTCGTTACTACTGTTTGTCCCAGCGCCACCAGTTTGTTGTTGTTGTTGTTGTTGTTGTTGATGTTGACCTATAGGAATAGTGTTAGTCCCTGGCGATGAACTCTTACTTCCACGTGAGCGAAAGAAGCCCAGTTGAGGCCCTTCTCTGCCGATCGTTCCCATCAACGTTGGTGCAGGAGGACCACCTCCAAATCGCAAACTCGACCCAGGATTCGATGTTCTCTGAGGCAACGCAGTTACGCTTGCGTCGAGTGGTGAAGATACCCCAATCGTTCCCATCAACTGTGCACTATTGCCACTACTAGCACTAGTTCTGTTCTGCGGCGCAAAAAAATTGTTGAACATCTTTACTTTTGTTGCCGCTGCTGGTGGTTCCGCTGCATATGTAACATCTAATGGCGACATTTCAGGTGCAACAGCCTGAGAATTCGTTGTTCTCGGAGGACCTGATTCTCCTCGTTGTATTTCCCCTGTCTTCTGCTGCAGGACAACGTTTGATCTTGATGTAAAACTAGCAGAACTACTACTATTGCCATTCGCCCCCTGAATGCGGAAGCCGTTGCGTTCGAATTCTACTTCTAGAGGATCTATATTTCCAACAGGAGGTTGGACAACCACATCTACTGTCATGCCTAAGTCGTCCCCGATATTAGGTGCAGGAGAATCTGGCGGCTCAAGATTCTGCCTTTTGTTCGCCGCAGACGAGTAAATGTCAACTGTCCTAGTAGACATCACGTCGAAATCCTTACGCCGCTGCGAGAAAAAATTGTCGCGCTCTTGCAACAGCTCTTGTGGTATCAAGTCTTGTGCTGAGAGTTTTAACTGGCCGTCCTCTGGAATCGTACCTGGATCCGGTTTACGTTTCTGCGATGCAGACGTTGGACCTTAGGATGAGGATTAGGATTCAGTCCGCCGTCCACAGTTTTACCTGCATGCTCGAGCGGATTAACGCAGCCGTAGAAGGACTAGTACCAAACAGTAACTAAAATAACATAGTAAGAGGCTAAAGTGAACACCTTGTCTTCTCAGTGGAATCGCTAAAATAACATAGTAGGAGGCTAAAGTGATCACCTTGTCTTCTCGGTGGAATCGCTAAAATAACATAGTAGGAGGCTAAAGTGATCACCTTGTCTTCTCGGTGGAATCGCTAAGTCCTTCGCCTGTGTGGTAGCTGCCTGCTTTTCTTCAACGCTGTGCACACTGTTTGTGCTTCCCCCACTTGACTGCGATGGTGAAGCAGGCTGGAGAATAGATAAAAGTCATGGTGGAAACATTCCTATTGCAGTACATTCCTATTGCAGTACATTCCTATTACAGTTCTCAAGGTGTTGAATGTCAGTCATTATTGAAAGGCAACCAGAACCATGTGCACATTTTTTAAACATTTATACGAGTACTTACTTGAACTTGGTGCAATCTGCTATTCCCTGCCGCATTGGCTGCTGCGGCGCGTCTACTATCCATACTTTTACGCGCTGAACTCGTGGCAGCAGCATCAAATCTACCTGCAGAAGACGACGACGATGCTCCACTGGTGACACGATGCAATGACGACGCACTGGGCGAAGACCCTTGATGCGGTTCAAAGCCAATCTTGATCTTGTTTGGTGGTGCACCAGCACTGGGAGCATTCTTCTTTGCTTCAGCAGTTCTACTTGGTAGTCCGGCAGGCTGAAGATTGTGCTTACCGTTCTTTCCCCCACTAAGCGCCATCAAGCGAGATGCTCGACTAGACGGCGGTGCCAATATTTGGTCCATCTGAGATGCCATCCGAGCTGATGCACGTGCCTGCATTGACTGTCGCTTGCTTTCTTGCAGTGCTGTGACAGCATCAGAATATCGTTGCGTAGGTGCCGTTGCTACAATATTACTAGGTCTAGAATTCTGTTGTAGTTGAGGTCCACTTGTTTGTAGCTCCTGTACTGGAGTTGTTGCTATTATTGGTTTATCATTGTTTTGGGAAGATTGCTTCACAGCAGCATTATTCGCGCCGCCACTATCAATAGATATTCTTTCCTCTTGAGTTTGTGGCGATATCCCGCTTGCCTCTTCGTCTTGGGGTGATGCTCTTGCGTCATCTATTGGAGACGCTTTCGTGTTGGCTTGTTCTTCCGATGGCGAGGGGGAGCGGGCTACCTCCGTACCACTGGACGCAACCTCCGCGGCATTCGCTAGCGAAGACTTGTCGTGTCCTTCTCCACCAGAAGCGGCACTCTCATTATTTGGATCACCACCTCTCTGCTCGTCTCTTCCAATCTCGACGATGCCTCCAACACGCGCGAACCCGTCTGGGCTACTAACGCAACTTTCGGACTCAAATATGGGCGTCTTGCCTCCAGACGGAAGTATTGATGCGTCACTATCAACTACAAGACTAGTAGTGCCTTTCAGTTCGGCACTCTCTGTGGGTCTAGGCTCTTCTCCCTTTTCTTCAACGTGTCTGCTAGTGGAATCAGCTGCACTGCTGGCGCGGAATCTAGAAATACGGATGGCAGAGTCGTAGAAAAAATATTCTTCTTGAAAAATGAATAAAACTGCTGCTGTACATATATCACCTCCAAGTATCTCAAGAAAGGGAACACAGAAAACAAAGAAAAGATGAAAAGTAGTACGCTCCATAAGCCTGCGCGAAGTTTGCCTTTGATTTTTTCTTTTTACTCCCACCTCTACTTGGCTTCTCGATAGAAGGTGGCTCCGCGTCGTGAATGGCTGAATTTTTTTGTTGTTCCTCGACGTCTATTGGCGGATAGGCCTCATCGTTCGGAGGAGCGTGGTCCTGCCCAGTCGGAGGTTCGTCTTTCGCAGTCTCTTGCCCTGCAGACAAATTGTCTCGCACCATTTCGGTAGAAGTTGTTTCAACAGCATCTACTGTTTCAGGGTTCTCAGTTTCCGGAATTGTTGGCGCTACAAAATTAGGATCCTGCGAAGACGACAAAACACCAGACGCATCAATAGAATGACCATCTTTGTCCCCAGGCGGTGGCGTTTCGGTACACTTTGAAGATGAACCTAGAGCAGGTTCGACAGTATCTTGTGACAGTTTTTTAGCACTCGAACTGGCGTTGTCAGGATTTGGTATATGAGGGCTCATTGTCGTTTCTGTTGCTTCTACTGCCGTGGTACTTGGCTGTTGCTGTTGTTGTTGTCCTGTCGCGGTTGGTATGTTAGTCGACTGATGTCCTTGTGATAGTGATGCGGACGTCGTCGCAGTCACTGGTGGTTGCAGTGTTGCCATCGGCTGCTGCTGTTCTTCTCCCAGCACTGTCATCATCCATGCGGCCTGTGGTGATGCCACCCCACCGCCCAATGCCATTGTTCTCACGCTACTAACTGTCACGTCCAATAGCGAAGATGCGGCTGATGCAGATAAACCAGAGTGGTCTCCCCCTACGCTCGACGAAGCTTGAAAAGGCTCTGCATTAGCGCCTACAGTAATTCATCTGCTGAGGTCATCCCTTCAAAAATCAAGTGGAAAGCAGAAGGAGATCCTCTGCGAAGATGAATTACCTCGAGCTTAACTGTACTCGCGCCGGAAGGCAAAAGCACAATACGCCTCTCTGCTGGCGCCACTTCTACCACCTCTGAAGCGACCGAGCAAAGCGAGGGCCTTGACCGGTCTCTTGTCCGGACGCAAAAACGATATTGCTTGGACATGCTGAGACCTTGCATCAAGTACTCTGCTGATTAGAGAGTTTGGTGATGAACACTTCGGGTACCGTTCCATCAAAAGTAGTCTGTTTCAATTGAGGAAAGTGAGTCGTCTTCAAAAAAATCTAAATCATCATACTTTCGCCATAGTGCTCATCCCTCTCCACTGCGTGGTCGCATTCGAAAACCCGCCGTCTACTACGGCGCCCCGGTTGGCGGATCTCTTGCTCGATTTCGAAATAGTAGGAACTTGGCCTACCACCTTCTTCTTCAGGAGCCTCGAAAAACCAAGTAAGGCGCGCCGCACTCTGTTTGTCCCGGAAACTGCAAAGAAAGTCCTCCGGTGCTGGCAGTTGCGGATCTAGTGGGCCTTTGTTTAGAAGTGGTGAAGAAATTATGTTTGATGTGAAGGTCTTGTTTGAAAACACATTGATTTTCAAATGAGCTGCGTCCGAAATCCAAAAAGAAGACAGACTCAAAGTCACAGGAGCGTAAAAATTTTTCATTTCGTGAAGCTTTTACAAAAAAAAAAGCCTTAACATATGAGCGCCATTAGCTAAAGGGCCGCTTCCAATCCTCTCCTGCTCACGCGTCACTCCTGTAGAGTTGCAACCTGAGAGCGCGTCTTCATTGGTTACAGTCGATGTTCGGCCAACCGTTCCCAGTAAGTCTGCATCTTTCTGTTCTCCGAATGAAAGGTGCACTAGCTGTAAACTATTAAATCTCCTTCCAAACTATAAAATCACTTTCAAAATCTAAGGGCCCGCCAAACGCTCTTGAATGTCAGTAAGAGACAAAATTGTTGTACGCGCTTCCGTAAAGTTTTGCAGGGTGCTCTTTCCCCTTCACAAAGTTTAAAAAAGAAGCTGACGCAGTTCGAAGGTTGCAACATTAGCCGAAGTACAGCATCACTCAGTAGTACTCTAAACCTTCTCACCATAAAGTTTGCAGTTGCACAATGTCTCCGTGAAGACCTCGACTGCCTGTAGGCGTTGGCCCATCGCGCGTCCTCTGTAGCATAGAAAAGTCACCTTTCTCCAACCTCCCGATTAATTCGTTCAAATACGCCTGTTCGTGGGTGAGCGACTCATTTTCGCGCTCTGCTCTTCTTAGAAAGATAAAATAGATGGACCACTTTCACGCTTGTACAAACAAGATCATGAGGACGGCTGAGGCTGAGGACATCACTCAAAAAAACGATACACTACGTCAACAAGTCGAACCACAGTCAAGGAGGGTAAAACTCTCCACTGAGTCTAGATGAAATAATCTCGTAGGCCTTAGAATTCAAGAAACGATCCTTCTTCAAAAAAATGAAATTATTCTTTGTGTCTTGTGCATGAGCACCGACTCATCTTCATCGTACGTCCGTAGAGGTCATTTTTTGTGAGAGTGAGTTAACTATAAAGTCCTAAGGTTTTGATTGGGAAGGAAAAGAGCAAGAGCAAGAGAAGGTCCTAGGGGACTCTAAAGGGTATTAGTGGACAGTACTAGGGAGCCTAACTGAAATAAATGTATCAGAAGGCTTAAGGCTCCGCAGCTCTGCGGCCATGCCGCGTTGTCTGGGACGTCATTACAGATACATCAAAAAGCCAACATAAAGTCTCCAGCTCCTCCTGCGCGGCTGCTAGTTTGTGGTGGAGCAGCGTTTCTTGCTCGTGCAAGGACGTCCAGTCCATTCGCAGAAGCACATCAGAGACGAGACGAGAGGACATTTTCTTTTCGGTTTTTGTTCATGCGAATGTGATTGCTATTGCTGCGTCGTCACTACTGTCGTTGCGCTATCTGGTTCAATCTTCGCCGTGCATATTAAGGACGGACACACGCAGATAGACACACTTTGGAAACGTTTACACACACACACCCAGACATTCATACTCCTGTGAAGTTTTGGTAGCATTCATCAGCAGACGAGACGTTCTAATACACTTCATATGAAGCGGGGTGCCTCCCGGGGTGTACAGCAACTATAGTTTATTTATTGTAAGACAGGATGGCTCGAAAGATGAGGCCTTGATGGTGGTGCTACTGTTGTTGCGTGGCTTTTCCTCTCTTACTCTTTCATCCACCAATAGTTTTTTGTTTCTTGCAATACAGTTGCGGCATTTAGCTGGAATCTTCTATGGCATAATATTATTGGGCAATTATACCACAGGTGAGAAATTTTCCAAGCCCAAAGATGTTTCTGTCAACATTGCTCATTTTTGATCTCTTTTACCAGGCGGAAAACCCCCCCCCCGGAAAGCTTGCCTCCATAACTGTTTATTGATGCACTTGCCCAACGAGCATGGATGGATCTTGCCAGGACTCTTGCTAGACGTTGATCGAACTTGGCTTTTTTTTGGGGGGATCGTCGTGCGACGGCGGTGACGCCTGATCGCTTTCGGGCGCGCTTGCTGACTTTTGCGAGCGTTAGCTTACAACAACGCCTGGAGCAGCAGGCAGAAAGGAGCGGCCCCGCGTGCGACCTCGTGGCTTTTTGCTCCGGCTCCGTTAATTTTTCTGGTTTTCTTTGCAGTATTTCCCAAAACAAGACGAGAGCCGACGCTCTTCGGGGAAAGAGTCGGGCAAAGGCGGCCCGCCTGGGGGGGGGTCTCAACCTATCGCGGACCGGCTGCCCGGCCTGGAGCACCAGGCAAGAAGCAAGGCTCCCGCGCGCGGTCTCGTGGCCCTCTGCCTCAAGCGTCGGCCCTTTTCCGGGTTTCCTTGCGAGGAACTCCTAAAGCACGCCGGCAGCCGCGCCTCTTTTGGGGCGCGTCCCTCCAGCTAGGATTACGCACCACTAGGGCCGCCGCCGGAAGCGGAGGAGCCTCGTTAGGTTTCTGCGCGGTCGGGGGCACGGTAGGACGGCAGCCCGCCGCAGTTCCGCGACCGGGGCCCCGGCGGGGAGGGTGCTAGAAAAAAGGCGCCCCAAATCACTGCAATAGGGGGAAGCAATTGCCGCAGGACTGTTTCGAGGGGGAACAAGCAAAAAGGGGCGCGAGGCACGACCGGAGCGGCCGTCCCGCCCGAGGGGGAAGCGTAGGAGCCGCGCCTGCACCCGGGCGGGCGGGGGGGGCGGCGTCGGGGCTCCATCGCCCTCCATGGCGGCCGGCGGGGTAGCTAGTGGGGGTGGCCTTTTATAGCCTAAAGCCCCCGCCAGGTTCCCGCCCCGTCCGCCTCTGAAAAGGCAGCCGGGAAGCTATCGGGGATCCCACCGGAGGCCCAACAGGCTGAAGCAGGAGGCCCTTGACCGGTGCTGCGGAATCTTTTAGGCCCCCCGCGGGGTCGCCGCTGGTTTCCCTGTCGCCTCTGCAAGGGCGGAAGAGCCGGGAACAAAGCAGGGGCCATGGTCGATAAAAAAGCGCCCAGGAACTTCCCCGCGAGCCCCTGCAGAAGGCGGCGCTGCTCATAAGGGGGGCGCGATTAGGTTGCGGCCGCCCTCCCTAGCGGCCTACGGGACCAGAAGCTGCGCGCTTTCAATCGGGAGTAGAGAAGGCCCTGACCTCATTCCGCGCCGCCCTTCTTTTTCCTAAGTTTTGCCGGGTGAAGTTCGCGAAAAGCCCGGGACTATTTGGGAGAAAACAAGCGGAAGGCGGTCCGCGTGCGTCGTCGACTCACCGCGGCCCGGCTGCCAAGCAGCAGGACCATGGAGCCACAGGCGCGCGGGCGTGGTCTCTCTCGCTGCAAAAGCCCCGCCCTTGCAGGCGTTCAGCTTCGAAACCTTCGAAAATTCGGGGCCCTTCGGCCAATCGACGGCCGGCGCTGGGGTTTTCGTCGCTGTCGTCGACCTATCGCGGCCCGGCTGCCAAGGTGCAGGACCATGGAGCCACCGGGCGCGTGGGCTTGGTCTCTCTTGCTGCAAAGGCCGCGGCCCTTCAGGCGCTCAGCGCGGAAGCCCTTCAAAGTCGCGGCTTCTCGGCTGATCGGCAGCCGGCGCTAGGGTTTTCGTCGCCTTCGTCGACCCATCGCGGCCCGGCTGCCAAGCTGCTGGACCATGGGGCGGCTTTTTTGAGCGGGGCACCTTTTTAACTCGAAGGGAGTCGCACTCTCCAGCGAATTGCGAAGACTGCGCGCCATTTAATGGCGGAGACAAGGCCTGAGGCGCCAGCTTCGCGCCCCCGCCCGGCGTTTAAAAATTGGAAGCGGGTAAGCCTTCCGGCCTACCAATATCAGACCAGAAGCAGGCCGAGCCCAAAACGAAGCAAACTAGAAAGCATCTCGACACTGAGAGGACCCCGCGGCCATCTGCTCGAATATCAGAACCGCGACGCCGCACAGCGTCCGCTCGGTGTCTAGACTCCCCCAAAGTCTAGACGTAGCCATCTGTCTGCGAATGATTCTAATAGTTACGCCGTCGCTACCTACGTGGTGAAGAATGTAGCCCCGCGCAAGGCTTCGGCGGCGGCCTCTTGCGAGCCTGCCGGAGGCTTTGCGAGGCGGCTCCAGCGGGCTTTGCGCCAGCCTCCCAGGCTTTCCGAGAAGCTTGGAGGAGACTCGCCCACGAGCCTCGACCGGGCTGCCGCAAAGTTCTCGGGGCGGGTCGAGGGGAGCCCGCGGCCCCGAAGTCGTCCGGCGCCCGTTATGGTTTTCCCGATGTTCTTGCGGCAGTTTGAGGCCGTATCTAAGTGTCTCCAAAATGACAGACGGACACTTCTCAGATTGGTCAAATTTGCACAATTTCGACCCCTCACCGACAAGGCCCTCAGCGGCTTCATTTCGTTGGGGAGCTGGATCCCCTTCCCCTGATGAACGAAACCAGAAGCGACCCCGGCCGCGTGTGGATTCTAGTCGCGAGAGCTTCCCGACTCCGAGGGGGCTCCCCGTCTTGAAGCAGTCCAGAGCCCGGCTGGGGCTCTCTGAAAGACAAAGACGGGGAGCGCACTGCACTCGCCTCATAACCCACCCCCAGGCACGCGGCGCCCTCGAATCTCAGGAGCGAACCAAGCACGAAGAAGACCGAGCGGGACACACTGCGCACGCAGTGCAGCCCGCCACCAGCCACCGCAGCGCGCCCTCGAATCTCCTGGAAGAGAGGAAAACGAGGGGGAAACAAAAGAGAAGACAAAGGCAACGCAGGCGGAACCGTGTCGACCAGGTCAGCACTGCGGAACCACGCGCAGCCAAAGCCGCAGCATCGTCACACCATGCCCCGCCCAAGCCCCTCCCTTTGCCTCTCTTGTTCCTCTCCCCGCTTCTCGCTCCTCGAGATTCGAGGGCGCGCCGCGGTGGCTGCTGGCACCGGGCTCCTTGCGGTTCAGAAGACCCAAGAAAAAGAAGAGGGAAGAGCAGAGAAGACGAACACGCAGCGCATCGCAGCCTGCCCCGTTTGGGTTCCACGCTCAGCGTAGGCCCCAAGCCTGGCCCGGGTTTCGAGCATGCTGCGAGTTTCGGCCCTGCCTCAAGCTCCGGGCGTGCTTCGGGCTCGCCTGTTTGGTTTGAGGTCGGGCGGGCTTTCGGCGGGTTTGGTCGGCTTGCGCTTGGGTTTGGGAGGTGTTCGGTTTCCGTTTACCTTTGGCGTGGGCTTGGCTGGGGTTTGGTTTACATTTGCGCGCGGGCGTGGTTTGGGTTGGGTTTGAGTTTGGTCCGGGCTTGGTTGGGGTTTCGTCCCGGTTTTCGTTTGGTTCTGGTTCGGCTAGGGGCTGGCTGGGGTTTGGCCTGTGTTTGGTTTCAGTTTCGTCTGCGTTGGGTTTCAGTTTGGCCACGGTTTGGGCCTCGTTGGGCTTCTCTGGCTCCGGTCTGGCTTAAGTGGGCTGCCTAAGGCTACCAGAAAGCGGCGCACTTTTGCACATCTTCCAGCCTGGCCCTTCTGGTCTTGGACTTCTTTCCTGGTGGCGACTGGAACAAAGTAGGCAAAGGCTAGCAACTTCCGAACCACTTCCCAGCGTAAGCCCTCAGAGTTTTGGCCTTCTCCTCGCGGTGCTTAAGGAAATCACTGCACGACTTAGGAACTTTTGGGTCATTTCTCAGCTTGAAATCGGTAGAGTCTGGAACTCCTTTCAGTGGTGCAACTGTAAAAGCCTTGGAGAATTTGACGGGCTTGCACTCTTCTCGCCATCTACCCCAAAAAGGAAAAAACTGGGGAGACGAATCATGGTAGGACAGATTTGTTTTGCCGGGCTGTCATCTGAGAACTTAGCAAATTACGAAGGGCCCCCTTTTGCTGCAGATGTGGCAGTGATTTTCTTCAAAGGTTTAACCTTTTCTCGCTTCACATCCCCAGGCGGTTGACCATCCTGCGCAGACTAATTTCAGCGAAGAATAAAAGGCGGCAGTAATTTTAGGCCCACACCTTATTTCGGCCATTTCTATTTTTGTGCTTCCATTTGCATCCGATTAATTATCTTGCGCCCACTAGATTCCGCGAGGAATAAGATCGGGCGGCGACGTTAGGCCGCTGCTTTATTTGGGCTGTTTTTGTTTTTTATTCTTTCGATTTTTGAGATCGAGGCGCTTGGTTTGTTGTTTTCAGTTAGCTCCCCGGGCGGCTTTGGCGTCCGTTTAATGACACTGGCGCAGCTTTATTCTGATACAATTACCACCGGCCGCAGATTAAGAACTTGCCGAAGCCCTTGCCAGTGCGAGGCTGCCAAAGAATCCACCACCCAGGCCACCCCTGCCCAAGGCCTTCGCGATGTAGTGAGCCACACGCAGGACCGAGGCGGCAAGAAATGCCCGCCCTGTGTCCCGGGATCGCTGCCCAGCCGTAGCGAAACCGATAAGCAGACGCCAGAAAAGCACAGAAAAGAAGAGAAGGCAGCACGCGAAACCGATAACAAAGCGGACGGCCCGAGAGC